TAAGTGTGTCTGGGACACCAATAGCATAAATTTGCACCATTCCAATTTTCAATCATAAGTCATATACAGCATATTTTGCGATTAGTGACCTCATAAAACGCTTAGTTTAGGTGGAATTGCAAGTACCACAGAAGTCTGAATGAAAATTGGAATGGTATAAATTGATGCTATCAGTGTCCCCTGATACACATATAAAATTTAGAAAACTTCTTAACAACCCCTTTAAGGTATTTTATCAAATTCAAAATGCTTGTCAGATGGTAAAGTAATTATTCATTCTGAATAGACTTATGTTTAGAAAGTAAAATATTCATCAAAATCTTTATAAAGACTTGAGTAAGATGTTGATTCAGTAATAACAAAAACAACGTTATGAAACTAAAGATTGATTCTATCTGTCAACATAAAGCCTTCATTATTCTTCAGTTTCCAATTATAATGTTCACTTCTGCTACAGATTACCCCATTCTTAAAGATATGGAATCTTAAGATTACCTTATTCTCTATTATCAATGTATTTAAAGTAGATACTTCTTACTTTAATTAAATACAGATGTTTCAATAGAAATTTCATCAAATTTGACTCATTGAAGATTAAATACAATTCAAAACTTCTTAACGCAAAAACTACCCTAAAGAATTAGATAAATTTGTAGGAAAAATTTAAGATAACAGAATGTCAAAATTTTAGATTTCTTGGAAACTTGAAATAAGTAGCATAAAGATAATTTATTTTCGGCAAAATTTCACACATTGCATGTCTGCATAACTCGAATTTGAATGAATGTACAATGTTATATTTCATTTCATGTGGACATCATGCATACTCAAGTGTTTTGAACGTGCTGTATCTTGGGATTGTTCAGAGGGTTCAGAAATGTTCAAGTATTAAACAGTATTTAGTCTGCTAGAATTAAATTTTACAATTCTATTTGTTTATAATTTCCAAGTGACTTCTGGCAAAATTTATACAAAATAATTGAGAATATCTGTACAGACCTGTCATCTGCTGTTGAAATAGATAAACAGATAGACCAGTAACTATTTCATTGTACCAATCCTCAATTGCAGATGTTGGCTTATTAGCTTGTGATACTGGTACTAGCTATTCAGGAATCAGAGCATGGCGTCTATTCTTTGGAACTTTGTCATGGATATGTAGAATTATCAGGAACTCTACAGAACTGTTATAGGTTGTGGCTTGATGCATTTCAGATAATTTCTGAATTCAATACCGCAGTATTATTGTTAATCCTATAAACAGGAATTTTTACATCAGTGAACAAACTGTAAAAATGAAGGTTTTATGGTGAAAATCTAAATGTTTTTGTTAACAATCATGTGCAAAGTTGTTAGACAGATCAGATACTTTAATCAAATTTTAGCATGAACTGTTCATCCACAGAAAATTAGTTGCATGAAAAACTCAGGATAATGGATGGATTATTTTATTACAATCATGATTTCATTTTGCACTAAGAATTTGGAAAAAATTAGTTATTTTCTGACAAAGACGAATTGAACCTATAATATGAACATGAGTGAATCAATTCAACACAATTATAATTAAATGTTTCAAGATCACCTTCAAAGTTCTTTAATCTCTTACATCTTGACTGAACTTTAGTTTGTCCCTTTAATATTTGATTTCTTATTAGATTTATCAGGGTTAATTTCAAACTAAGCCTAGAAAGTCCAATAACTTGCAACATCTGTGAGGTGAAATGAGCAATTCAAAGTACACTATAACATATACATGAATTTATGATGTTTTTCTGCCAGACGCCAATTTTAGATTTGATTTCTGAAGAGATATTGGTGGAGTTGATCTCTGAAAAAACATGCCAAAGAATTCACTGTTTTGTTGCAAGCTACATGTGCAGTTTGCAACCTACGGATTAGAGTCTTTAACTGTGTTAGATAACGTTAGGAAGTGAACATTTTTCAAGAATTTAAAAGATAATTCACCACAGGAATAAGAGATGGTTTGTGATTGAAAGTAGAAAACCATGAAAGTTTTATCTTCTGTATAAGAAGAGTATATTGTAAGAATTAGGTGTATAAAATGAGAGTTTATAATGTTTGTATGAAGGATCAGTGGTATTGTCAGTGTGTGGATCATATAGTAAGACTATGTTTTATTACTGGTATATTATTGTTTGAAATTAGCTTTAAGCTCTAAGATTTTAATATAATTGCATCTGCATGCAGCTTAATGCTTAAAAAGTGAGATTAATCCCAGTCTAGATTATTTGTTGAGTGTTTTTTTCAACTTACCATTCATGATCTAATGAAATTGTTATGCAACATCTTTTCGTGATCATAAAAGTATTTTACCTATTTCATTCTCCAAGGTTCAATTCTGGCATAGGTTGAGATGATACCTTTGGATTTTTCAACCCGGTTTCCCCCTGTCAGTGATGCAGGTAAGAGGGGCTGACATGGAAAAAAGCGTCTAGTCGTACAGATGGGACACACATGTGCCACGTTAAAGATCCTCGACAGTTGGAAATTGAAAAAGAACAGGCTAATGCCACTGTCCTGGCAAAATTTCCCTCATTATACAGTGTATGGCGTTGCATGTCTTCATTAGGTCACATGGTGCAGAAAAGTAGGACGTAAAATTGCATTCACTTCATTTCATTTATCACAAACCCAATATTATGGAATAAGCACGCTTCTTTAATAAAATATTAAACACAATGTTTCTACACAAATTACACATGTTGTGCTTATTCTTTCATATTGTCTTGTGTCTGTGATATGTACTCCTCACTTTCATTCAAGTCTTATAATTTCATTCTCTGTTCAATAAAAGATAAACTGATTATCGATGAGCAATTTTTTAATTCCAGTATTTATTGTTTATATTGTCAGCACCCTTTTACATTTGTTTCAAAAATTTGCCTTTTTTCTACTTGCACTTACAGAAGAGATGCCACTCTGCAATTGAGCTTTTCAAATAAGAATGTTTTATATTATATTTCAAGTTGATATAAGTGATAGGGAAGTAACAATATTGTAATGTTAATATGTGTCATGCTTCCTTGTATTTAGATTTGTTTTTATCACCATTATCAAGTGTATTACACCCATAAACAAAAGACTAATTTAATCATATCATTACTGTAAAAAAACTGTTTACTCCCTCTACATCTATATGTCAATTTTTAACACCTTACCAATCAGTGGTTAATAACTCATTAGTTAATTAATACCAGATATGATAATACCTCTTGTCTTGTTACTGTGACATCCTGAGTCATCTATATTCCTGTAAACCAATGATTGGTTAGGTCTCGATAGACTTTCCAGTCTGCCTGCCAGTACAACCTGGAATAGGTCGAGTAGACTTCATTGATCTAGTAATAATATAACCTCGCTGTGTCTGTTATTAAAACTGGTTGGAATCGTTCCTGACATTCTCGAGGTTAGGATCAGGATAACCTACCACTGTCTTAGGAATTATTCTGTGTCATTCCTGCAGTAAGTGTGGTCTACTGGTGGCTGGAATACAATTTGTTTGAGGATAAATTTTCAACATGGTATTATCTTATTTTATAGACTTTATTTTTTTTGCTGATCTTTCATTTTTTGAAGGTACAAAATTTTCCACGATGAAATGTCAGTATGGCTGTTTGATATAGGTTTTTCTACTCATTCAATGTAAAGGTTAATATCCTTATTGTAAAGTACATCAACATTGTGTAAACATTAATACTTGCCTCTGACTCTTGACTAGAACACTGTCTTTTTGTGGCAGTGGAATAGCTCAGTCAGTAGCGTGTTGGATTGTCGCCTGCCAGACGATTAGGTGCTGTGTGTTCAATTCCTCCTGTAGGTAAGAAAAATTCTAATTCTTGGCCAGTGCTTTCAAGAGTCCGCTAGGTGTAGGCTCTCACCCCCTAATACCACAAGACAATGCTGAAAAGGGTTAAAACTGCTCTATATGCAGACTTAAATGAAGCTTGACTTGACTTAATACGGAAGATTTTGTACTTTTCACTGGAAGGAACGTCTTAGATTGAATTGAAATATTTCTGGAATGTCATTTTCCCCAGACATTGAGCTTATATATCTAACCTTTCCTAGTCCTTGTCATTTGAGTGCTTATTCTAATTTCGATCTGACTCTGAGTCAAAAGTCTTAATGTTGGGCAGAGTCTGACTATAACCTGTTCTGGGTACCTGCATTGTTTATATAGTAGTTTATTAGGACTTCAGAACATGTTTGAAAATAATTTCTGCTACAATAACTACCGTACTAATGTCTACCTGCTTACTAACTAGTTGTTTACTATTTATTTGGTTTTATACATTGTATGATGCATTCAAAGGACTGTCATTGAAAATCCTTGAACTAAATCTAGACCCTCATTGTGAGGCTGAAGTATTATATTTGAGTCTATTATAGAATTATATAGTTATATACATAGCCTACATAGTAAATAGGATGCTGGATTTAGTATTGAGGCCATCATTAAAAACATATTTGTTTTAATGTCCAGTATTAGTATGAACAATTGTAATAATAGGCAATGGATTACATATATAAGTAATAGGTTAAGGTCACACAAAATTATGTTAGTATAGTAAACATGATTAAACATACTTTTGCTTACCATTGTGTTGAGTATGTATACAGAATACCAAATACCATCCTTCAATTAGTCAATGAGATGGGTGTTTGCTTAAAATATAATAATTGCATGAATAGAAGAGCTAAGACCTGGTATATCACATATTGTGCTCATTGGAAAACTGTTTGTCTTTTTCGTAAATTCACAAAAAATCGGTTGTCACAAAAACTCAAATGGTATAATTGTGTATCAGACCTGTGCTTCTGAAAGCCTAATATTGGATTTCACCAACTTTTGAAATGACTATTTAATGTAAAACACCAATTCATTTGATGAAAATCAAATAAGATATTAGCATGGCCTGTTTTGCCTTTTCAATCTCCACATTTCTATAAAAATAAGTAGAACAGCCTAACACATGGAATATTTCACAGTCTAACATTTACATTGATTACATTATACAGGAAATGCCTTTGGTAAGACTTGCAGAATTCCAGTAAAGTTCAAGTAATTCTATTTTGGAATATATTTTGTGAATACAGTTCTAATTGTGTGATATATTTGGATATTTTCAGAGTGCCCAGTCTCGACTCCTGCTGAAAGGTGGTAAAGTAGTCAATGATGACCAGTCATTTTATGCCGATATCTACATTGAAGATGGCATTATCAAGTAAGTAGAATTATAGTTGCATTTTTTGCTTGAGGTAGGTACAAGTACAACAATGGATCAACTCTTGGTCCACAGTAGCACACGTTTGGTAGTAATCCCCTAAACTTGTACTTGTGACCTAGGCCAGTGCTTCTATTCAGCAGAGTTATGTTACAATAATTGTATAGCTTGTTGGATTATACAATTCAAATTCAAATATTTGTTAGTATTATTATTGTTGTCACAGATGGTTAATGAATTTTTATCATTCTATATGAAATGAAATTGAGTTTTGATAATAGTGCCAATAGGAATAATTTGAAATATAACTTGGAATGGAAAAATTCTTAAATTTAATATATTATAATAGTTGATGGGAATTAAAAATCTCATAGAAACAATCAGTAAAATTTGATCTGTTGACAAAAGAAAGAAGACTATAGTAATGACAAAAAACTGATAAAGATTAGCTTGGTTTCAGCATTCGAGTGATAGATAACTTATTTCCTGTTAATTTAGAAAAAGAATTATGAGAATTGTTAAATATCTGTGTTCTATTAAACTCTTGATATATTATCACCATATGTATGTTATTAACATATATTTGATTAGTGGGCCAAATGTTAATCTAGACCAAGATCCAAGGATGGCTAGTAGCCAATCTGTACAGATAGCTTCAATTAAAATACTGTTTATTTGCCAACCTAGCATCACTATCTTTTCTTCAAAATCAAAGTCATAAGAGATTAAAAATACCATTAATTGATAAGAAAATTTCAGGATATTACACGCATTAGCAGGTTGATAAATTTGGCATTTTGTTAAGAATTTAAAAATCCTAGATTACAATATGCAGCTGCAGGTATCATTTAATTGTACAATGGCATTTTTTTGGTATTACACATGATAAAAGAGTAGGTTAATGCTGCAGTTCTGCCAAAATTTCAGTAATTGCACATCCTCATTAACCCAAACATGTCTTTTTTTATTAAGATTAATAAGAGTGCTGTATTGCAATGATACATCATGATATTAATACATTAAATTGGAAGAAGAGAACAGTTTTCCTTTTACATGTCTACATGAAAACCACCAGTTGATGGTATAACTAAAAGTCTGAGTTTTGTATAAAATACTTCAGAAATGTTGAATTGTGCTGAATAAATACAGTGAATAATCTTCGTATGGTTTTATATAGTTGAAATATTTGTTATTTTAAGACAAGTTGGTCAGAATTTGGTTATTCCTGGAGGAGCAAGAACAATTGATGCCCGAGGAAAACTTATCATACCTGGTTAGTATAATATATTATGTTGTATGGCAAAGATATTAACACATATAGAGGGAGACTGTCAGTCAGTTAAAGTAATAATGAAAGTTATTAAAACACAATATAGATTAAGCCATTTTTCTCATGAATTCCTTTTACTCACCTGTTGAAGCTGGAATATCTCTTCCACCAAATGCATTTCTTCAATAACAGTTGTCATTGTAAAATGTTCTTCATTACAGGTGGTATCGACCCCCATACTCACATGCAGTTACCCTTTATGGGAACACAAGCTGCAGATGATTTCTACAGTGGTACCAAAGCTGCCTTGGCTGGTGGAACTACTATGATCAGTAAGTATTTCATTGGACCATACTTAAAGCTGAATAGACAATATGACCTCAAGACTATCAGAAAAAAATGTAATCTTTGGATTGGTTAGTTCAATATATTATCTATAAATGGACAACTCAAATAGAAAATATGGATGAGAAATAAATACTATACATGTATTTAGATCTAAAAAGAATCTGTAATTATTTTGGATTATTCAAGCTAACACTAATATAATAATATTCTTTATTGACAGTTGATTTTGTGATGGATCAGAGAGGTGTATCATTATTAGATGCTTATGAGAAATGGAGGGGTTGGGCTGATGCTAAAGTATGTTGTGATTATGCTTTACATGTTGGTGTTACTTGGTGGAGTGATCAAGTAGCTAAAGATATGGAAGTTCTGTGTAAAGAAAAAGGTATGGTTGAATTGCTCATCATTTACCAAATATGTCTGAATGGAGATCCAAAATGACTAAATCTTTTAGAAATAGGATAGCACATTGGCCTGAATAAAACTTGTAGAACTATATGAGCATGATAGAGTCCTTAGCAAAACACAAAAATATACATGGTTTTAATTTGTTTATTTAAATTCATTTCAGGTGTTAACTCTTTTAAAGTATTTATGGCCTATAAAGATGTTTTTATGTTGGAAGATAATGAAATATACGAAGTTTTCCGAAAATGTAGTGAATTAGGAGCTTTACCTATGATACATGCTGAAAATGGTCATCTTATTGACATTGTAAGTATCAATTTAGTCATGAAGCCAATATAAGACAATTTTTGATGTTTTATGCTAGGACTTTTAATCTCAAATTGCCTTTGTGGTTACTGTTAAATATTAGAAGAATATATGTTAAAGAATTGATACTACATTTTTTGGGAGTGAATCAATCATGACCATGTTTTATCATATGTTTTATGTAATTTGATTTTAAAATTGGTATTAAAGTAACTGGAACCATCATGATTGTGTATTTGTAGAAATCTAAAGAATTGGTGAAGAATGGTATAACTGGACCTGAAGGTCATGAGATGTGCCGTCCTGAAGAAGTAAGTGTTGTCTTTGAATAGTTAGAATATCATATATTATCTTATTCAATGTTTCGAGGAATTTTTCATTCTTACATTTTTATCTAATCACATCTGACTGAAAATTGCATTGGTACAAACTCATCATATCAGTGTCACCATTATGTATAACAATTTAGAAAACGCCATTACAATCCTTTTACAACTGTTAAAAACATGAAATTCAACCATCTATATGAATATAAAGAAGATGATCTACATAGCTCATTGTATTTAACAATCAATGTATATCTAATGTGATTATTACAGGTTGAAGCTGAAGCGACACAGAGAGCTATAACAATAGCTAATCAAGCTAATTCACCACTCTATATTGTACATGTTATGAGTAAGAGTGCTGCTGATGTCGTTGCCAATGAAAGGAGAAAGGGTAAGGCCTGCACTTTTCTTAGTTATGTAAGATATTTACTTATCAAGGCTAATCCACTGTGCTTGTGGTTTTGTCAGTTCTGAAAAATTATACTGCTTTCTACCTCCCATTTAGTCTTATTATCTCTTTGTATGATAGATCTGTAGTGGAGGACAGTTGCTCACTGGACAGCCTCACCGGACAGATACTCACCAAATGAATGAGAAATAGGACAATTGACATTGTGTCCAGTAACCCACAAATCTGATAGCTGTTCCTCTATTTAATTTCACCAATTCTGTTATAGGAAGAGTAGTATTTGGAGAAACTCTAGCTGCTGGTCTAGGTACTGATGGTACACACTATTGGAATAAATGTTGGAGACATGCTTCAGGTCATGTTATGGGACCACCATTAAGACCTGACCCAACAACACCTGGATATCTCATGGATCTCTTATCGAAGTGAGTTGGTGCTTTTAATTATCTGCCCTCTCAAATTTTCCTATTTCCAATTTTTTGCTATTTATACAGCAATCCTACCTGAATATTTGATGCTAATGTATCCTACATGCAAATAGTTTATTTTGTACTGTTGTTACTAATTGTGCCTAGTTTTTTGGGTTTTTTTTATGTGAGGTTAATGACATATTAATAATTTGTTTAATGTTTTCAGCAATGATTTATCAACATCAGGATCAGATAACTGTACCTTCAATGCTGATCAGAAAGCTATTGGTAAAGATGATTTTAGAAGTATACCTAATGGTGTTAATGGTGTAGAAGATAGAATGTCTATTATTTGGGAGAAAGGAGTTGTACGTATATAACTTATATTTTTTGCTGCCCTTGTGACCATTCAAAGTGGTCAATATTATCTACTGATCATATACATTATCATATTTCATTATATTGAATTTTTATGTTCAACTAAAAGTGGTATTATATACCAATATTTGAAAGGTTTTTGGTTTTTTGAAGTTAGAATTAAATGCTATGCTAAAGAAAATGTGAAAAGTGGACTAGTATAATATTTCTAAAACATGGATTAATCCATCTATTGACATTAAAGATAAAATAATATTTGCAATATTGACAGATAAGTTTTATCTTTTTTTGTTTACTTGTAGAGAAGTGGTAAAATGGATCCATGTAGATTTGTAGCTGTAACTAGTACAAATACTGCCAAATTATTCAATCTTTACCCTCAAAAGGTTTGTTTATTTTTTTTTATCAATTTTTCTTGCTTACATCATATTTTCTACCAGAAAATAGTACAATAACCATTGTTTACCTTACAGTTCATACATTAGTGAAATGGAATGAATATCTTTCCTCTGTTGTTGCTAGGCTATTATGTGCTGTAGGTTTGAACCTGCCTTCAGATAAGAAAAATTCTGATGCCATTCAACTTTCAACTTCCAACTCTATATTTAATCAAATATTTCTTACCATTACAGGGTAGAATAGCAGTAGGCTCTGATGCTGATATTGTTATCTGGGATCCTAATGAGAAGAGAACTATTTCAGCTAAAACTCACCATCAAGCTGTAGATTTTAATATATTTGAAGGAATGACTGTACATGGTGTACCATTATTTGTTATAACTAATGGACAAGTTGTTTTAGATGAGGGGCAGGTAATTATTGTTTGAAATAAATGTAACACGAGAAATATACATCAACTATATAAAACTGAATATAACGCAGGCTGAAATGGATCAGTTGTGTGAGGATCACATAGCATGAAACTCTGAGTAACAACATATTTTTATATTGCTCTAGAATTGATGTATTGAGCACTATCTTAACAGTGAAAATATTGTAATATTTATATATTAGTATAAATTACCAGTTAAACTGGCTTGTTTGAACACTGCTGTAATTGGCAACCAATTATTGAATTGCATAGTAATTAGCATTCATTAGTTGCAAATGGATATTATCAGTACATTCTTTGAACTATCTTCAGGATGAGCAGTTTTAATGTCACATGATTACTGCAGTGTTCAACATAGCATCAGTCTGTATTTCACCATTTATATTTCTGACATGTTAAATGAGTATAATTCAGGTAGATCACAGTATGTATTTTCTATATATCTAGGCTAGTTTATATGTTAATATCATGTGTATTTTATATTGTAGTTAAAAGTAACTCAAGGTTTAGGAAGATTTATAGAAACACCATGTAATGCAGATTATGTTTATAATAAAATAAGAACTAGAGAACAGGTAAGATCATCATATTCTTTAGTTTTTTTATCTGTCCACCCATTAGTTGTCATGTTGATTCAAAAAAAGAAGAAACTCAATTGTGAATAAGATGCTTGTTAACGAATCATGATGTCATAACTGTGACTTTTTTTTAATTTGTTTCCCTCTGATGCAGCTAAAGGGGGCTGATATTGATAGAAATGTGGTTCATATCACTCAGCAGCTGGAAATCTTAGTTAAAATTCCTCATTGCACACTACAGAGTGTTGCATTTTTTCATTTCAGTTTTATGATCAGAAATACTCTCGGCTTTAATATTAGCTGATTATTATTGCATGAAATTTTCAAAATTAATGATTGATGTGTTTTATACTAAATCCAACATCACAACTGGTGTTTTGAGCTACAAGTTGAAATTCAACGTAAAGATTGATACAGTTTTCCAGGGAATAAAATATTGCTAGTAAACATAAGCCTTTGAAGACAAAGGTATCCATAACATAATATCTGTTATTTTGTAGGTTTGTCAACCACAGAAAGTTGAGAGAGAAGAATATACTGGCTCAGTAATAGAAGTTGTACAACAATCCTCAGTAAATAAACTACAATCTAATCCATTACAACCTACTGATTCTCAACAGACACCTCAGTTTACTAATCGTAGTAGAATTGATGGTGTCAGAAACATGCAGGATTCTAGCTTTAGTCTAAGTGGTGAGTTTTTTATTCTTTTTTCCTTGAGCTCCTTGTACTAAATGTCATACATTGTCTAAAGTTACATAGAAATTCTACTAGCTGGTCCTGGTTTATGATCATTATTGAAGTATCAGGTTAAAAATAAAGGCATTGGTTTGAATTTGAAAGAATTTTAATTGAAATTTAACAGAATAAAGGATAGCAAGGATAAGTTGGAAGCAATAAGAATTCATATAATAAAAATTCATTATTTTATTCCAGGTGCCCAATTTGATGATCAAAAGATACCAAGAGGGCATAGATCTTTAAATCCACCAGGAGGAAAATCAAGTGGTATATGGTAATTAATGGATCGATAGAAAATTTTAATTTAACCATCCTATTGTTTGGAGAATATTGATTCCGATGACACAAGGCTTTTGATGTTTTATATCTTCATTTTAAACAATAATAAATACGATTGTATACATTATATACACAGTAGATGTAGTGCTAAGGGAATCTCAAACTCAATGTAGTGCTCCTTACAGTAGTCTATCTTTCACATTTCTTGAAAACTTAATTTAAGATAATTTTTAAAGGAATCCAATCAATCAATGAAATTCGTATTTAAATTTTAGTTTTATTTACCAATCATATGACTGAAATTTATCTTAGTGAAGTTATTGTGAAATATTTCTCTAATGTCTTTATATTTTTTCAGAATCAGAATCTGATTTGAGTAATATTTTTATATCTGAATTCTAGAAATGACGATATCTGAATAGTTATCTTAATATTCAGAATCTGATTTGAATGATATTCTATTCTATTTGAATTCTAGAAATGATATCTAAAAAGTTATCTTAATATTAAGAATCTGATTTGAATGATATTCTTTTCTTTTTGAATTCTAGAAATGGTAATGTTTGATTAGTTATCTCAATATTCAGAATCTGATTTGAATGATAATTTACTATCTGAATTCTAGAAATGATATCTAAATAGTTTCTTAATAAACTCCTATTCTAAGCTGCTATGGTTATTTTGTACATGTACTTGTATCATTCCAATGTTGAATGATTTTACAATGGTCAAATTATTACCAAAGGCTTTTAATGTCCCTTTGTATAGTGTACATGTTTTTTCACTTAATTATTTGTCAAAGATCACTTTTGTTGATATAGTAATTGTCTAATGGAATAATTCATTTGAAATCCAAGCAAGTAATATGCGAGTAGAAGGTTTATTTTATATTTTCTGAATATAATTTATTTCAAGTTGAAATGATATAGTAGATGGTTTATGGTACAAGTAGATTTTTTATAGACATCTATTCATAATAGTCATATATTTCATTTTTGTAAAGATTTTCGTTTTATTACTAGATTCCTGTTTTAACATAGACATAATAAGGAACTGTTCAAGGTTAGTGGAAACGACAGATGTAAATTTACTCATTTAAGGGTATGGAATTCAAATACAAAGAATCTTTTCAAACTGTTGAAATGCTCGTTAGTAGCAAACTTAGTTTGATGAATATCCATTTTTGATGATGTGGTTTTTGTCTTAACGACATTGGCATCAACTGCTCCTTTCTCTTGAACAGTTCATCATTGTCTACCTCAATTTTAAAAGTTATGTTGGTCATTAGCTTAAAATACACAATAAAATTTTACCAGTCATAATCTAGAAATATTGTTTTAACCTTCAATAGAAGTGTATTGTCCGTTTCTATGTAAATGCGATTGATTTTAAACTTTTTTTTTGATATTTTAGAAACATTTGAGAATGCCTTACTTAAATATAGCATTTAATATTAATTATTTCTTGCATATTTTAAAACTTTGTACTTGCATTAATGTAGTCTGGAATTTTGGAACCTTGATTTTTAAATGTTCTGATTAAATTGTATTATTGAAATTGTTGCTTGTCTCTTTTCAAGTCAATAAAACATTTGTCTCGTATCAATTATTGTCTCTAATATGCTTTACAGTGTATATAACTATTATTACTAGTAACCTAAAAGCTCAGCTAGATTGAAAGAAGCTTTTTTGTGCTGAAATACTTTTTATGCTGGAGGTGCATTATTCAATGTACTTGATGTTAGTTTATATGCATATTAAGACTTTCATTTGTTAAATGTTTATATCTTATTCTCACAAAACAAAATGAGGAGAAATTATACTAAGATAAGCAACAGCCAGAATTTTTGTTGGCAAAGATGTAGCAAGTTATGTCGTCTTACTTTGTCCACTAAGCATAAAGTAAGGTTATGTACAATAAATCAGACCAGAGACAAATTCCTCATAAAAAGGTTTTTAATATGGTTTACCAATGAAAAAATATCCACAGTTCACATAATAATGAGCATACAAATATAAAATTTCTTAAAATGAGTTAACAATAAACAAATATATATCAACATAACAAGTCCCACAAAAAAACATTAAAAAATATTATGAATTCTTTCACTTTCCATCATATACATATCTTGTTTCATTTCTTCATCTCCTTTAGACAACTTTAAAAACCTTAATCCTGACAGCAAAGCTAAAAATAACAAGAAAACACAGATCACAAATATCATTCTGTTACCATGTTGGAACACATCCTCATGTAGCAACATTAAAACTGCACAAGATATTAAATTGAGTGGAATACGAAACCAGTTCATTATACTATAGCGAAAATTCTCAGGAATTATTTGAGTCCTTAGAAAACCCATTGCTGGGAAATAAACCCCAACACTAAACTGGAATAACAGGAATGCTAAATAAGATGAGATAATGTCTCTTTTATCAGGATGGCACGCTATAGCACAAATAATATTAGCCAATATGGCCAAACCTGTTGAACTTAACAACATGGTCACAACTGGTATTCTTCTGGACGCTAGGATATGAAACACAGCTTGACCAATCAATATACTGATCATAAAACTAGCAAAGATAAGTCCTAAAGCTGAATGACCAGTGTCCAGTATTGGTGTCCATAAAAATATGACAATGTAAATGACACTTTCAAACAGAGATTCAATAGCACCTATCATAAAAATCTTTTCACTTGATAAAATATTGCGTAGTCCTTCACAACATGATTTGCTAAAGTTTATTTTATGAGCTCCATAATTTTCATTCCAATGGGTAGAAATTATAATTCCCACAAAAATAAGAAAGGGTACAGCCATCATATAAGGTGCAACTGGACCTAAACCAAACCATTCTGAGAAGACATTGGTTGTCATTCCAGCTAAAACAGCTAACAATCCATTCCAAAATGATGCCTTTGCAAAAGTCACTGAAATCCATTCTTTAGGAAAGTCATGAGTTTCAATATGTTCATGGGCGTACCAAGCCTCAAAAGCTGAAAATAAAACCGAAGTGGCCACACCACCTAACACTCTTCCTATTATTAATAGACCATAGCTTCTAGATAACTTTAATAAACATGATAATGAATAGATCACAGTGAAAATAAGACAAAGTTTTTTTCGACCAAATTGATCAGCTGCTATTGGAGTCCATGTTCCTAATATAACAGTGGAGGCAAACCCAAAGACATATAAAATTGCTATTTGCTCTTCTTGGAATCCATAATAGCTATATAATTTGTACAAATATGGTCCTTGAAGCCAGTCAGCAAACATGGCAATGAGATAAACAATATAGTATCCTCGCTGAAATTTAAGAAATTGAGGATTGTTTCCAATAGCTTCATCCCGTCTTATTCTGTGAGCCCAGAACTGAAGAATTGCACACAGTATTGAGAATGCACCAAATATGGAGTAGACAATAGGCAGGAGATCTGGTACTTCTTTCTTGATGGCTGACATTTTCAGATCCTTTTCTGTACCTTTATATGATGAAACATCTACAAAAGAAATACAATAAAATACGTTTTGTCACCTGAGATCTATTGCATTGAGCTTTTGAGAATACAAAAGTATCTTTGGGCCTAATATTCTCCAGATTAAATCAGATTATCGGTTAAAAATGAAAAGAAAAGACATTATCTCCTTACTCTGTGTATATGCCATTGCATGATACTCATTTGACTTTATTATAAAAAAAATTAGCAAAAAAATTCCCCCTCCTCACCTCATATGCTCATTCCAAAAAATAAACTGACATTGCAATATTGATGTAACCCAATACAAATCAAGGAGCTAATATTTATCAAAACACAATGCCGTCGTCGTCAGTCAAACATACCTACTTAAAAATCAATAATTAATCGGAAAATTCTGATGAGTTTCTAAAATTCAGATTAACATCATAAAAATTGAAGCTGAGAAAAATTGTTTGACATGTCAACACCTAATCTCTAGTCCAATAAGTGTGATAATTTTTTACCAGAAATTAACATTGCCTAACATGTAGATTTGTAGAAATATATATTTACGGAATATAATCGTATTAGATCAAGTAGTTGGTCAATGTGCTGAGTTAATTAAGCTTGTGATTGATTAAATCTACACTTATTGGATTTAGTTAGAGAGTAGCAAGCACCTGCTTCCGGTTTGATAGTCTTGATTATTGAAACTGGAAAAAGTACGGATTTTCAAATGGGACAGATAAATCTGGATGATCACGTATCAAAACAAACATTATTACACATGTTCATTGAGTATTTCAAGTTACTGAACTATAAGATTTTACTTGATTAAAACGATGGAGGCAAAATTACCACAGAAAAAGTACTACAGGCAGAGGGCACATTCAAACCCGATTTCAGATCATAATTTGGATTAGTAAGTTATTTCCCCTTATTAAGGCTGCAGCATCAACTCTCAGCACTGGGCGGTGGCAAATAAAAAATGAGGGTGGCGAATATCCTCGGCACTGGCACTAAATCGGTGAATCAATTGACTTGTTTGAATTTCTCTTTCAGTTTCAGCTTTCACTGCATGTATGTGCTTTCAAATTGCAAAGGAAAGGCTATTCTTTTATTCCAGAATTCTTATTGAATCAATATTCTTAACAACAAAATTATTAGTATTACTCATAAGCTACTATATGCCTTTTATGGAGCCTTGTAAATAAGAAAAGTGTTTCTTATGCAGCTTAGGCCAAGTGTCTTCAATATGGTATATATAATCCAGTACTGCAGCATATATCATTCAGAGAAAACATTTGCAAAGAGATCAAAAAGGTTGCACTGCACCAAGGAATAAAGGATCAACTGAGAACTACATATATGTGTGTTCTTACAGAAGCTGACTTTTTGTTCCTTATTTTAGTTAATGAAATAAATTTTGTTTTCAGTCCTGTGCATCCTGATGCAATGGACTGGTCTGTTTATTATCCTCAGTTCTGTCAGCCTATCACATCAACTAATGATAAAGATAGGGAAGAAATAAAGACATCAAGTAGTAAACACCAAGTTAAATTTGCAGATATTGGTTGTGGCTATGGAGGCTTGTTAGGTAATTTCCATGGTTTATTTGATATTTTTTTTTGTTGAAAATCGACAAATGAGATGAAACATAATTGAAATTGTTAGGCCATCAATTTTTTCTGTTAGTGAGTCAAGGGCTGATATAGAAAAGTGTCTAGTCGTTCATATGGACTATAAAAACGAGACCCCATGTGCTAGGGGCTGTGCAATTTAAAGATCCTTCGACAGTTGGAAATCATAAAGGATTATTCAAATGCCGCTGTCTTTACCTCATTGACACTGAATTTGCTTAAAAAAAAAGTGCAGAAAAGTAGGATGTGAAACTCTATTTCAATGATTTTCAAATTTGAAATGTGAATGTTTTATATTTTCAGTTAAATTATCTCCCCTGTTTCCTGAAACTTTAATGTTAGGAATGGAGATCAGAGTAAAAGTATCAGATTTTGTAAAAGATAGAATAGAAGCCTTAAGACTACAACATCCTGGTGACTATCAGAATATAGCTTGTATTAGATCTAATGCCATGAAATATTTACCTAACTTCTTTCATAAAGGACAGGTAAGAATGCTTCTGTATTTCTTGATCTTGGGGCACACAAAGATATTTTTCGCCCCATCCTGGGGAATTGAAAATGGCTTAAAGGATTCACTACATGTGCCCCTTTACAAATGGGCTTAGAAATTGTTGGTAATTTTAATCGACATGATCAGGTTAAAAAACCTGTCTGACCCTAGCATTAGTTCTCTTCTATCCCCAGAATCTAACTAATTTCTTGAGCATGTTTATTTACATTGATAGACTACTGATTTTGGAACTTAAAACTTCATCACAGTGCTGTTCATTGAAATGGACATTTTCCTAATTGCTTCTTTATTGAATTTCAGTTGTCAAAGATGTTTTTCTTGTTCCCTGATCCACATTTTAAGAAAACTAAACATAAATGGAGGATTATCAGTACCACATTGTTAGCTGAATATGCTTATGTTTTACAAGAAGGGGTATGCTTGTTATTCATTTGAATCGGTCTCAGACTATTTCAATTTAATACAGGATTGTGATATGTGCTGCTTGCTTCGAAATGTTTAAAACAAAAAAGGTTTAGCCACAGACATTTTATAAGATTGTGGTTAAATTTTGAAACAGAAATTTGGCAGAAAATTAGAATTAACTGCCATAGGTAAGCTCTTTATGTTGGTCATGTTCTTCTGTTTTACATTATAAGAAGAATGTCTATATTTATAGGGTTTAGTTTATACTATAACTGATGTTAAAGATTTACATGATTGGATGGTAGAACATTTTATACAATTCCCCTTATTTCAACGAGTACCAGATGATGAGTTGGTAAGTTATTATTCCAAAATTTTATTCCAAACCTTTCCTCTGACTTCATAAAGTTATATTTATGATTATCTGTACAGTAAAAACAATCATTGAGGGATTTTATTAATGTTGAAGGATTTCAAAGTATTTTCCTATCTCTAATATCCTTTAACAATTTTCATATGAAATTCAGCTCATATAATTTCGTTTAGTAGAAATATTACCCAAAAGTTACATTGAGAATAAATATGAATATAACTGTGCTTAATTGATAATTGTCATTCAATGATAATTTCAGAGGACCTAGCGAGAAATTTGAAGTGTAGTCTTTAGAGCTCTTTTCTGTAGTGATAATATATAGCCAACATTAATTAATTTTTTTCTTCAGAAAAGTGACTTAGTGGTAGAGAAGCTTTATGATAGTACAGAGGAAGGACAGAAAGTAACAAGAAATAGTGGGGATAAATATTTAGCTGTATTTAAAAGATTGCCGGACAATTTTAATAGTCAAACTAGTTGATATTATTTCTTTAGTGGTATATTGTACAGTCTGTAAATAATTTAACAGTTTTAATGCACTTGCTTTTTTCACTGCAACAATTGAGAGAAAATACATATATATGTTTAAAGGGGAATTCCATTATTGTTTGGAAAAAGAATTTTGCTCAAATTTGTGAAAACTATACACCAAAATCAAGAGAAATGTATCCGAAAGTTAGAAAGTTGTAACTGTTAAAATCCAGCAGTTAATGCTTTTAAAACTTACGTAGCCAGTAATTAATAAAAAAAAATTGCAAACTGCCCCTTTAAGTACTGTTTGATCACTCTAAAATACTCCAATGAAATGAATCAAAAATTGAAATGAATTTTATGCTTATTGATTTAACAAATTCTCGAACACCAGCTGCGCATTGTTAAAACTTCTATATCGAACATTGTTCTGATTCTTCCTGGTTTATATATTTTATATAAATCTCTCCAGCTCATGGTGGGCAATAAGGTCAAACAAACAAAAAAGATTACATAGCAGTTTAATAATGTATATAGATAAATTTAAATAATTACAATTTTGATATTCCCACATCATTGCAAAATAGAAGTAAATAATATCTTGATTAAATAAACAAATACCAAGAAAAATTATTTAGAAAATACTGGTAATATACTATCATTTATTGTTATTATTTTAGATGGAAATTTTGTATAATTTGTGTTAGATACTGTCAAGTTATGAGATTAAAATGCACAAGACCTTTTTGAGGTACAAAATCTGTAAAAGGCGTTAGACATAGTATTGTATTGGCATGAACCATGAATACCAACAATTACAATGAAAATTACAAGACTGAGGTATGAGGACATAGATAGGATCAATTTGTACCATTCCAATCTGTGGTTCCTGTAATTCCACTAAAAACTAAGTGTTTGATGATGTCACTAATCGTGAAAGGGATATTTGATAAAGCATATTTTGCTATTAGTGACATCAAAGACTTAGTTTTAATGGAATTGCAGGAGCCAGAGATGTCTGACTGAAGATTCGAATAATGCAAATAGGTGCTATTATTGTCCCCAATACACATCATTATTTTTAACTAACCTCATAAACTATCTCTTTAACACACATCAACTGGTGTCCTGGATGAATAGACAAATGCTAGAAATGAAAATAGAATTACATAAATGTGGTTGTGGACACAAGAAATACAAGATTGAGATAATGGTAATGATTTAAGGCCCAATCATATATTGAGGTAGAGTGATTATAGTCCTTTCCTATCCACCATATCCACTTTTAATCTAAAAATGAATAGTTCATGACTATTCTTTGATCCACATCATGGCCCATATCTTTTACATTTTAAAATCTTAACAAGCAGTCATTCACAAAGAGTGAAATACCATGATTTGAATTTTTAATTCACTAGAAAATTGATGAGAGTTGAAAACTAAAAAAAAAGAATGATTCAGCAATCATGTAAATAGACAGAAAAAGAAAAATTGTATTGAAAATTGATTTAGAAACATCTTGGCAATTAAAATTGAAAATTGATAGGGAGCTGTTTAAAACAACTCTACAGATTGACATCTCAACAATCATCAGAAGATATAAATACTGTAGCTTCTAGTATGTTGACAAACAGATTTTAACATAGTCAAGTCACAAATTCAAAACTGTTACCACCATCTTATGTTGTGTAATGATCACACCAAATTAAGACAATTCAAAACTACTGTCCTCAAATACTCTAAATAGGCATTGAAACAAGGGTGAAAACCTCAAAACAATACTGTGGAATCATTTACATTTGTAGGCACCATTTTTCATTTATTTCAATTTTCTAATTTGCATACCTGAAATATGAATTCAAGGAAACGGAAATTGACTGCCCACAAATAATCATGTTTTCACCATACCAATGATCACAACTTTTACAAGGAATAATAAAAACTTATAAAGTTATATGTACATGATAATATTATATATAGGCACAATCTATTGAATATACAATTTAAAAACATAGATAAATCACCTCAATAAATTAACAAATAATCTTATATAACATTTCTATTTCAATCACATCCAAATTAATCTTAACAAACCTTGATTTCATATCTCAAAATAATAATAGATATATGTTGAAAGTTACATTTTTTAAACATGCTTCTGCCATTTCTGGTTTTAAATAAAAATGAAGACCCATATACCCTTCATAAAAAATCTAATGGGTAGCAATAAATGAATAGTTATCTTTCTTTGTTGAATTTAATTTCCAAATATACATTGATTAAAAAAAAATCAAAAATATTTAAATTCATGTACCTTATTAGATTAATAACAATTATGGAAAATGTTCAAGATTATAAAATAATGTATGATTGAACAAATTCACAAATACTAAGATTTCAGTTAAAAACAAAAACAAAATTATACTTCCTGTTCTCATCTTAGATTAAATATTTCAAAATAAATTTCAGAAAACCACAAAGAAATTTGCTGGAGGTAAAAATAAGGTAAAAAAATCAATCCAATACAATACAATGGTAAGAAACGAAAACAGAGTTTCTCAACTTACGGTGCTTACTATTCTAATGAGGAATCTTGCCTTAAAACATGGTACTAGACATTTGTGACTAGTAATGTATAAATATCAGTAGTTTACTGTCAGAAACATCTTCATTTTAAATTTATCATAAAGAAACAGTATATATATATATTATATATTTCTATAGAACACTGATTGGTTGATGTTATATTAACCGGTTTGTAGGAAACATTGTAAATTAGAAGGGTTGTAAACAAACAATTAGTTTGGGTGGAATTTCAAAATCCACCAGTTTCTGATTAGAAATTCAAATGGTGGAAATCAATTCCATTGGTGTCCCAGATACATAAAAAATGTTCAGAAAACCCATCTACAATCTCTTAATAATAATAATAAATGCACAAAAATAAGATTCAGATCTGTAGAAGTTACCTCAATATGTGAATCTAACGACAGATAAGTCATAACTGGCCGAATCCTTCAATACAATTCCAACTCAGTAAGGCTACGTATTGACTAAATAAGGCAATATAAGAGTGATATGAGAAATAATAACTGGAAATATTAGAATTAAAAATATGTTAGAGTCTATGTTGACTTTCAGCAATGTATTTTTCTTTTCTCGTGTAGAGGTTTGTTCAGTTGGAACCAAATACCAATTAGTTTACAATATTGCACACTGAAAATAGACATACAAATAATAACCATGAAAGGTTCTATTTTTTGGGGATTTCTTCATATGGGTGCAATTAATAACCCATTATTCTCATTAATAATAATAGCTCATAGACAGAAATTGACATGGAAGAGTCTAATTCTTCAAAAGAAACTCAAATCATGATTTGGGGTCCCACAGCTCATGCATTTTCAATATTCCTTGACAGCTAAAAACAAAAGGAGCAATATAGTCGCTGCTATCCTCGCCAACTTTTGCTCATTGATCACTGCATGATATTGTTCGTTGTCAAGACAAGATAAGCTCTTAATCAATAAGTCATCGAGCATATATATTATTCCCAGCAGTGGAAAAGCGAGGCAAAAATTAATTGACAGAAACTGTATTTCAACAGAAAAGACATATTATGATATGCAGGTTTACAGGATAAATATATCTTGTACTATACTTACACTGTCCTTATCTTTTGGTCTATCACGAGGTGAACGACGTGGAATGGAGGAGGAAGGAGAATGACTAGGATTAGAATGATTACTAGGTGCTGCTGCCCTCTGTTGAGAGTTTTCAGCTGCAGCTGCTGCCCTTCTATCTTCTTCTTCTTGTAGTCTTACAGCATACGCATGGCTGAAATTAATATACAGATATATTCATACTTTTCTCTTCATTATTCATACTTCTCTCTTCATTATATGTAGTGACAATTATTGCACTATATCCCTGGATGTGAACACTGATCAGACATCTAAATTTCCCCCTTAATATTAAACATGAATATCCTTATCAAAGAAATTACAAAAACATCATTCAATGGCAAAAATTGTTCAGAAAGCATAGGGAATATTCATTTTATACTTGTTAATACTATCAACATTGTACAGGTTTCCCAGGTCTTTGGAAAATGTCTGGTTGACAAATAAATAAACAGCCCTGCATTGTAGATTTATTCTCAAACTCCATTATTTTCAATTTATTTGACATGACACGTTAGGTCAGATATACTTACTCTGATTTAGCTATAGAAGCACTGTCTTTCTCATAACTATTCCATGCTGTACTCTCACTATCAACATTGGTAGCTTGTCCTTCTTGTTGTAATGATAGAGCTACTAGATAACTGTAAAATATATAGAAATTTGTTTTCTCAATGGCTGTAGCTTAGTGTGAAAAGTTTGAAATTTATAAATACAGTGTAACCTGCTAAATAACTATATGAACAATTTGAATACTAAACGTGGTTTGACTAATTTTTACATTTACTTTTTGGTCCAAACCTCCCAGGCCCTGTCTCTCACAGGGCAAAAGAGTACTATAAAACCAAGTTTGAAGTTTAAATATTGTTTTTCTTCGATTTCATGTTAATAAAGTGTAAATGTACATGGACTGACATGTAGCCAGTATTTGATTTTAACCAAGTTGATTTCTTCAACTTTACATAGGGAAGTTTTTTAATCCCAAATTATTTAAACTTATAGAAGAATGACAAACACACAACACGAGCCAAAAGTTGAAATGGATTTTTAGATTTTTTAGTGCAACCTGTTGATAGTCTTGTTCAAACAATGTCAAATTTTAGTTTGAGCAATTGTAGAGAAATATGTCTCCTACTTATTCTGAAAGTTTTAACTAATAAAATAGAACCAAACCTGAAATTTATGTCCAACTCCTAAATTAACAATTACTACACACCGTTTTTAATTAACCCTTAAAGTTTGATCAAGTAGATGCATAGATATAAATAGCATAGAAAAATCTTCAGGTATAATTTACGATTTTGCTAATGATAACTTTGCATACTGCCCCTTTAAATGAATTTTGTCAATTTGCGAAATCAAGTGATATGTTTAACAGAAGGACTATTTATTTAGTATTTTTAATCAATTGTAGCTGCTTAATTATATTTCTTCTACTTTGCCACTCTTTAAAAATAAAACATTTTCACGTTGGCTTGATTGTTGATTGTAAACAATGGTATTGAAGAAATGGTCATTTTCAACATTTTCTGTGTGTTTGTTGACTGGTCACCTTGAGAGATTAGTTTGTGGACGCTGGTCAAAACTTGAGATGTAAACGAAGAAGGAAAGGTCAATATTAGTACCTAGTCAATATATAATGGTGAAAATAGCACACAATCAATTCATACATTCTCTTACTAATAGGCTTTCTTTTAAATAACTGACAATTATTTTCCATTTCAAATCATCTACTTCACAAAATAACATGTTATATCTAAGCTCATAGTTAACTTTTCTTTTTTAAATATTGTAATACACCTCATCCTATCTTTCCAAGAAGGGCTGTAGCTCAAAGGGTTAAAGCGTTAGAATTGGTTGTCATAGGCCTGATCAGGTGTAAAAATGATGGTCGTACATCCTAATCTCACTCCACATGTGAAAGTCTGGTTGCTTTGAATAAGTCATCTTCTAACATTATTCTAGTCGGCCCAGCTATTAATGGGTACAGATAATCAGGGAAAGTTAAATGCCAAAAGGTTTGGTGAAGGATCAACTGGTGGACAGGATCCTTGTGAACCTTAGCTGATATTCTACAAAAGTGAATTGATACATCCTTTAAATATAAATCTCATCAAAACTCATTTCAGTTTTCAATTTATATGAGTTAAAAATATACACATAAATGTTAAGAAATTTGAAATCTTACTCATGATCTATCTGTTCTTCACTACCAATAGAGACATTGGTCGGGGGTGGAATGACATGAGTGGACGGTTCTGGTTTAGTATAGGTCCGAAAATTACCATCAACAAAATGACAGTCACCATCAACATTAGATAATGTCTCCCATACCACATTAGTTTCTGTTAAAAAACCTTGATCTGTTACCAGCAGGAATAATTCTTTCTAAAAAAATCAAAAATATAAAAATATGAAATATAATTTCATTTATTACAGCATATTCACAATGTCAAAAACCCGACATCATTTGGAATATTTTTTTAAATCACAGAAAATTGCAAATGCAGCCATTTGTTTGGTTTATATTCTAGCAAATACAGCCAATCAGCAGCCATGATCACACTCACAGTCATATTGTTTACAGTTTACCTAATCTAGGGCTCTGATTTGTTGTATTTGCTCGCGTACAATCCAATAAAATGTCAATATTTGAATATCTATGCCTTACAGTGATTACCTATACCTCCCACACATTTAAAGAATATGTCTCCAAAAAAAATATTAATAAATGTAAGCAAGATATCAAAGTCTATTGTTTAAAAAGGTGCCTTTAAGATAAAGGTTTGTTATTTGGTAATTGGCAACTCCCTCAGTCATATGATAACTTTTAAATAGGTTTAAGGAAAGTACTGAACGCCAACTGTTAAGATCATGGGCCAAAAACTGTTCTCAAAAAACAATGAATGGAAATAGCTACATAAAACCTATTTAGTCCCAGACAAAATTGCAGCCAAACATAGTTGAGATGAGAGAAATAACAGGAAATTTTAGACATAATATCAAACATTATTCTATTTTCAATCAATGAGAAAAGGAAAATATGGCTGCCAAATTGAATACATCTGTAACCTTGTCAACAAATCTTCTTAGAACATTTTATCTGTAATCAAATACATGGATTTAACAGAAAAACCAAAGAAAAACATCTACAATTGTTAGATGATTTCTGTTTAAGCTATATTCACTTTGTTTGTCTTAAACTGGATTCCTACTGTTTCTTCACTGGCTTAACTAGCTTTTATATATGAAGGTTGAAGAAAAGTCCTATGTCAATGTGACTTTCAAAATTTTGCTGAAGGATTTTGGCCATAGACAACTGCTGGAAGTCATAATGTATCGTAATTCCAATGAGCATTGTTGTCAAATTTTCAAGCAATTCTAAGTTTAACTTTTAGAATAAAAGAGAAAGCCGATAAGCTCTTGCAGTGATTTCCTTGTCCTGTCCTTAGCTGCCAACAAAATTAAAGGTCAAACTGGCCCTTTGATAAATTAAGTTATTCTTATAAAATATAAATCTTTTTCAGTTTTTTCTCAGACAGATAGACAATCATAAGTACCAATAATAACATATTGTTTTGGTTACTGATAAATAAAATGTTCTGTTATCTGTTTTTGGCCATTTCATCAATTAAACTAATTTACATCAATCATAACTTATATCAACAGACAGTCAGACAAATATGGCCACCAACTAAAATGGCCGACTACAAACATGGCTGCCTACAAAAATGTACTTTGATTACTGAGAAATTTGAATTCTAGTATTTGAAGATACTGACGACACTCCCAGACAATTTGATCTAAATATTGAATTAAATGTATTCCCAAAGATGAACCTAACATCTTCAATATTTATATTTGTGGTGCATCAACAATGTTGTCAATAAGTGTGGCCATTAATCATAAGATTACAATGGGAAAATAAAAGATACAACGCCTACAGACACAAGTACATGTACTTCAATGCACTTTTATAAAGATACCATCAATGATAGACAGTTCCATTTTGAAGGAAGGTAGTCCACAAGCTTTATGTAACTTGTAAGCAAAGAATCACAATACACAATACATTTGAAATTGAATTCAATTTTACAGCAGGCAGGAATGAATTTCTTGATGGAATTTTGGATTTTGAAATTGGATGGATTGGGAATTACTATATCAAGCTCCCTCTGTGTCCAAAATTTTAGAGGATGCCAGATAGACTACAGTGCAAAGTCCCCTAGTAAAGTACCCTTTGGATACCATTTGACATACTTCCAAGACATGAGAAATAGCTTCCTACACTCCTAAAATTTGATTAAAATGTAGCAGTTAGTTAGAACAGATTGATAATGACTATACGCAAATTAAAGACTTAAATTATGATCAGGTTTAGAATGAAAATCAAACAGCATATCAAATTAATTGATAGCAACATAATATACATGCAATAAAAATATAAAATACGCTACAGTGAGTTTACAGTTAGTGCCAATAAAAAATGTGTACTTAGATTGCCAGAAGAGAAATTGAATTTAAAGGAGAATATTTAATTAGGATAGCAGATGAAATGTGCCTGCTGGGTAATGATGCTGACATCTCTCTGAGGGTCAAGTACGCCAGACTATCAAATGTATCAATTTCTACTCCCTCAGTATATTCTACAAGTGCCAAATTTTGAAACTGCACTCGGGGAGTCTCAAATATGTACATTATCAGAAGTTGCTCTCATAAATTTGATGGGCAATGAGCGTATGACAGGATACATGCAATAAAGCTATCTATTTATTTTAAATTTATTAAGTACGACTAATGAATATATAACAGTTTAAAGTAATGTACTATTTTAGCTTCAACATGTAATAATATTTGCAATCTATATCAAAAGCAGGAAAATTCTAAACTAGCAAAATTAAATGTGACATAGTCCCTAAGTTGTGGTTTTTGAATAGGTCCCAACAATTTTTAAGTTTTGTTTCTAGTTACCAACAACCTTAAACACAGAAGATTATGAAATGAAGCATGTGTTTATGCTACTGAACATGGGCAAGGCGATGCAGTGTTCAATGAGGGAAAATATAATTTCTTTTTAATTTCCAACTGTCAAGGGATTTTTAAGGTGCATACTCTGTAGCGTATTTGGCCTCAGTTTACTGTACGTGTACGAATATCAATGATAAAAACAAAAATTTGATGGTAATAATAAGAATAGAAAATCATATCAAGTGCTTATTTAAATGGTTTGGGTTGTGTGGACAATATTGATCAGGCCAATATTTTAGATGTTGAACATCACACTGAGAGTGCAGCCATGATCTTAGGGTGTAAAATGGTCTAGATTTATTGAGGTATTTTGACATCCTCATTTTTTGTTGACAGTAATCTGTTTGATGACACACTATGTTTATGATTTTCCTACCTGCAAACAAACCACATCAATATTTATTTAGGCAGAATTCCATAAACTCAAAGATTTGTCAGGAAAAATCACAGAATAAAGAAAGTTTTAATCAATAAAGATTAAGCTGAGCAAAATTTAAATTCCATCAATTTTGAAAGTCTGATGAATGAGCAGCCATGTCTGTAGATTTCAAAGTTATTGGAATAAATTTAAAATATTTGCCTAAATAAAATCATCAATATATAATATAGCTCATTTAATTTATTATAGATGCTTCAAAATTCAGTAAGTTAATTTTATAATCATACTATCAAATTCTACAAATTCAGATATAGAGTTTAAAAAGAGACATAATTTGGATATGGTCCATTTAGTGCAACAACATGCAAAATTTAAAGTTGAATTTCTAAAAACGACATCCAATTTCAACAGTGAAATGTTTTTCTCTGTATATTTTTTCAAATATTCTTAACATTGTAAATTTCTTCATGGCAATGTGCCTTTAATTCAAATTTTTACTTTGATCAGATTTAAAATAAGTGCAGAAAAAATGTGCAAGAGGAAGAGTTACCTTCCTTTGAGTTTAAATTTAGCAGACGGGTTAGAAATGGGACAGTTGTATGTGAGTCAATAGACTGCTTGGCCAACCAACTAATCAACAGTCGACAGAGGGATTTTCTTCACCAAACTTAAGACTTACAAACATTCGACTTATTTCTAGGAGTAGCAGACTATCCAATCTTGCTCAACGAGGATTTTGGAGATTCTTAATGTAAATTTAAACTTATGTGATTACAAATAAGGAATATAATATTATAGAAGATGCGGATTACAGAGATAATGAAAGTTATAAGTGGAACTTGTTTTATATTTGTATGGATATTTACAGGTAAGCAGGATAATTTACTTCCAAAATTTAAAAATTAGTGCAAGCGTACCATGGTATGCAAATAATTGAATGAAATGAAGTTTAACATTCTTCTGTGTAGCATTTAGTTCAATCATTGAACATAGACAATATGATGATGTGTATAATGGCAGTAATTTTATAATGTACATAGCCAGTAGCTATGATCTAACACCAGAACTTTAGGTTAGTGAGTAAACATCTAAGCTACGACAGCAAATCAAAAATGAACACACACTACACAAGTCAATTTTCTGTATGATTTGTAGGCAAATGTAAACTTTAAACACTTTTTTTTATAGCCATCTTTTGAGATAACATGTATTTGAGGGCTGAGCGATCAGACACTTATCAATGTAGAACATTCAAAGAAATGTTAATTCTCAAAGTAAATCAAAAGATGTAGGAAAAACAGTTATCAGGCATAAAAAGTTAAAACAAAAATTAAACCCAATACCCAAATATTAAAAAAAATTATATAAAACAGTATAGACAGCCTTTAATGACCAATGTGAAGAGGCAAAAGTGTTTTACCAATGGTGATAACTTTCTGTCAAAGCACATCAACAATGAAAATTTGATGAAAAAAATTAATTCTAGTTTCAAGTGAAAAACTTTTCCAGCTTTCATTAAAATGCATACCAAGCACTGCCGATTACAGCTTCGTGTTTCCTTATCATAAGAGAATTCAATAGTGTCTGATTGTCAAGCAGAAAGCTCTACTACTGCTTACGGCCGCATTGAAAATTTGTAATTTTAAATTAGATGCAGTTTTGATCTGTTATAAAACTGTTATATATATTATAGATGTAGTCTATGGATGTGATGAAGAATCAGTATATGAAGCTTTACAAGCCTGTCAAAATCAACGTGAAGAATTATCAACAGCAAGTGGATCATCTTTCTCTGGAAATGAACCAAATTATGAACAATTATGCTTGTAAGTATCCTAATTGAACATGGTCAATTTTTGTAGTCATAAGATCTTTTTCATGTCAAAGTCACTAACCAGACTTCAAAAAGAAAGTTGAAAAACTGCAATGATTTGCTAAACAGACACAGAAATAGATTTTTTTTGTGGTAGCCTTTAAGGTATAAATCAAGAATTGACACAAAATTCTGTCTCTTTGGTACAGATATGTCTATTTTTTTTAACAATGTAACATTCTTGTTTTTTGCATGAAGTAAAATCAGAGTAAGCTTACTCATCGTTTTAAAAACTTGCTTGTAACTTTGCAAAAAATTATCCAATTTATTTCAAAAAAATGTTCAGATTTAATTCTGCTTTTGAACTATACTAAATATACTTTCAAATATATGTATACTAATGACTAACTAACTAACTTTAAATAGTTTTGAAATTAACCCTGTTATGTCTGTTATCCACTTCTACTTCAATTTACTCTCTGATGATGAAATATTGAACAATCTGGTAGCAAATTACTACTCTAGAAAGTTTCCATCCTTGAACATGAGTTAGCAAATTGCTACAAACTGTAGAACAGATGCTAGTTGTAAGTTAATGAGTGCAGTATCTATTTCATATTGAAACATTTGAAACAGATTGGATACTTGACAATTATAATTCAAATTCCTTTAGCACACCTTTATTCAATCTTTTTATAAAGAACTATCTTAATTGAATTAAAAGATGCAGCTAAGATTCTAGCATGGGGCAAAATAGTGTAGAAAAATATATTATAACTTCATTTAATAGTTTCCTATCAATGAATCTTGACTTTAATATGGACTTTGATCAATATCACTTTTAAGAAGCCATTGCTTCATTGTTACCACTTCAAAAACATTATGGCAATGAAATGATGAAATGTGGCCATCTATGCCGTGTCATGTAAAAGCTCAGTAACGATGTTTCTGCACATTAATTCACTCAATATAGCTTGCCTTGTTATTCTGTAATACAGAGATCTCTAATACCGGTAGTTTCAATCAGAACATCCTAATTTATCATCTTCTGATTTGAACTATGCAAAGAGGTCCTATTATTGTATTGTATTCTTGAACAACATAAGTGGGCTCAAAAATAGAACATCCACAGAATGTTTTAAATCTCCACAAATAGTTGACATGCTTTTGCCTCCATTAACTTCGTTTTAGCAGTCTGATGTTGAAAGACTCTTTCTCTCAGAATCAATATTGATTTGATTTTGACACCTCACCTTGACTGTTTATTTATTTATTTGTTGATTTTAGGGCCTTTGCTAACTATGTGAACTGTATGGATCCTCGTATAGGATATTGTAATGGTACAGCTACTTCAGCTTTCCAAATTATCAAGGACACTTATTCAGCTCATCCTTATAGTTGTGCAACAAATGGTAAACAACAGAATAAAACCGGTAAGTATCCTCATGACCACATTAGTAGGTTTTGTTTAACAATTTTGATGAGTAAATTCTGTACATTTCCACTCATTAAACCAGGCTAGCAAAAGACTAGGCTATTCAATTCCTCTATGAGACATTTATTTACCCAGTAAGGAAAAGTTATTCATGAAGACAAACAGCCACATTAAATTTTGGCCAAAAATCAAAATCGCCTGCCTAGTTTTTCTCTTAGTTGTTAAATTAAATTTGCTCAAATTAGACATTATTGAAAAGTGAAAATAAGAGATTATTGATACTAAATGATACTTAAACAACAAATCGTCTTGAAACTTCCAAACATTGAAAATATTGCAGAATTTAACATTACTCACTACAATGTTGCCAATGTTATAAAAGACTCCTTAAGATATTTTACTGGAAATCATAAAATGAGGAGTTGTTAGTTATATCAAAGACTGTTTGTAATAAAGTCAAGTAGCCATCTTTGATATTCTATAAACTATCTACTCATCTAGATGTAATTATATTTCAATTTTAATATAAAGACAGCCATAAGGAAAAGATACTAGAAATCATGGCAGACGTTTTTCCACTGATTAAATAAAATATATCTGATCATGAAATATATTACTTGAAATAAAATCCACAAAAAGAAACGGGGGATTATATCCTAAATCATCATCTTGGGTTAACAAAGGCATTCATCTCCATCTCCAAATTTCTCAGAATTACAACGAGAAGCATTGACTAAATGCTAAAAAAGGGACGAAATCACAAATATGCTTTTTGTTTACATTATTACAGGGATGTGTTTTTATATGGTCATATGCTAGATGTGATTGGTATATTTTTTAATGAAAATTGTATCACATTTGAATTAAGCCTGAATCATTTGTCAGATCATCATCAAAGTATATAAGATTCTGAATTGACTACCACCTACTTTGTATCCTGGGAAATTGAATATCATCCACACAACAATTTTGTGTATTAAACTTGTAAATATTGTTGTTTTTCAGAGAAACCTACAGAAGCAATATCAGTGAACATTCCAACTAAAACAACTAGAAATGATTATACAGTGAGAGATAATCCAGATAATTCATCAACTCAAAATATATTTCATATATTATCATTATTTATTTCATTGTTCATTTTTACACTATTACTATGAAACTATATCTCCTAAACTTTGCTAGTTTCAAAATAATACCATCCCTTGAAAATATTTTGTTTAGCAATGAATTTTCGTACAGAAAGGTACAACGATTGAGCCAAATACCCAAGCCATTACCAGTAATTGGATATTTGTGTAATTTCATTCAAATGTAGTCTGGTTTTTATAGTATTAATCATCAAATGTCTTATTAAGACATGGGTATAGACTATTCACTTAAAGACATAGTGATTTGCCATCTAACGACAGAAATAGAAAAAAATGTTGATATGTAGATAATTTTGAAGGGTCATTAGTTTATCAGTATAGTTATATTGTCAGTTATGTTACACACTTCAATCTAGTTGAAAAAACAGATTCAATGTTTTGTTTTCTTACCGTTCAAATGCTTTTACACTATAAACTTATTTTCAACAATTTATTTTGGCTACAATAAGTGTAAGTTATCTAAGGACCAAACTACCGGTACTCAAATAAGTTACTAGACCTACAGAAAAATATGTCACAAAATATCCAATGTAATCAGTCAGATTGAAGATAACCTTTTTCATTTTTATATAAACTACCTAATTGTGCCATGTATATTTTGTAAAATATAATTATTTTATATTGCATAGAAAGTTGATATATAACACACTAACAATTGATTCAAATGAAATTAATTCTAAATGGCATGTATTTTGAAAGTGATATCATTTTGTTAATCAAATTGGTCTAATCTCAACTTTAATAGTCTCATGCACAGAATTTTTTTGTAGTCTTATTCATGATAAATTAAGAATGGCATTTTGGAGGAACACTATTTTCAGAAACACTTAAACAAGTGCCACTTAATTTTCAGGGTAAAAAAACTCTTGTAATATATTGTAACTATTGACAACCCCATACTGAGTAGCACTTTGTTGCAGTAATACATTACAAATTATCTCCCCTTATCATGTTAAAAAAAACATGCCAGACACATGCATTATTTATACTAGATTTTCAGGATTGAACCATAAAATGAGTTGTACACAATATATATATTGTTAAGTTAGGATTTTGAGAAACCGGTCTGGTGTCTATGATTATTGAAATTTGAGAAAAGAAAATGAAAGAACCATATTGACAAGGTACTGAGCACACATTGGAAATGTATGGACAATTTCTATCAATGCTCTATCTATCTACTCACAGCTTCAGTATGCCTATGTATTTCATATAATGTATTGATTTTATTGATGTACAGAATTAGTCTGCTTATTTTATGTTATTTTTTCTAATATTTGAGGTAAAAAAATATAGAAGAGTATTGATATTTTTTCCACAGCAAAAGTGCAGAAACACACGAAGCTGATGTTAGCTACATGTTATACAACACCCCACAGTTTTATGCTATATAATATATTATGATCATATCCATGAATGATATGTTTAAGGCCCTGCAACAATCAAAGTGTTGCATAATCCTCATAAGCAAAGCTTGATTTCCATACATGTCTGAATCAAAGATACAAGATTTAAGCCTGCTTCTTAGGCTGCTTTGTAGGCACTGAGATGAGCGAAATCGCATTTGATTTGTCAGTTATCTATGTAACATAAACAGTCATGCATACTCATTAGGGGTTTGCACAAATTTAATATTGTGGTGCCAGTATTACTGTAAACATGTGTCTAAAAATCAGAGTTTAACACAAGGGACATAACTCATTAGCAAAAGGACTGCTTACATTGTCTGACATGGTTGATGAAACAACCCAGTCTCAAATTGCAATGATTATTTATATATCTAAGTATGAAGAATGCCAAAGTGAAGCAGGCATGTAAGAATTAGAATATTAATAAATTTACTCACATTGTGTTTATATAAAGTAGTAAAGTGGTTATTTCTGAAGAAAACACACAGTTCACCATCTTTAACTTTATGTCCTAATTCACACAAACCATGATATGTTAATTGAGAAGCTGTTCTATCTAGAAACTGTTCTGCGACTAAAGCTGAAATATAGAATTTTTCTTGCATCATTTTCACATGTAGTTTAAGTGTAGCATATCTATAAAGAAAGGATATATTGCAAATTTAAATTTACTTGAAGATATAGTTTAGCTTCAAAGCTTAATCAACTCTATAATAATTCTTTGGAGATCCGATTCAAATATAAACCTGCTGAAATTACAGAAAAAAAGCACAAAAGGATTGAAAAAAGCACAAGTGGACTAAGCTCAGAATAAGGTGGACTGGGTGCACGGACCATCGGATCCCTATTGAGTCAATCACCCTCACCTTACCTATGCTCATCTGATTTAAGCTTGTATATATGTAGTGTCCCTGACCTCTCAATCTGCATATGGTAATTAGAACATTTTTTGAATTAGTTACACAAATTTTTTTCTAAATTTTCAACCTTTTTCTATTTCTTACCTTCTCTTGCTGTCTCTTCATTATCTGAACTCTTCTGTGAGATTATCTTTTCAACAACTTGATTATAACTTAGTTTACCTAAAACAAATATAAACAGAAATCTAAATTACTAATGTAACTACCCAGTTTACATGCTATTTATGTATACCGGAACATGTAATTATGTAGAAGTAACTTATGAAGCAACTATTAGAAGTTTCTTTAAAACTGAATGGAATGAATACTTGTGTCTTCTGGTTTGAGACTGTTTCCTTTGACAGTTTACCCTCACTGTTCACATGAATATAGCTGTAGAGCCATTGGGAGATAATTCTTATTGCTATGCACTCAATGAGAAGTGGACAGTTCAGAAGTAACTATCTTAAATAGCCAAACTCTACCGAAAGTACAACTCATAATTTTTGAAGGAAAAGCTCAGGAGTCTGTATGCTCTTGACTTCAATTCTCCAAATCTCCAATGTCTAGGCTATATCAATTGTCAAATGATAACCATCTGCTTTAAAACTAAAAAAAAGCTCAAATATACTAACCTATGGCCTTTATACATTGTGAATCTTGGGGATCTATGAGCCAACCATGATATAGTGGTATTTCTAATAAATCAAATATAATACATTCTGGTGTATATTCAAAATCATCTACCCTACAATTGAATTGATTAACATTATGAAAGTGATTTTACATCTAATTTTCAGCTGTATGGGGATCTTAGAGATAAATGTACGATGCGAAAATTATTGTGAGAGTGCCAATATTTAAACACTTCAACCATTATCTTTTCAATACTTCTCCATGCAAAGACAGGAATAATGATGCAAACATATATAATGGGAGCTAACTCTTTTTAACAGAAGACTTCTCACATTCTGACTTGTGCTTAATTTTTACAATTTTGTATACTTTAAATCATTTTTGTTTTCATTAAACTATTTTAGGATCTGAGCTTACCCAGTAAATTTAACATTGACATCAAGACCAGTCTGTAATTTACACATAATATTAATACCATCTTGCATATTCTGTTCATAATTAGCTTGAATTGTTTCTGTTAAATTCTATAAGTACAAACAGAAGACACATTTAATGTCATCAATTGAAAACATAATAATTGGGTTGAGCAAAGATATTTAGCCATATCCTGGTCTTGTTCAAAACAAAACTTTTTATGATGGAAAGTTTCTAGGCACATTTATTAATACATGCAATCCGAATTTGGCTCGAATGCAGAAACAAGAACATGTATTTTAGTTAATTTTCAGTAACAGCTTGAAACTCTGGGCAACAACAAGTTGCAGGTTTTGTTTTAAGCAGATTGTATTATCAAATATTATTACAACTACAAAACATAGAATTACTAACCTTTGGTTTACTTTCTATGATATAATCCCCTAAATAGGTCATCAATTGTTCACTACTAATCATTTGAACCATTGACGCTAGCGTTAATTTACCTTTCAATAACAATACATTTACAATAGCTAACAACGGACATGGTCCATTTTCATTTTGAGTTATAATTGGCACTTGATTGTTTCCAAAATAGATCCATTTTATATAATAAGTATTCTGTCCATTTTCAGATTGAGATTTTTCAGCAGATGTACTTTCAGGTGCAGCAGTTGCACCCTCTGTCTCCATGGAAACAGGAGGAAGCTGTACTTGATTTGGTTGATCAAGGACAGAATCAGCAAGTTCAACTTTTATATCAGTCACATCACTTGCCTCTTTTGTTTCATTTGATTCACTTTGATGAGTGTCTGCCTTTTGTTCATTATCAACTAAAGGTTTACTGGTCTTGCTATTTGATGTAGTGTCAGCCATGTTGGTTTCTGAAGTTAAAACCAGTGATGCATTAGCAGACGTAGCACCATCCATACTAGGAATATCTTGGTCTTCTGTTAAACCTGGACTAGTTGTTTCTACATTATTGCCATTTGTACCTTGATTAACACTCTCAACTTCTTGTTCTGAAAAATATTGATAAATATTGATGAAGATGGATGTAAAATATTTTTTTTTTTCAAAAATAAGTGAAATAAGTTCTTTTGATACATAAAAATACACATCAGGTTTGCATGGTCTTAAAATGCACATACATTTACATGTATATTATTATGGCTTCATGATACATTCTGCTATCTCTTGTACCACCAAGACCATCATCCCATAATTTCACACTTCTAGGCATTGCACATCATCATAATATTCAAAAAGATGCAGAAAGCATAACCCTATTTCATTTCATACTACTGGACCCTTAACATTAATTCAAACACCTAAGACACCTAATGCTACTTTATTATTCAAAAGCTGAATAGAATTTTCCACATTCTCACAAGGTTTATTACATTATAGTTCATGGCATCCACATTCCATGCTAAATAACCATGATGATAACAGGAATTGAGCCAATTATTTCACATAAGAGTTTACCTTTACTGAAAGTTGACATATACATCAAAGATAACCTCAGTATATCAATAGGTAAGCTAATTGTAAACAGAAGATGTAATGATGATTTAAACGAACTATGACCTAATAATGACCTTTATACTGGGTGATCCATCAATAAATATCATCGAACTATCGGTCAGTCAATAATGGCTTAGACTAATTGTCTAGTATAGTATATATTATGATATATTGGCTTAGTCAGATATAAATATCTACCAATGACTCAAATCTTTCATAAGATACCTTAGGCCACAATAAAATGCATCATAATATCATAATTTTACTGTTCTCTCAACAAAACACAAGACCAAATCCAAAATAAAACACTGTCTATTAAATATGACTTTTATTTACACTATCACTAAACCAATTTCCATTATATGTCTGCATAATAATTGTATCATTTAAAATCCAGCTGTCCTCAGGCTACAAAATCCTATTGGCCTACCAGATTCTAGATGTCTTTTCACTACAGTTTACAGAAAATGATCAACTGTAATAGGTACCGCCAAGGAAATTCAAAATACATGTTACTGCCTATTCTTCCAAGATTGAGTGTCTTAACCTGATTTTCTAGCTGAGTTTGAAAATATTTTAGGCTAGTAGTAGTACAGCACTCCAATTTGAGACTTTAGGCCTACACAGTGTACACAAAAAGACTATTAATCATGAAAATGATAACTACTCAAAACTAAGATATCAAAATAAATACAGTCATCACTAACTAATATTCACGAGACATTGGTTGGGGTGACAAACCATCAGGCCTATCCAGGGTTTGAAAACTCTCCACAAAATGACTTCTTCATGATCATCAAATGATCACAGATTTTGTAAATTTACCCATTTTTTCCGATCCCTGAGCTTCAGTAGCCATTGGGGTGGTTTGAGTTGCAGGCTGATCCATATTGTCAGGTGACAACGACCATTACAGGCGACAAAATCAAATAAAATCTTCACACTTCACAGGATTGTTTTGATGACACCTTTCTTTCACTTCATTCTCAGATGAACCGGAAATGTCATGCCAAAATATGCGCATGAGCAGAACACTTATTCGCCATCTTGTTCGAAAATCGCGAATTTCCAAGGATTAAAGTTAGGAATTTCGATTTAAGATTATGTTACGCGAGTGTTTATTGTAATCCATATGTGCATTTCGTACCCAAACTATTTTTCTATGATATAGACTAGCTCACGTATAAACTGAACCTTTTGTATTGACTTTTTGAGGTCGGATTCCTTCACGGGTCTCGGTGATAATTTGTGATTTTCTTGCGAAGTTCTCAAAATAAGGACAACATCCATTCATATTATTTATTATCAGCTTTAAAAGTTCTGAAACGATTTGGTAAGTTTTATTTCATATGAAAAATTATTTCAAATAAAATGGTGATTCTGTCTAAATTCGGCAAAGATGAACCGTTATTAAAAAATAATAGATCTTGATCTAGTTGAATTAGTTTTCAGTAATTCAGACCAGTAAATATTCATAAACATTACAAACGAAAAAGCATTGGGAAAGCGTCTGTTCTGTTGTGAGCAGAATATTGCAATGAAATGAATGGGTTCCTAATAATTAGAAATAAATCAATTATCAACCACAAAGTTGATTTCATTGAATGTGATCTTTAGCCAGTTATACATGTATTTTAATGCAACATCTACTTTGCATTTTTATTCTTTGTTGTCGGCAAGTTTAATTGCGAAATAAAATGATCCTTTTTCCAGTTCAAAGTTATAGGCCTACTTCTGGTGATTTTTTTGCAGGAGCAATGCCCGATTGTCCTTGTGTCTGTTCAGTGGAGCAAGTCATTTGTCTGCTCGCTAACCGTGGGTCGTGGGAACACCTGCTAACCATATTTGGAAACTACCAATAAGCTTTGTCCCATAGTTGGTTTAATGGCTGTTCCCTTCTCCTCCTACGAGTTATATTTAAACATTTCGGGTAGAATAGCGTAATAAAGGACCGATATACGTCATTACTATGTATTAAAATGTTGCACAATGTCATAAGATTATATCAATATAGTTTTTTGGTTGTATTTGAGAATATTTTATATTTTCTCACACTGTGAATTGTAGGTTTATTTACGTTCAATTGTTGTAAGAGCCAAGCATCATTGTTCTCACGATGTCAGATGCAAATAGATTTTCCCACGAGTGCTCATTTCAAAGTCGGGAGTAAGACAGTGTTGCTCAATGTTTAAAACTTTGTAAAGGGTGGTGACTTTTTTTTCACAACATGTTCATGTGTATAATATGATTTAACTGTCACATTTGGATTGTATACTGTTAACAAATTTCTTTACAACTGATTGGAACTTCTTGTAGTCTTTCATCCCGCCGCCAATACAGTGGCGTAACTGCCGTGGGATTTGTTTTACGCACTGTGGTTTTTATATTTTAACAATGAATGAACATCACCTTTTTGGTTCCCAAGTAAGTAGAACAATAAAGAATAAACAAAGATTATGAATTTAAACCAAATTTTACAATATTTCTTGAAAATAAAGTCATATTTACGCATATACCGCCATGGGAAATATTACCGTTATATACTTGTTAATGGGAAATGATAAAAGGCCGTGAGAAAAGTTCCCACGCTCAGTATGTTTCTTTGTTTAAACCAACGGTCATTATTATTTCAACTGTGTCCACTTAATATTTAGACTGGTGGACAGCGTGAGTATCCTTGTGATTATAAAATACCAAGTTTTCCCAGTCACTTTAGAAACGATTCAAAGATTGTCTTATTTCAATAAAAAAAAAATCTGGCTAATCAAATAATGATTATTGACTTTTCTGTTGAATTGAAACAATTTACATTTCTTTGTTGAAGGAACAATATTTTCTCATATGAAAATATCATCTGAGACTTTTGACAGCAGTTTTTTTTAAACCAATGATTAATATTTTAATATAAAGATATGATTGTTTTCTTCTTTGTGAGTTTTGTATTTTAACTGTTTTTCTGAATTTTTAAGTTCCTGCTTGAAAACAGTTAATTCAATCAATTGTACTACATATTTGAATTATTTTAAAACTCAAATAATATTGACACCAGCTAATAAAGAAAAGACACTATTACAATAGTACAATAGTTTGTTGGTACTTCTGCAGTACATGCTAATTAATTATCATTTGCTGTTGTTCATTAATGATTACAGTAATAACTTAATTAGCAGTTTTGATGATATTATGTTAATATGTAATGACGTCACCTAATAACCTTGTAAAAGAGTTTAATTTGAATGTTGGATGTCATGGCCTCCAATAATTACCTAGTCTGTGATATCAGAGTCTGTTGGAACCTACCAACCTGTTATGACCTTTTGTTTAGCTGATGCAATTTGCTGTTCTCATCAACTTCACTTGTGCTTATTTTCATATTGAACTTTAGAAGAACTTGATGTCAGGTTTTCAGTTTGAAATGTGAGGCGAATGGTTTTTGATGAGCTCCAACTGCTTATAAAATACATTTTTAGGTGCAGTATGGACAATTTTCATAATAAAGCATGGGGTATATTATACTTGAAAAAATTTTTGCATCTATGTATTTTCTTGATCAAACTGAATTTGTTTGAAAAGGGTTAATTGAAAACAGAGTGTACTAGTTATTTAGTAAGCAGTAAACTAATTTGCAAAGAGAGATATTTTTCAGGACAGCAGCATTCACCTTCTCTGATTTCGATGAAATTTGTTGTGCAAATACAAGTTAAAAGTTGACTCTCAGATGAAGATTTTCTTTAAAATTTGCATCTTGTTTGAGGTTAAATTCATAGTCAAACAAATAATTTGCTGCCAAAAAAAACAATATCAATTCTGTACTGATGCTGTAAGTGTATGTTTCATTGTCTAGCAACTGCCAGGGCATCTGCTTGATAGATTGATGATAATATGTATATTAGCAATAAAACATTTTTTTACCAGCCATTTCTGAATTGTTGCCCTTGAGAGGTAAAAGTATTGAAAATGACTTAAGGAAGGCATTGTCCCTTTAAAGCCAATTAAAGCAATAGATATAATTTGTGTTGATGGGAAATAATTTGTGAGTATATAATATGTATGGGAAGGTTGTAGCAGGTTATCATATTATATAAGTAGTACAGAGATTAGAATTATTTAGATATATATTACTCAAGTAGTAGCATTCATATTATATTTCAACATTTCAAACCACTGTGAAGTATTTTTCCCATGGTTGGATTGAAGTTCTGTGAAAAAAAATTTAAAGAGGCATTAACCACTAAGTACTTTAAAACTACAAGTAATTTTCATAGAGGTTAGTATGGCTTAGCTAAATTTGATGCTTTCATTTCTTGGTACTCCCAAATAAATGAATTCCAAAAAGACAGAGCTTCTAAGGGTAAGAGTTTCACAAGGTCAGATTTGATGAAAATGAACTTTTGTGTCAAACTCGACTGTGAATCTCTTGAAAAAATAATTATGACATTTTGCGAACTTTTATATATGTTAATGTAGAATTTTGCACTTGTTCAATCTTAATTTTGTGAAGTTTGAACATGGTTTTCTAAGATGAAACAGAATTGCCTCTTAACAGGTGGGTCTGAAATGACCCTATTTTAAATTGACTCAAGGACTAATTGTAACTAAATGTAACTTTACCATATGTTATATTTCTGATAGCATTTCAAACATTAACAGGTGGCTGTTTCAAATTTTAAGTATCGTTTGATTACTTCTCCATGTTTTCTTTTATTTGTTTATCTTTCTCAATGACCACAAATAAATTTGTCTCAATAACTTTTTTATGTTGATACTTTTTTCTCACACTAAATTTTCTCATGAGATATCGTACTAGGCCAAGTTATAAAAACTACTTGTTACTCTACTTACATGGGATTGAACTCGGTAATGAGAATAATTTGAAATTCTAAAAAAAGAAAGAAAATTAAAATGAAAATTAAAATTTATTATTATCGATTCAAAATTTTATTGAAAATATTTTGATGAAACATTTATTCTTCATTTGGTAGATCATTGTGTTTAATTTGTATTTAAATTTTCTTATGGCCTGTGCGACTAAGATCATGCTGGCTAACTTAAATTTCATTTTAATTGAGAAAATAGTTGAAAATTAATGTCTCTTGATTTTTGTAAGAAAGTCCTTCACTTGATTTGAATTGAAGGAGACAAAGTTGACGTCAGGACAGACTCATTCACATTGTTTCTCATCACCATTGTTGTTCTGTTTAAAGTGAGTTTGAAAGGAAGTGATTGGCTAGATGAAGTGTCCGGCTGCTTCAATTGTATGTCTGCTGGTAAAGATTGTGACACTATATTTTAACTAAATCAGTTGGCCACTTGAACATGGTGAAACTTTCTCAGATCATGAGTGAAGAATAACCAAGAGCAGGTGGATTAGTTTGGAAAATAGAATTTAATTTTGATTTATACTTTGTGCCATCTGTGTTAGGACAATTTATGGACTATTTTAAGGAGAGTTTGTTTTGAAATGACAAGCTTTCAATGTTAATAGGATATCCTGATTCCTGAACCATAAACACTCATAACAAGGAGTGAAATGATCTTATTGGTATAATTCTGTAATGGTAAGAGGTCTTTTGTGTAATAATTCATATTTCTAAACTGGACTTTATCAGATATGAGGATTTGAGGTGGATGCTAGTTGCTTACTTACCTAGTGGTTGCAAGATTACAACTTGATTTTTTCAACCTAAAATCCCCTGCCAGTGATGCAGGTCTGGTTGACGTAGAAAGAGAGTCATGTCATCACATAGGATATCCAACTTCAAAGCTCTTTTCTGCAGGATGTCAAATGTTTGAAATCAACTAATGGGATAGACTATAGTCCTGTTGACATTAGGAAGCTACGAATTGTTCCGTTCTTGGACTTGACCTGGCCGCAATAAAATCACGAAATATTCCATGAAGGAGGTAATTATAGATATGAAGGCAATAACAATTTCTCTGGCAGCCATTTTATCTGCGCACAAAAACTGTGGGAAAAGAGCAAATCTCAGAACAGATAGCGTTACACTACAAAATGTTCTTTTATTCCGTTTTTAGAACTGTTCCAAGGTCATCTCGCCTCAGTACAGTCTCCGAACGCTCCACTGTTTATACTACTTTTTTCACATCCTTTTATTTCCATAATTGCACACTGCATGGCAAGCACATAAAAGCATATTGTATTGCATTGGACTTAATAAAAAAGTATTGTAAATTGACAATCGAATTTGTGCTAAATGCATTTTTTCATATTTTGAAGAAGTGTCAAATAATACTGATATTATGACTATTCTAATCAAACTGTCTAGTGATTAAAATGTAGGTTAGACCTAATGAATTTAACATATGTCATTAACTTTAAATATTTTCATGGTAATGGTGGACAAATAGTGCCAAATAATGCTTTATATTGAACATATTGGACTAGTTAATAGTTAGATTGGTCAAACAAAATGATTATTTAGCTCTATAAAAAAAACACACCCTGGTTCAGTAAATGTTCCCACGCAAGTTTTTTTTTTACAAAATAAAATGAAGGTTAAACATTTTGGTGGAAAATTAGTTGATCCATGAAATCTTTTTGTGGCTTTTAAATGTTTGTTGGTTTTATGTAATTGTCTTTTAAAGTATTTATTGCAAATATTTATTTAAAATGGCTAACTGTTAAAATAATTAAAGCTTTTCAAATTGGGTCAAGGTTTTGAAAAAGAAAATTGCCTTCAATTTGCATTGTACATTAAAGAAACCCTTTGAGACCAGTACTAGTAAGTGGGAAACCAAAGAAATGTGTGAAATAGGGTTTCAGTTGTGTCAAAATTTCCCTCATTGCACACTGCCCATCCTTGTCAGCCCACTCAGGTGCGAAAAGGAAAAACATAATTAAATTTTTTCTTAAGATAATCGAAATATGATTCTTGTATTTGTATTTTAGAAATTTTTAACTGATATAGTTAAGTTGTCCACTTTGATATTTGATCAGATTTCAACTACTCTGTTATTTATTTCAAATCTATAATCACTGGACTTGAAATCTAATTATAAACACATTTACATCAATAATCAAGCCTGAGAAACTGAAATCTCTCACAGGACAATGGTCACTTAGTCATGGCTATTTTATTTTCCCACAAATATGTTTGGGTGACCCAAAAAATGATTAACAAAATCAATGTTGTGGTAGTAGTGGTAGACTGACATAAGAAAGAGTTTGAAAGAAGTACTAGATATAATTATATTATATTATTAATTTGATTACTTAATTATGAGCTTTAATTTATATCTTGAGTTATAAAATGATAATAGCAAAATAATATTATAAGTTATATTGACTTTCTGTTAGAGATGCTAGGTGGATAGGTCTAATCATTGTATGCAGTAAGATTTTTCTGCTGGGTAAGCATTCCCCAACTGGCATAGACACTAAGTTCTTAGTGAAAAGCTCTAGACTGAACTCACCAGCCTATCTTTTGATAATTTTATGATCATATTGGGACATTATAAATAGTTTTTATGGTATGGTATTTATATCTGAAATTTGTTGACATTGAAAAATTTGAAAGTTTGCAAAATAAATTCACATATATTTTATTGTTTATTTATGATGAGAAAAGTGGCATATGCTAAGTTTTTAACACTTGGAAAATTTTTAATCAATCTTAAAAAGTGTCAAATATTTTATCTTCTTACCCTGAAAAAACTTTCAAATATTTGATAAAATCTGAGCTATTGTCAATCACCAAACTTGATTTCATTTTAACACTTTCATTTATTAGGAGATTTTAAATAGTTAAAATTTGTACATGAAGATTATCAAGGCTATCAGTGTCAAGAGAAAGTATTGAGGATCAAATGTAATAAGGGTTAAGGGTCAAGTCAGAGTTGAGAAAAGGTCAGTTAAATGTTGTGAGAATTTGTGTCTACCCATGACCTACATGGAAACTGGCGTAACTAGATTCTACCAGCCTATCTCATACAAAATGATTACCTTGGCTGTTTTTCTCACAGTTTTTTACACCCCCATTGATCCTGTCAGATACAGGGGAAAGATTTCGTGGTTGAATGACCACTGAAGAGAAGGGGGTAACTGAAATATGGGAAGTCTCGACCTCACCCTGACCTTGTCTTCTCCCCTGGATAAGAAAGGGCAGCCCCTTTCTTTCAGACACAAGAGACAATGTGAAAAGAAAGATTTTCAAGCCGTCTTCTTACAATATCTGCATGACCGATTTCATATTTTTATGGGCTTTTATTTGAATAGTGGCTGTGGTAAAGGTGTCTATTGTGCTGTTGAACAAGTCTGAATGAACTGGGGTCTATATAGAAATCAACCTCAAATGTTTTTACATATCCACCCTATACTTGCCTTATATATAGACCTGTTCTCCACTTGTTCAAATCTTTAAGCTAAATAGTTCTAGGGGCTGTTTTACATGTCTCTTTCGGTGTAGACGACATACTTTTATGTCTGAATGTTGGAAAAGGATTTTAAATACCTAGATTTTTTTTGGCAAGGCTTATTTTGAATGTTATAAATGGATTAGTAGTAGTGACAGGTAGGAAAAAGAGATTAAGACGATAAAAAAACTATTTCACCGTCATTATTAATTTAACATTTTTCTCACAGGTGTATAAGTGTATAGAAGGAAATTAAGGTGTTTTCAAACATCAATTATAGAAAATCATTGATAATGTGATAATAGTTTTATTGTGATTAATATCTCACTTATTTTAATTAGTGATCTCTTTATCAATATATACCTACCAATAAGAGGAGTGTTTAGATATATTTATTTCTTGAAATCAATGTGTGTGTGTCCATTTTGAATCATCTAGTTATTTGCTGTGTAAATGTGGATAAGAACACATGATTCCACTCTGTGATAGCTGTGATGAACTTGGATTTTCTGTAAAAGAAATCTATAAGATTTCTGTTAGCAAGCTTGTGAATTTTTCCTGAATATTTAAAGAAATTTACAAGAGTTTTCTGGTGTCTTAATGTGACTAATGGGCTGTTATTACTTCAGTTGTCCTGTCTTTTGTCTGTGGTTCCTGTTATTACAGAAAAATGTGATGTAAAAAAAACCTCTCTTGTGTCCATTTAAGGTGTTAGCTATCTTGTAGATTGTAACCGACATGAAATTTTTATGTCAGTTATTATGGTTAATACCTGTAAATTAAAAGATCACTTAAAATCAGAAATATAATCACATTCTTTACATTTTTTCTCTTTTCAGGATGGATATGGTGTTAATTTAGACGGTGCAAATTTATCACATCATGGAGTTCACTATGCTATACATAGTAACGGTAACTTTGTTAGTTCACAGCAAGGTCGTGGAATTAAAAGAACGAACCATGAATTGCCGCCACACTTAAATACTGTGCACTACCTCATAAATGGCCACATGGCTCAAGCTGGAGTTGAGAATCCTGTGGACTTATCAAATGGACGAATATCCATGACTGGATTGTCGAGTGATAGTGACAACCAATATGAACGACATAGTGACGATAGACAATCATCACAACAACAACAATCTCAATATAGACATAGTGGTGTGCGTGTAGGCATTCCAGATCAATCACATGGTAATATACCTTTACGTACGTACATTTTCTATTACAGTACAGTCTTTAATTTTGCATTTTTTTCATGTACTTTTTGACAGTTGTCAATTTTCAGTGAGACATTTTGTTTATCAGACAAACTTTTCGTATATTTCACCCCTTGTGTTATCTTTAGACAAATGATTTTCAAAACAGTCTCTTAACCAGTGTTAAGTCAGGAGAAACTATCCTCAGATTTTAGATTTTAGATTTTAGTTCTGATTTTTAAGAATAATTGATTCATTAAAATGAATTGTCACTTGTAGTTGTACATGGTAATTTTACATCCACTTGTAAATAGCTGTCATGGATGATTGAATCCTTATTTAAAATCTGTTTAGTTATTTATTGAAATTGTTATTGTGATATATATGAATCTGTTAAATGCCCATATTTAGACTTTTTGTAACATTCATATTATCGTTATCTGGATTTATCAGCTAGTGTTCAACATCAATTCTTATGTCAAGACTGACAGCATACATTATTATTTTTTTAATTTAAACTGGGGCCAATAAAGAACTGAAGTCAAGGCAAGATTTTCAGAAATACAGTAATCTGATTGGTTGATGTGACACAAGTTAAAGTTGATTTAAAGATTGATTGGAATCTTAAAATTACTCAGTCAGGGACTTAGTTCTCATGACCCAATTATAGTTTAGCCAATCTGCATTCCCTTATTCTGTGATCAACAAATCTTGCACTCAGAACGATTGTGTAACTGGAACAAGAAAATTGATTGATTTTGTTTGAATCAAGTCCAAGTAAATTGATAGATTATATTTATAATTGATCTTATTAGAGTTTGATTGATTGAAATAAGTTGTAGAGCAGGTTTGACTTGTCTTGGATTATAGAACATTAAATAGGTTATCTGTTTTAACGTACAACAACCTGAAATCCAATAACTCTTTTTATGTTTTTAATTTTGATTTGAAATCCAATACTTTATTTTTTCAATTTTTAATCTAATTATGTGAAGAAAAAATATTTCAGTTTATCAAGGGCACCTAGAAATTTTCCTTAGAAAAATTTCACCTCAACATTATCAGTTCATAAGTTCATTTAAACATATTTTTGTTGTCATCATCTTTTTATAAATCTTTTGTATTCATGTTGCTTTTCAAATGTCCCTGATCAGAAAAAAAATATTTAAAAAAAAAATGTTTTGTATTAAGCAGAAAAAAAGTTTGTTCAAATTTGCTGATATGGACATTTTTGTGTTTGATCATATATTATTCATGCTCTTATTACTAAACCTATAAAGATCCATCATCATCAAACTTGACAATCTTATCCTGCTGTAGGATCTTTTCTTACTTTCTACTGTGAGTAAACAATTTAAAATCAGAATACAGGTTCAGTATATAGTGTCTTTGCTTAATCATTTCATTTTTTAACCTTATGTCTGCTCAATTCTTAAAATGTGACAACAAACTTAATAAAGATAAGTTTAGATTCTTATATAAATTATAGAACCAATCAGTGGCTCACTCAATAGTAATTTTGAAAACTGTGCAAAATAAAACAAAAATTACTTTAATAATGGGTGTTACTGTTTCAAGGTGGAGCATCATTTGATGCTTCTTCCAAAAGCAGATGAACATTGTTTTTAATATGAACCATAAGTAAGTTGATGGTAAAAATAAAATAAAAAATAATTTGGTATCTTAATTTTATTGCTGCTTTTCCTGTCTTTTCTCTTGATAGAAATTTTCATGACATGGAGTAGGAATATGGAAGTAATTGTTTGTTCAGCTTTGATAATAAACAGTTGTTTGTATTATTAATAACAATCATTATTGTCAATCAATATAGCTGTATATTAATGATATTACCGACCTTCTCAAGTCTGCATTAAGTATGTAATCATGCAGTTACAGTTAAAGGGATTGTTAACAAGTTTGTCTAAACTTTTTATGTGTATACTGCCTTCATTGCTTTTCAACATTCCAATTTCCAATCATGTCTGTGGTTCTTGCAATTACACTAAAACTAAACGTTTGATGATGTCAGTATTGCAAAATTTGCTAATATTAATTAAAGTCCTTTGCAATAGTTATGTCATCAAACATTTAAGTTTAGTGGAATTGCACAGATGTCTGACTGAAAATTGAATGGTGCAAATCAATGCTAACAATGTCCCTGATACACATAAAGTTTTAAAAAACCTCCTTACAGTCCCTTTAAAAGGATATGATAATATAATATAATTGATTCCTTAAATAAAATTAATCTGAGATATTCTTCAGTAAACATTTTCACCTGATTAAAATAAGATTTTTCAGATATGTCCTTCATTTGGGTAGTAGATAATTGAAAAATATCAGCTGAAAAAACAACATTTCTGACGATTCTAAATTTTTATCGATTGACATTTCAAAAATAATTTGAAAATTAAAATTTTCCCATGGAACAATTGAGTCTGACCAATCAGAATAAAGAAAAACTAAACGTGGAGAAGAAATTGTAATTTATTGAAGTTTCTAGTGAGAAAACTACAGTAGACACTATTTAATTAGTCCATATAACACGACAATGTATTCATAGAACATTGCTTAAGAAGTGTGGGAAAATCTTGTAGTCTTGCAGATGGGACAAGTCTCTTATCAATAACGTGATAAGCGTTCTATATCATGCATGGCCTTTTACAGATAAACTTAGTCATTGGAAAAATCGAATGCCATGGAAAAATATTGACAGCGAATGTCTTGAAAATCTGTGCTTGTTGGAAATAGGTTATTTTGGACACAGACCAACACCATGTCACATTGTGCGGAGTACTGTTTCGACGATTTCAATCATTTTATATTTGAAGGTAATGATTAACAGTTTAGACCATATGGTAGTTCAGACATCTGGATTGAGCAGTAGGAGAAAAATTACAACACACGCAAACATGGACTCTTGCGATATCTTAGATTATTTTTCGACTGTTTATATGTTAAATCGTTAATATAAGTTTATTTTATCGAACTAAGTCAGTGATTCTAGCTGTTTATTCTTCATGATGGGAACTTCGCCATATTTTATCGATTTGCGAAACTATTTTTTCTATCAGTTGTCTGTTATTGTGGAATCGACATTTTCATGAGAATTGAAACATCTTAAGAAATCTTGTCTATGGTGTAGTAGTAACCGCAGTCAAATTTCCCATGAGAAATGGCACCATGGTGCGTTAGGTTCCCAATTCTTGCCCTAGAATTCAAGATCATTGATTAACTATAGTTTCATATGGCGCCATTCTCATCACAGAGATAATAGGATGAAGGTAGTGTAGGAATCTAAAGTGATTCTAAGCGCGTTTTTATCTGATTTATCAGGGTAGTGCCAATAGGTTTCAAGCCAGGCTTTTGATGTGCCAACATGCAAACTTGAGATAAGTAAAAGAGTTTGTTTGAGTGTAAAACAAGTGTTTTATGTGATTGAAATGATGATATTTTATATTGATATGTACATGTTAAGTTTCATATTCTCACACTGTTCTTGACAAGGAAGAAAAACTTCTTGTATAGTAGTCTGAATCTTACTGATTCTTTGACTGAATTTACTTACACATAGCTTCCTTTCTAATCAAACTTCTTATTGTTTTAAAATAAGGAAAGATGGAATTTTTGGTAATTTGAATATTCAATTTTAAAAACCATTTAGTTTTATAATTTGTATTTACTGTGTATGCAGTTTCAAAAACTATTTGATCATTAGGTATGGATTTACTAGAAATTGTTGTACAAAGGATTCTGGAAATTTAGCAAGTTTCAGACAGATATCAACAGACTAGAGTCTGTTTTCCAGGAAAATAATACATTGCTTTCTGACCGTCTTTAAGGTCAATATCATCTATTGGTACCTGTAATGTTTGAGTTTCTCAGACAAGGATAACTCTTTGTGTACATTACACTAAATGAGAATGTCTTATCATGGGTTTGGTTGTTTCTCACTTTTGATCAATAGATACTGCCTTAGACAGTGGTTAACATGTGATATTCTGTTGGATCTGTAAACATGTACAGTCAAAGAGATCACAACTTTTGATGATTGGTATTCCTTTTTTCTTGCATTCTATGCCTCTTAAGATCTATTAATTTTAATGCTCCGTATTTTATATAGATAGATCACGAGACCTTTAGCGAACGTTTTAGGACACACTTTTTTTTTAAAATTACAAAGTATCTTCTCATTCACAGAAACACTTGATTTTATGTTGTTTTTGTCTATTTCAGATGCAACTTCACATTTATTTACGGGTTCCCTTACACCTCCAGAAAAACCTAATGGAGACCTTGTACCAATGTCCACAACCAGTCCCCTCAGTATCACAACCATTGGTCCACCGATGCAAGCCCCCCCAAGCCCCCTACCCACACCCTCTCCACCTATGCGACACCCACCAGATGGCTCCGGATTAAGAGTTCCTCAATGTGATGCACCTCATCTCAGGTTTGTCTCTTTATTTTAATTTTTTGTTGTTCCAAAAATTTGATTTTGTTATGATTATTAATGTGCCTGGTCACCAATACTCATCTTCATCTTGGAAGATGAGGTCCAACTTGTAATTTTACTATAGTCTTCAATTGATTTGGTTATCAAAATCCAATGTCCAAAATGTAGATCAAAATGCGTGTTTATGTCATAAAGATAACTATGAAGGTTCTGTTTCTAACCATCAAACTTTTTAGCAAGTGTGAAAAGTTTATATTGGATAATTTAACTGTTGTACATTGATTGATGTGATAAAATACCTCCCAAAATTTTACAGATATTTGAATTTTAACTACATTCAGGCTAGAGGTTGTTGCCCTCTGCCTACAGGGTTGAAATCAGATGCTATCTATTAGTTCTTACAAGGAACGTAATAAAAGTAAAAGATAGAATGCACTAGAAATACCCTATATTATGTTATTAATTGAGTGTTAGAAGAGAAATAGTGAGAGACTGGGTTGTTCCACATGGTTAACTTTCTTTTCTTACAATTGTAGACTTAATGATATAAAGAAAATAGCAGTGACCGAATTACTAACATAGTCAACTTCAATTGCTTTTCACATTGAGCTCATGTTGATTTTTACCAATGTTTTTATAATTTTTAATATATTACCCACCCTAGTCTCTCTTCAATTATAGATTTTTCTATATACATGTATTATTGAACTGATAATTGGTTTAAAATTATTATCGTTATGATTTATAAATTTATTTGAAAGAATTTTTCGTGTGAATAGTAGTGCATTGTATACATCTTCCCAAAATAATTTAGATGTAAAAAATTTAAAACTAAAAAAATAGGATAGGTTGATAATTTAAAGGTAGAAATACTTTTAAAATATGAAATCAATGTTTAATGACAAAAGTTTTGTTTATTTTTCAGTATGAGAAAAGATCAACGATTAACAAAGTAAGTATTTTTGTCACTATTGTTCCACTTACTTGCATATCTTTTAAGCCTTTTTTCTGCTTATAATTTTATCAACATATTTTTGTAATTGTGTTTTTCTTATATATTTATACATATCAATGTTAAAGGAAAGATATTAGCTATATGAAGAATTTGATGCTCAGATGCTCTTGAAATTCAACAAAAACATAAAGTTTTTCGCTTTAGGTCTGTATGAGGCAGTTAGGTTTCTTATTGCTTTGGAAATGATGCCCGGTAAGAATATTAATAATACAGAATCTGATTGTGTAATTTTAAGCTATAACTTATTTCAGAGAAGCAATGAGAAAATATTTACGAGACAGAAGTGATCAAATATTAGTTATACTTCATGCTAAAGTCGCTCAAAAATCATATGGCAATGAAAAAAGGTAAGTTCTAATTACATATCCCAGGATTCTTACTACCAGCTGGTCATTGGCCAAACTGCTATCTAGCTTTAGAAGATCATGTATAAGATTTTCTCCAAATGCCAAGCCTCAAGTAATTAAACAAAGCAAATATCTTCTAATTCCGAAATTTAGATCCTTCATTGGTTTTGGAAATTCTTGGAAAATTCTAAACCACATCCCTCACCAGATTTGTTTCCAAATCGCTATTGTAGGACACATTTTTCATAATTTCAGATTTTTTTGTCCACCACCCTGTATATATTTATTTGGTAAAGGATGGAAAAGGAAACATGATCAAATGGAAGAGGAAGGTTCAACCAAAGATGAAGCTCAAGTTTGTGCATTTATGGGAATAGGGAATTCAGATCAAGAAATGGTGCAGCTTCATTTAGAAGATAAAGTGAGTTTATTTTTAGAATTTATGATAAAGATATTTTGTGAAAAATGATGAAAATCTTGAATGCAACCTGTGTTGGTTAGTCTACCCATAATTGTAGTCTACACCTGTAACTTTTGATAATCAAGACTAAACTGTTTTAAAGTGAAAGTAGAAGTATTGATATTAGTAAGTTCAAAGTCTGGCTGAAAATACTTTAGCATTAGTATAATGATAAAGCAAGCACACAACTCAAGCCAAACATGACTGGCAAATGTCTCCTAATCAACAGCCCTTGTCCACTAATCTACCTCCATTTATCCAACAATGAAGTACCAAATTTAATGTTATGCTTTTGTTTTTTTTTTTAGGATTATTGTGCTGCAAAGACATTGTACATATCTGATTCAGATAAACGAAAACATTTTATGTTATCTGTGAAAATGTTCTATGGAAATGGACAAGATATTGGTTTATTTTTAGGCAAAAGAATAAAAGTCATTTCCAAACCTTCCAAGAAAAAACAATCTTTAAAAAATGCTGAATGTAAGTGAACCATGTGGAAATTCCTATGTGTGTGTGTTTGAAATAGTTAGTGTCTGTTAGCATCAAAGATCTGGAATCTCCTTTTGTAGAGAGTTGATTAAGTTTCATTAGAGCAAATGAAAAGAAGAAAATTAATGAAAAAAACCTTAAAACTTTCATTTGAAATTTGGATGCATGTAGTGATGTGTTGTGGCTTCTTCTTGGTTCATTCCGAATCCAATATGTTACCTTTATTTATCTTCCCAAAACATATTGGAGGTTTCCTTCATGTAAGGATAATGCTTATCCTAGATTTTAACAACATCTTGGTACTTGCCCAATATAAGTAGACACTTGTGATATGTGTGTTAATTTTTTTTTCAGTATGCATTGCTTCTGGGACCAAAGTTGCACTGTTTAATAGGTTACGTTCTCAAACAGTGAGTACCAGATATTTACATGTTGAAAATTATAATGGTAAATGTAATTTTCATGCCAGCTCAACACAGTGGGGTGCCTTTACTATTCATTTATGTAAGTAGATATATAAACCTAGTGATTTAAATAAAATACACAACAAAATAATCAGTCAAATAAATGATAATTATATTAGTTCCGTGTTTGGCAACTTATATCCTGGAAAGAAAGCATACATTCAAAAGATATTTATGAAAGAAAAGAGCCGACATCTTTTGCAATTGAAATGCGCTGAACATTTGGCAAGTTAAAAAATCATACCACATGCTAAAAGATATGACATAATCTTATATGATTAGATTTAAATTTGAGCTGTATCTTTAAAGTGAAGATATATTTTCAAGGTTATTTATTTACTGTATTTACAGTGGATGATAATGAAGGAGAATCTGAAGAATTTACTGTTAGAGATGGTTATATACATTATGGCAGCACAGTAAAATTAGTTTGTTCTGTTACTGGCATGGCACTACCTCGTTTAGTAAGTTTACATTTTCAAGCATACAAAATACACATTGTGGCAGATTTTTATCTTACTAGTCTCGATGACATATTTAAACCCATTTTTCAAAGTAGGAGGTTTACAGATTCTTCCAGATGACCTTTGTCTGTTTACTTGAGGAAAATGTTGGGTGAATAGTTGACCCTGCTTAATTATTTCAGCTAATCTGTTAAACTTTACATAAATAAATTTTGCCAAGTGATACAACATCCATAGAACACATGCTTCCAATCCTCTTTCTTGTTTGTACCATACTATTAGTTAACTTATTTAAAGAATGTCTTTGTTTCAGGTGATAAGAAAAGTTGATAAACAAACAGCATTATTAGATGCTGATGACCCGGTGTCACAATTACATAAATGTGCATTTTTCCTCAAAGATACCGAACGTATGTACCTCTGTCTTTCTCAGGAGAGAATTATCCAATTTCAGGTAAGTTATCCAACTATTAGGATTTATTTCATTTTTGCAAATGGACACAGTATGTAGACAATCAGGATTGAGTTGTTTATTCATTATTCATTTTGTAGGCTACACCATGTCCTAAAGAACCTAATAAAGAAATGATCAATGATGGTGCTTCATGGACTATTATTAGTACTGATAAAGCTGAATATACATTTTATGAAGGAATGGGTCCTGTCAAAAATTCACTGACACCTGTTCCTGTGGTCAACAGTTTACATGTAAGATTAAATTTCTTAATAAATGATTTAATGTAAATAGTTTAGCAAGAAATCTATGTTATGGCAATCTAAAGCCTGAGCTTATTCCTGTCAAGTTAAATTGAATCTACACTTGATCTTATTACTAGATGATTTCATCGTTTCCAACAAGTGGGCGTGAAAAGGCTTTAAGGCTAGAAGGTGTATATAAAGCCTTAACATAGCTTTTGGTAATAGGGGATGAAAGCTTGAAGATACAGATTTATAAAACCAGCTATGATTAATAGGAAATTTTTTTCATTATTTTTAAACACAACAACCTGTTTTTCTTATGTCAATATTTATATCTAGTTATATTATAAATTATAATTTTTGTGTTTATTTTATTCTATAGTTAAATGGAGGAGGAGATGTGGCTATGTTAGAATTAAATGGAGAGAATTTTAATCCTTCATTAAAAGTGTGGTTTGGTGATGTCGAAGCTGAAACCATGTTTAGGTTAGTTTTATTACTTTCTGCAAAATAACTTTTAGTGAGCTAAAACTGATATTTTTACTGCCAGCAAAAGTTAACATTAAGGCATAATGTGGTTCTTTGATAAAATGAACATTATTTTGTTTTTAATCAATCATATTTCTGTTGTCAAGATATAATTTGGGTGAACTTGTGATAAATCTATTTGATAGGTTGTAAAATGTAGATCTTTTTTATACAGGGCAGAAGATAGTATGTTATGTGTTGTACCAGATATAGCAGCTTTTAGACCTGGTTGGAAATGGGTTCGACAACCATTGCAAGTATGTATTTTTATTCTTGTAACACATATTTCATTTTCATCAGAGTAATTGAGCAATGTCTTTTGAAAATCTGGGAAATGAAATGAAATAAAGACTTACATCCCATTTTCTGCACCTGTTGACGGGGAATGGCTATACCATGCAGTGTACCATAAGGGAAATTATGCCAGAACAGAAGCATTAGTTGACTCTTTTTCAATTTCAATTTGTTGATGGATCTTTAATGTGGATACTCTGTAGCACACAGAGCCTCGATTTATTGTTCCATCGAACATGATTCGATGCTTTGTCAGCAATGGAATAATAGCAAAATAAAATTTAGAAACCAAAGACAGTAGATAAATAAATTATTTTGTATTTTCAGGCCCCTGTATCATTGGTGCGATTAGATGGTGTAATATATGCTACAGGCCTTACATTCACATATACCCCGGAACCCGGTCCACGGCAGCATTGTAAAGATATGGACCGTATTGTAGGGAGAACTTCAACAGCCAGTCCTGACTCTACCTCACACACTACCTTGTGATTCAAACTTACCGAACTTACCTAAAAACTTACATTATAGTCCAACAACTATAGTACTTTCAAGTGATCGGATATTAACTCCAGAATATTTTCATATAGGATGTGAAATCTGCCATCTTTGATAAACTAAAACTAGTGGAAGTTCAACATTCCATCCAGGGCATTAGTGTTTTGACTGTGAATCAAACAGCCAGAAACTGGAAGTGAAAATCTTATCTGTGCTTGTAATGAAAATGATTGCTATCTTTTGTACCTTATTTATTAGAGAGTTCATTCAGTTTATGATGGATTGGTGCATTCTGTTCTGCTCAGCTTATAAACATAAAGCAGACATAACATGGCTAAATAAAGTGAAAAATCATCTGTCATTCAAACTAGTAAAAAATTTACACTAGAATAAATTACAAATGGATTTGGATTCTTTATGTTTTTTGTGAATTTGAATCCAGGGGCATTGAGCCATGTTATGAAAATGCAGCCAGTGATTATAAGCTGAAATGAGCTTTACCAATAAAATATGGTTACAATACAAGATAGTTAACAACAATAAAGTAAATAAAAACACCAGAAGAACATTCCATCAATGTTGATATTAGTGAACAGGATGAATAGTGAACGAACTAGAAGTTATAGATGTTGGACAACCTCCCGAGATGTGAACGTTTTAAACTATGAAGTCAACTTGGGTTTGAACAGTTATTTTAATTTACTTACAGATAGAGCAATTGTGAAACATTGCATTTACTCATATAATGGATTCCATAGGGCATTATACAAAAACTACCTTTACTTAATTTTTTTTGTAAAATTAGGAACTTTCAAGCAAATAGAAGATATTCTTGCCCTTGACTTTAGATTTTCACTTTGGATAAAAGGCTTAAAATTTATCACTGGTTTCAATATTTAGCAGGCTAACATTTCCAATTTGATATTTTGGGGCCTAGGTATTTCATTATATGGCGGTATGCATTTCATATATTGTTGTATAAGTTAAGTAAGATTGAAAAAAGAATCTTTGATCAGACACTAAGATGTGTGTACCAAGTTGGTAAAACCTCAAAATATATTAACATTGTACTATCTATCCAAAACTGATTTTCAAATTTTATTTTCAGGCATTTTTAGAATTATGAACTTTCATAAGATTTTAGACATGAATCATTTAATATATATAGAGTAAGATATTTTTAAAAATTGTGCATTTTATTTCTTTTAAACCTGTTTAGAATTTTAATGATCAGCTTTGATTTTTTAAAAACATGAAAGGAATTTTTAAAAGGTGTTCTAAAAGTGTGTTATCACAATTTCTAAAATGTCTTGAAATAAAGTTTGATGACAGATACAAGAAAATAATTTGTACAGTATCCATATTATGACACCACTGATTTGTAGAGTTTGACTCAAGTTAACCCTATAGACCGTTTGAGTTTGACTGATTTCATAGCTCTGTATATTTTGTACAGTACTCATAACAAGAAATATATAGATTTGCACAATAGGAATATATTTAATTTCATATAAGCTTTAAAGAAATTGTTCAAATTAAGACACTGTTCTATTTCTTAGGGAATGTGACTTGAATTATTGTTTTTTTTTACATGTTAGAGAAATTCAAAGCCTTATTTAAAACCAATTTCAAAAGATTTAAGTGATTATCTGTTAAAGAAAATTAACTTTAAATGATATTTTGAATCAATAAGCCGTTATTGGTATTAAAAAGTTTATTCATCATGTAAGAGAAACACTGAAAAAATGTTAACTTGTTACTTGTTTTTGTATTACTATTTCCTACATCTGAAAAAAATGTTGGTATATGTCACATTTTTGACCGACTTACTGGACTGACAAAAATATAAAAGTTATTTAATGCTGTATAATCATTTAGAACCTTGTAAAATGGAATATGAATTCATCCAACTTAGATTCAAGTCGCAATAGATAAGACTTCATCATATATCTGTTTCACTAAAATTATTTGTCTTTCTATAATATTCATATACTTATTTCATTTTCAAAACCAATTTAATGTGCCCTTGCACATGCTCTGACACCTAGGCCAGTGCTTTCATTGAGACTCAATACATCCTAATCCTTGCGTATATGGTTGCAGATAATTACAGTGATTATGAGTTTTGAATGCAACTCACTACTCAGTAACTTGGGAGTTGCGTTCCCAACTTATAACTGCTATTTTAATTTGCAACCATATTCAACTGGTGATCGTGATGGTGTGAGTGCCCCTTGAAATTCTACTTAAAACGACTGATAATCAATTATTATATGCAAGTTTATGTCATAAACAGATATTTTGTATTATCCTAGATGGTTAAAATAGAAATACTTCTGAGTAATTTTGATGTAAATTGTATCAAATACCCATCAAATGTAAAGACTAGATCCTGTTAAAAGGGTCAAGTTTCTAGGGCTGATTGATAATAGTGCTATGAACAGATATAGTGCTATAAATATTGACTTTGTTATTGTTAAGATTGTATTTTTATCAACCACCACTGCTGTCCTTTAAACAAATTATTTTATTTTATATCAAATGAAATGCCAAGAATAATATAATTTTTACCAGTCATGTCTAGATAATAAAGCTAAATCAACAGCCTTGCTCTGCTGGAGATACAAGGTGCAATTCTCTTGGCCTTCAACAGCTAGAAATCACTTAAAGTTTGGGTTTATTTTTGTGAATTTAAAATTTCTACCAGTTTTAAACATATGAATAAGTCTTGGCATTTCATTAAGTACATAGTAGAATTATCATAAATGATAAATCCATCATATACTTTTAAAAATGGCAAATCTTTTAGTCAAATTTATCATTTTAAATATCAATTTTTTTATTTAGGTTATTTTTAATCATTAAAGAATTTTTAAGCTACCTGTTTTAGCAATTGTTTGGCAGCTGTTTATAAATCATCACCAATGAAGGACATACGAAACTTATTCTATAGATCTATATGGAACCTTTGTGGCTACATAGGATTTAAATAAGATTAAAAATCATGTTTTATTTCAAAAAAAAAAATTCTAAGATTCCCGTACTGAAGAAAATAACTTTACTGGTTGTTTTGATACAAGAGGGAAATAAGAAATTGTATATTTCATTTGTATATTTTGTTTAAATTTCTATCAGATAATGATCTACTTTTATATCAAATGAAAAATATTTTTGTCAAATTAAATGGACAATTTTTAACTGTTACGAAATTCTGAAGGAGTTTTAAGGTAATACTAGCCTAATATAGAATTTACATCAAAAGCTTGTATGAGATTCTGAAGACTGTTATCAGCAAATTTCAATTTTTAAGCATTGTATCAAACAGACTTTTTAAAATCAGTCATTCAGAATTCTTATTATATTTTTGAGATTATCTAATCATATTTCTGGCAACATTGTGACAATCCAACCTGCAGAAGGAATTACATAGAAAGAATAGGCTTTGGTATTACCTTTATATAGGATTATTACTTCAAATATCAAAGGGTGTATGAGTAATAAGACCCTTGATCCATCAGATGGATGCACTCTTCAATATTCAGATTTAAATTTAGGCCTACTGAGGTCAACAAGTAGAGTAACTGTTCTATACTCCATATGAACCATATAATATTTATAAAGTATAATGATGTAGGTAGGTCTTTAGCGCTTAATCTGTTGCATCAGGGATCATCTCACTCATACACTCTTGTAAAACCAAGATGTACTACAAATAACTAAGATAAAAGGTTGATTTGTGCCTTGATTATATGTGCTTTGATATAATGATTATAAAGTGCCTTGTGAAGGTAGTCATATAGAGTATTTTATGTATTATTATTGTACCTATTGTAAATATTTCATTATAAAGAGCACAAAACTCAAACCATTTTAACATGTTTTCATTTTAATGAATAAATAACCATTCTTAATTGGTTGGTGTTCATTTTTAAAAGCAACTTGCCATAGTCTTGCTGTATTCGTTAGTGTACAGTCTAACCAAATCGCTGCATTAACAACCTTCTGTGATACAAGAAAGTGGCTATTGAAGTAAGACGAAGATTGTAATATCTTGACATTGTGAAGATGTATTGACCCATAACTCTCATGTTATAGCAGTAAATAAACAGGGGGACAATTTCAAAGTATTAAAACACAAAGAAAAATTGTTAAAAAATAAAAATAAGTTTATTCTACATGATCTACATTAAAATTTATACAGAATAAATAAACTGTGTGAGATTGCCCACTTCAGCAACCAGTTGGTAAAACTTAATGGGATACACAAGTGCCAATGTAAACTCACAAGGACTGTGAACCATTAGCATGATAATAACAAAATCTATGTACATGGAATGGATGGATTACTCAATAATTGTAAATGGACGGATATACAAATTATCATTTGACATACAAAATAAGAAAATTATCTACTGACACTCATTTCAATAAAACAAAATAAGACACAAAGAGGCATAGTAAAGTATGGAATTTCTTAAAAGCCCAAGAGAAAATCAGCTTAGAATCTAACATAACTTTCTCATCCAATCAAAATTGGCTAAATTTTCTGATAAATTATTAAGAATTTCACAATCACATGTTTTGACTGACAGGTAGTGTTAGGTTCTAAGTAAGTTAGATCATCTTAAGTAAACTTTAAGCAGGAAAGAAGTAGACTTAGTCACCCTTCACCAATTACTTGACCATACAAATTTCACTTAAAATGATTCAACTATTACTTGGATTTCAGAATTTAAATTTTCTCAAAATTAGAAATAAAATTTGAAATGAAACTAATTATATCTAATACTATAACTTCAATAATGAAACAAATAAACAAACAATAACTAAACATAAATTAAGAGTATTTAGTTGGCTTGATGTATCAGTTAGAAATGGATAGAAAAAGTCATAAGGCACTTTAGCTAAAAACATTGGTTGTTCTGCCTCAAAGCCTTCTGGAGGTTGTGATACATCTATAAATGATACAGATGTAATGATTTCTAATTTCTGGCTTAAATCTGTACCTGGTTGGCAATATGGACCGATACACTGAAAAAATATATCAACAAATATTGTTAATGACAAAAACATATAAGTACTATATTATATGATAATTGGTTGTCATTACAACCAGACAGAAAACCGGATTAACCAGTAGTTTTGCATAATAATCCGTTCCCAGTAAAACAGGTGCGGATATTGGTGTTTCCAGATTATCAGCAACCGGAGTCTATTGTATATTGAAACTGACAAAATGGTGATAAGTTGAACTCACCCTATAATTAACATCTTCTGGAGTATGATAAACAAATGCCACACCCAATATTTTAGATTGTGGATTCCCTAAAGAACCAACTTTAGCATATAATATCTGTATATTCATTCCTAATGACAGTGAACATCTTAGACCAACAGCCTGTAACAAGATAATTTACATGTAAGAAGGCACAAAAACTTTTGTCAAATGAAATAAAGTTGATTGTTTTGCACGTCTGATGAAAAATGAAATGAGTTTTATGTCCTACTTTTCTGCACCTAATTTGGATAATGATGAAGGGGAACAGGGTGTAATGAGGGAAATTTTGCCAAGATAGCAGCATTAGCCTACTCCATTTCCAACTTTTGAGGGATCTTTATTATGCACAGTGTGTAGCACATGGGGCCTTGGTTTGCTGTCCTGAACAACTAAACGATTTTCCATGTCAGCCCATCTGACCTGCATCACTCACATTGCGAAACCGTGTTGAAAATCCAAAGGTATCACCTAGACCTAGCACATCTGAAGGTGACAACACTGTCTGATATTGATAATAAAATAAACTTACTGCTGCTGGAATAGGTCGACCTTGAACTTGTATAGGTACCCAATCACCTACTTTATTGATATCAGAATTACCAAAAGTAGCCACATATCTATTAACATTCTCATATTGTCCTGCAGCAAATATAGGTGCTAGTTCTCCTTCTACTGCTTGCACTATTCTCTCTTGTAAAAACTGACAATGATCAGCTACTCCTGCCAGTGATATTCTGTAATTTATTAAGATATTAAGAATAATAAAATACTCCATTAATGTTCAGTATCTTAGTTAGACTATCTGCCTTATTGCAACTATTTTTGCTGGCAAAACAGAAATTGGATAGTGGAAGCTGGTGAGGAAAATATTTTGTGCTTGGGGCAGACAAGCACATTTAGTCCCAATGACATGGATTAAAATTGCCAGCCAATTTTACAAAAGGGAACACAGAACAAATTTTCAAGGCAGCATACACCACTCAGCAGTTTTCCTTCGATCATGTTATCCATATAATGTGGCAGAGGCATTTGAACATCAACATCATACATGACTGATTTAAAAATTTGCGAGGCCTTAGTTAAGCTATATCAAAAAGAAGGAGTTTCTATGAAGTGACTTACTGTAAGAAACATCCTGATCTAACATCTTCACCAAATACTACAGAGAGTCTGTTAGAGGGTAAACAATCACCAACACCAGTATTAGATTGTATAGTTAACCATTGATCTCGGTTAGAATTTAACATAATTTCTTGTTGTACTATACCCTCACTATCTACTGTATTATTTAATATTCCAGCCATCACTGGTTCACCATTAACATAACCTGGATTACCACTTCTAACAAACGCATTATCTTCAAATTCCTAAAATATAGTAAGATGTAATGTTTCATTTCATGACTCACAATATAGCTTTGTCACAGATAGTGTCCATTTGACAATCATACAATTACTTTTCAGCTGAATATTACATGTTTTTAAATCCTTACATATGACATTATAGTATTCAAATAATGAAACTTTAACTTCATTGAAACATACTGTTAGTTGTGCAACCGTGTTAACCTTCTTAAAGGCGTCCTTACTACCATGCTACAGCAATCGAAAATTATGTGGCGGTTACTATTGATCCCCAAGCAACATTCATTTCACAAATGACAAATAAAAAATAAGACTTACCCCAGTAAATTTAGTGAAATAAGATTGAGATATCAACTGGGTATTACTAGTAGATATTGTACCCAGTAAAAAGTCAACAGTGACACTTTTTATCCCTTTAGTACCATTATGTTTTATGTTATAGCCAGTCTGAAATACATAGAATTCACAAGAAAAAGAGCTATAATATGTTTCTGATACAAAATCCTGTATGTTGCATATAAGATATTATGAACAACAATATAATTTAATATAAGAAGTCTAAATTAAGAACTATGTTTAGTTTTATGTGAGGTTATTATCCTTATAAACCTAAAGGCAAATAAAATCAAAAAGAATCAGGTGTTAAATTGACTTAATGACATCAAAAGAAGCTGAAGAACATGAAATAAGTTTATTGACTATGGAACATGTTAGGTGTTAGTGTCTGTTAAGCTTTATCAGTATTTTCAGAAGTAATGTTTCTTTTGCCTTGTAAATGATGACATTCAAGCATACTGTGCAAGTTTGTATAAAACTAAATGACTACATGCAGTAGACCTACTAGTACTAACCTGTAAAACAGTATTTTCACAAGTTTGAGTCACAGTATTATAATTAGGTAATGATAAACTACAATTAGCTATCAGTCCTGTTGTTTCATCTTTACATCTAACAGATCCTATCTCTATTGGTATAGTATAGGTATTATTATATAGGTCTGTTATACTACCAACTTCTTCTAAAATATACAATACACAGAATGAACAAAGATAGATATAGACTTTTGAGTTGCTGAAGTTGCCTCATTATTGGTGGTTTGGGTCCTAAAAATAAACAGTTGCCAAGAAAATATTGGGTATACCAAGGGCTGTATCTCAGGGAATATTTGTCAAATTCAAACTTGCCTGTGATTTTGTGGGAAAAAAAATAAAAACATAGGAGTAAAATAAAATGTAAGTTATATGCATAAAGTAACAACCAAGATGCGAAGTGTGATTGAGTTGGTGCCATTCCTTCCTTTAATTCCACACATTATATTTTTCTGAAATACATGTAACATGTGAACATCTGAACATTTGATTACCTTCTGTAGTTGAATTATCATCAGGTTGGTATTCTTTGAATAGTACTGGAGACTGTAAAAGTAAAAATTCATTTAACTTGTACTGGCAATTAAGAAGAAATCATCATGGTTCTGACACAGGGCAGTAAGTTGTGGAAATGGAAATTTCAAGACATATGAGTGAAGTTGACGTCCACTTGCTGAACATCAAAGTGTAAGTAAGTTTTATGAAATACTTACAGTAACAACACGGAAACCATCATAATAACTATTAGCTGACAGTGCTGGTAAACTAGTACATTGAGAAGGTAGATCAGTAACTTTCCTAACACATTCACTTTCACCATCATATAAATATGCTACAAAATATTAAATCAAAACATCTCAGTAGTAGGCTAATGAACACAATAAAAGTCTGGCTTGTATAGTTTTAGTAACTATTTATCTATCTAACTATCTAAAATTAAAGTGAAATGTTCGTGTTTATGTTTTGATTTAGATCTGATGAGCACAAATACTTATGCTTGACTATAGTTTGCTATCTGTATATCACTTGAGTATGTAAAGAAATAAAAATAATACACTCCCTTTATCTATGTGGTTCTCTTGGACGCCATGTAAAAGGAGTCTAGCAATTTGGATGAGACAAAGTCTCTGTGTGCCTAATTCAAATCCCTAATACAGTTCAAAATACAGGTATATCTGAACATAATTTTCTGTTGAACAAAAACCAAAAATAATCACCTGTAGGGTTATTATCTGTACAATATGTTGATGTTAAAGCTGTAGGTAGAGCTAATATACCCTGGGATTTACTATCATATACTACATATATATTATCTCCACTCTAAATCAAAAAAATATGAGAGGTACATTGAGATGAAGAAAGCAAATAATTAAGAAGGATTTGCATTTTTGCTTTATAAGAAACAAGTCTGAATTTATCATGCGGATGGGACATTAAACATTGAACGTTAAAGATGGAAATTGAAAAAGAATAGGCTAATGGCAGTGACATGGCACAATTTCACTCATTGCACACAGAATGTCCTAAACTTTCTTCATTTTCCATTAAGTTCAGAAGAGTTGGATGTAAAACTCCATTCATTTCATTTATTTCATGTAAATGATTATAGTAAGCATCAATATAAAATTAATATCATTGGTCTGACCTTATAGTAATCAGAGTAAACAGTTTTAGGAGTAGCTGCAGACTGAAAACTAAAATCACCATAATCTTTGACGTAAGAATTAAATGTTGCTTCTGTTGTTACTAAATCAGGTACATTATAGTAATTTCTTTCTACATCTGAAAAACAATGTATGACAATATACAGAAACAAAATGGCAAAATAATATGACATAATAATTATCTTAAACATTGTTATATGTTATAAAAAATGAATTATTTCCATTACAAATGAAGGTTAAAGTTAAAGTTTATGTTGGAGCTTTGTTCAGACATTGGTGCAAAGATGTCAAATACAAAAGTTCTTTGCATCTGTTGACATCATCTTGCATCAAAAATATAAACATTTTCAAATCATTCATCTAACTGATAGACAAGCAAATTAACATATCAAAGAAATTCCCCAGATTGAAAAGGTGCCATCTTTCTCACAGAAAATCATTAATCCAATGCATTGATAATAAAAATAGCACAAAACCTGTAGCTTTAGTCCAACTGCTAATTGGTTGATGTCAATATACCTTCACATTTTATATGTAAATGTTTTAATATAAAATATATAAATACTTACTGTTATCAAAATATAAACAGAAGAGGTTATTAGAGGTATAATTTGCAACATAAGGTGAGTTATCAAATAAAATTAACTCTGATCTCATACATAACTTATCATCCGTACTGAAATAAATCAACTTTAAATTCATTCAACACAGTTTTCCATTTGGCCACCCTTAGTTAAATTTCAAATGTCCAAATTTCCAACATATCTCACAAATTTTGACTGTTTTGTGAGAATATTTTCATTATAACCAAGCATCAAACTTTTTTCTATATAAATGCCATTTTTGTTTTTTAATCATATATACTTTTATAAAAATATATTTACTTGCATAACAAGTTTTTATCATTTTATTTCTCACAATAATTTAGCCTACATAAGAAGATTTTCACCTGACAGAAGAGGGAAGACATTCACTAAATGCTAATCTATCATCATTAGAGCAATCAGTATCACAGCAACAATTCACATCACATGAATTACCAGTCAAATCACAAGGACAATATGCTAAGTCTGAAAGTAAACAAATATTTTTGGATCAATTTATTGCAACATTTAATTTATGTAGCCCCTATCTTATCGACTTGTGCAAGATGTACTTGAAGACTACATGAAGACTAAATTTAATGTTTTCATTTAAATCAGAAAACCAACAAGAAATGAGCTTAGCAGGGTTGTGCATAATCAATAAATAGTCTTTAATAACTGTCAACTATCAGAAGCAAGTAAGCTTTCAAGACAGATAAGCATCAAATTCAAAATCTTCCTTCGCAGCTTCATTGATTCATTCATTAGTTCATTGGTATTGACATACACAGCATCATGGGTTGAATAGGAGAATTATGACCAAAAGGGTAAAATTATAAATAAGAAAGTTGATGATCTTAGATTATTTGTATTGTGACACGGTTATCACATTCATTCACCTGTATTCGAGGGAATAGGCGAAGGAGTCGCGGTTGGAATGGAAGTTGTCTGGACTTGTGCTGGTGTCGAACTCTGAGTTGTTGGAACTGGGGTTGTTTGGGGATTGGTAGTCCCTGCTGCCGGTGAAGACGGTGGTGAAGTGGTTGCGCAGAGTGTAATCTGAACTATATTACACAACAGAAACACTTTTACAGCAATAAACAGTCCATTCTTTGGAAAAATGTTCATCTCTGCCGCCATGATGTAAACTAAACGTTGCATCACGGGAATACTGGAACAAGTTATTTTTATGGCCCTCTGAGAAAGTGTAACGTAAACTTAAATGAATCTAGAAGGGGATTATTATCGATTAAACCGTTAATTTCATGAAGAAAATAATGATATTGGCTTAATGCCTTTTTTTTTTAATATTTCACATGTGCGATACGAGATGTAGTGATCACGTGATCATAACATACGGCGGCAATCAAACGAGCACTTTGTTACTTTGTTATTCATTGTTGTTTGGTCGGAGTCCAGTCGCCGGCCGGTTCACATTGAAAGTTTGGTTGTCAATTTACTTGATTACATTAAAGTTAAAGGTTAAGTTTTGTATACTGATTCGTTTATTCCCATGCTTTCCATTTGAAATTGACAGTTCAAATTCAGCACATCCTTGTCACTCAGTTTGTCTTTTTTTATTAGCCTACTCAACTGTAAAGTCTGACCACAAAATGCACAATGTTTACAGAATCACTTTCTGTCCATCATTTTCGTATGAATGAAGTCTTCGAAGATTGTTTGTTGGTTGATGCCAATTGATAAAAATTCTAATACTAGGAGATATGAAGTCAGAACGGTGAATTTTCAGTCAGATATATGGGTCAACTTCACAGGAAAGATGTTTATTTCGAACTAGAAATATGGGTCAACTTCACAGAAATGATGTATATTTCAAACTCAAAGACCCAAGCTTGTGGTGAAGACATTTTAAGTCCAAGACAAATAATGCATTTGAAAATATGCCATTGAAAATATGTAAATTGACAAAAAAATTTGAAATAATGCCAATTACCTAAATTATACTAATGACCTACCTCTATGATGATAAATATTGGCATAATGAATTCTAGGTCAACTATGACCTCACAAACTACCCAAATACAGCCTAGATCTGTCCATAATCATTATAATTCCATGGTTATATTTAAGTTATCCAGGAGGTTATACATTTTTGTTTTCTCTTCCATCTGGGGCATTGCATTATATCTAATATGGAAATTGATTTATCAGCATTTTAAAACTTCAGACTTTCATTTTAGAAAATAGCAAAAATTTGTATTCAACTCTTATATTTTGACTTCCTCTCTTTAATTAGATTTAGTGGCTTATTAATTTTATTTCATTTTATTTTTTCAGATTGATGTCAGGCTGCTAAAATATATATTATAATCATTATCATCATCAACATTCACATTCACAATGCCTTTAATGCCATCACCAGAATTTGGTTGGTCACTCAGCTCAGTGTACAGCAATAAAAGAAAATTACAAGAACAAGATGATAGCTCAGACATGGAATCATGTGTAAGTATTTTATTAAACAACAATCTCTTTATACCATCAGATGAGCACTGCTCTGATAAAGGTTGCATATCCAAAAAAGTTTGTCATATACTACTTTGCTATGTGACTTAATTTGAAAGTTTTTTGGGATTAAAGCAAAAGATAAGAATTAAAATATTGAGTTATTCATGTGTGATTATTATTTTATGCTTTAAAGAAAATTTACAGGAACGTCCAACTATTTAATTTTTTCAGGACCTTTCAGCAGCATCATCAAAACGTCATTGCCACTCACAAATGAACCCAGAATCTCATCATATGAACCAAGTGGAGATCAACCATAACTCTGATTTTCCTAATTTAAATAATAACAATAATAATATCAGTGCAGAGGTCAGAGGCTTCTTATTTCATTCTCCATTATGTTTGCTAAATGCATGATATGCTAAGAACAAATTTCAATGTGTAAACAACAAAATACGACATGAAATTTGAATGTTGCCAATAAAGACTGACTCTGTACTCAAAAGCGATGAGAAAAACTCAATATTAGTTGTTACACTTTTTAAGTAGATTGTGTTTATTAGGTTTTGGATATTTGTCCTGGGACAATTTCTCTCGTTGTACACTGTATGGTGTTGCCTGTCTTCATTAGCCCAATTGAGTGCAGAAAAAGAAGGACATCAAACTCCATTCGTTTCATTTAAAATTTTGTGATATTTTTATTCTAGGATATTCATGGCTGTATGAAAGACATTGTCACTGTTCATCAATCACAATATTTATTAACAAATACACCTGAATCTCAACCTTCATCACAGGTAGCCCTTTTTTTTTTAAATATATGAAATAACAGATAGAACTCATTATTACTTATCTTAATCCCCCAAAAGGCTCAAGATTACAAGTCTTTTTTTTTTGTGGAAATATGCATTATTTCCGTGTAAAAATGTAACTTTGAAAGAATACTCTTATAAATTTTATAAAATGCAGGATTTAAGGTCTTTGTTTTCAATTTTTTCTGGGGGCACCTAACCTCATGACTCCACTAGAACTTATTTGAATTGATTCGAAAAAAATTGAGTACTAGCCCTCTCCTATCTAAGTTCAATGCTATGTGCTATTGTGCATCTTGACACTGTTAAGCTGTTATATGATATCTAATGCTATGTATTGTTGTAGAATGATATGATAATGGACCTATGTGATGAAACCTATTCTAATACAACATTAGAAACTGAGGCAGAAATAGAATCTATGGACAATGATTATGTTCCTGATAGTTCACAATATAGGCAGCCACTACACCAGCATAATGCACAACATCTACAGCAAACCAATACTAATAATTATGGGTAAGTATCAAAATAATCCTTTAATTGACCCAGTTCAGTTTTCCCATTGGTAATTATTCCAATTAGAGAGTCTAGGTGATTTAAAAACTTATATTCTGAAACAGTTATCCTCCATATTTTAGATTTATTGTGAGCATTAGTGCACCATATTTACAATGTTACAGGATCATCAAACTGTCAAGACTCCTAGAAGACCATTTAGGGATTAGGGGTACCTTGTACCTCTTAAGCTGGATTTTGTAGTCACAGTTCACAACTCATATGAAATGGTGTATAAATAACATATTGTGTATAAATTAGATTATGATGATTTTGTTTTATTTGTAGGGATGAAAGCAGTCCAAATCGTATAAGATCTTACTGTAAACCAACATTAGATTATATGATGGATTTACGACCCTATATATCAGATTATTACTAATATTTTATAGCTGAAAATATAATAAAATTGTGCTTTTAGTTTGTTGTAAACCACCCTGCCTGATATGTCTCATCTTCTGTGAAAAAAAACATTAGATCTTTAAATACTGACTGATATGATGAAAATGTGCTTAAAAACCACCTTGCCAAAATATGTCTCGTATTGTATGAAAAAACATTGATAAGTAACAGACCCTTTGAAAACTGACTGACCTCAAATTCTACAGATTTTGTTTTCTTATAAACTGTTAAACTTATCTATTCAGCCTTGACATTATTTGGGGCATCCTTTTTGGATCGTCTTGAAGTTGATATGCAGCTTAAAAACTTATTGATTTATATCCTCAACTAACACAATTTAGTATGTATGCTTTGTTTAGTAATACAAGATCTTCAATAACTTAATACAAATGTGCTTGATATAATAGTGCCTTAATGCCTTGGTGACTAATTTGATGCAATCTCTAATTTTACACACATATCTCTATTTTTTTATAATTTGTTATATTTGTTGTTTTATGTTTAAATATTGTAATTATAGTTCATAGTTTTTAAAGAGAATTTAAACGTTGTATTTTCATAATATTGTTCAATTGTTTCTCCGCCACACGTCAGTACGTCAGTCAACACGTCATATTGTTATTGCATTATTTCTTATCTCTCAAGTCATAAACTAGTTCTTTGTAATAGTTTGATTTTTTAAATAGTTTTATATGATAAATTAAATGAATCCACAATTGTTTCAATGACAACGTACTGTAGTTTCATTCGTATAAATTTAATACATATAAATGTGCTTTATTACAAATAAAAAATTGTTCAGTATAGACTGTTATTTTACAAAAATAGCTTTATGACTAGTACTATATTTGTTGAATAAAAATGTTTTTTCAAGATTTACATGATTTAATTATTTCTTTCCCAATTGTATTTATCTGTTACTTCCTAAAAGAGAAGTAGGTAATCTAAATGCAGTTGGCAGAATGCTGACCCAATATCATTGTTACATCACATGATGTCATGGTTTCACCATGCACAGAAATGATGATTGTCATATAAGCAATAAGTTATATAATTTATAGATGTGTATACTGGTATCAAAGGCATTTATTAACTCCAAATTCTCATAATTATGATATGGCAACAAAATTTCTCAATCAGATATTCTAAAATTTGGAAGGGGAATGATGTTTCTAGACTTTTTCAGATAAATAATTGATCTTTTAGTGATAGAATATTTTAATTTCATATTAATTAATTAATGTCATGATTATTTATAATTAACAAACAATACATCAAACTCACAAAGATGAAGCATTATCAAACAAGTTATAGGAGTCTGTAGAATCTTACAAATGTACAAAAAATATTCCTGCCCAATTTTGAACAATGAAATAAAGTATCTTAAATAAAAAATCACTTGAATTAACTTCGCAAGAAATTATTCAGTTTTAAGTGATAAGTAACTATCTTCAAGAGAATATTCTTTACAATCAGGATCTCTCGAACACTAGTTAACAAGCTAGACATTCCCTGACCACTGACTATTTTGTGGTAAGACTGTCATGCACCACTGGCCAACAATATTGATTTTTATAAATTTGGACTTAGGCAAAAAATAAAAAATGGACCCACTACAGTTACTGTGATATGGTTATATTTGGCAAGGATGCTTAATTGAAGTTTCTGGCAAAACCTACTACAGAATTAATTTTAATTACACATTTAACAAAAATACATGTACTAGCTTATATTAATAAATCATTATATAGAAATACTGCCCTCTCTAAAATTAGTTTTTCCTATATAGGTATTAACAAGTACAGCACTACCATTTTGACTTTGTTTTAAGGCATCTTGAAGTATTTCCTTTATTTTATCTTCATTAGACCTGTCTAGTTTATACCCTTTACCACCATAGCCTTCTGCTACCTTATCATACTCAGTAAACTAAAAAAAAAATATAGGGATTTTCGTTTTGAACACAAATTATACTAAATGGATATTGATATCTAAATTTTGGCCAATAAATTTCTCTTGACATTTGAAATATTTGACTTGATTCTGAGGAAAAAGGGGAAATATCAAATTATACTCACTGCTAGTTTACAAGCAACAGAACTATGTAATAATGGTACTTGATCTCGTTCTATTTGTGTCCAACCAGCATCATTACCTACCACTGATATTATTGGTAGCTACAAATATATCAAATTTGCATAAATAAAATGCGAACACCAGATAGGTTTTGATAATCACATCAACAACTACTATAGGACCAAATTTTAAGGCACCTGTCAATATTTTGTTTGCTTCCATTGTAAAAGGGGCATTTATGTTTTACAGGGGGCTTTGTTTCAACAGAAAGTGGACTAACCTTTATTTATTTATCAATTTTCATTGAGATCAGTCTCCCTTAAATGACAGATGTAAAATGGTCAAAATCTAACCTTATGTCTTGTATATGTATCATATTCAGCAATGCTATATCCTACTGTACCATCACCATAAATAATCCATACATCACTTTCAGGACGACATAGCTTAGCTCCTATAGCAAATCCCCCACCAACACCTAATGTACCAAATGCTCCAGGATCTAACCAAGTAAGTGGTCCTCTAGGTCTAAAAATATTATTCAAAAAAATTATTCTATCTTTTTAACAAATTTAAAGAATGACAAAGATTAAGGACATGCTCTGCACACACTGCTACCTATCGAATAACAATTTGTTTGATATATCTGAGGGCAGATTCAGAGGCGTCAAGAACTTGTCTGATATTAAGCATGCTTCTGTCACACTTGTCTCATGACAATCCTTAAAAATCAAGTAAACTCTGATTCCATGTCATAATGACTTCTCACTAATTTTGTTATGAAAAGAAGCCAGTTTTTATATATCTCCCATGTTCCTTAAGCAATGTTACATGATATAATGATCATGATATCATAAAACGCTGCTGAAACAACATGTGGATCTCCTGGAGTATAAAATAAACCCTTCAAATTACCTCAGTATATAAGCAGCAGTTGCTACAAAATCCCCTCCATCAGCCACCATAATAGTATTATCATTCATTACATCTTCTACTATCTGTAGCACTTTCAATGGGTTTAAATGTTGATCAGTTCTTTCTTCAGCTTTACTCCTGTAAATAATTTATTAATAGCTGCGTTAACTATATAGATCACTTTGATACATTGTTCATCTCAGTATCTCCTGTGAAAATAAAAGTTTCTGTAACAGAGGAGTATTTTGGAGAGCACATGATAATTTTACATTTTTCATTCTGATATAAACTAATTTTAGTTACCTATTAGCGATCTCCTTCTCTTCATCTCTTGATGTTAATTTTTTAATCCATTCTGAATCACATTTATATTCTGATCCTAGTTCTCTCTGTAACTCAACTATAAAACTAGCTACATCACCCTGTACACCAACTGTTGGTTTCCAAAACATGTCTGAATTCTACAATATACATTAATATCACAGGGACATAATGAACATATTCTCATGTCAAATTTGTTATTCTATGTTATACACTCCTCAGAAACTTGTTTGCATATTCTCATTCAAGATCAATTTCAAACAGAAAACTTATTTGACAACCACTTACAAGGTGAGCTATAACCTTGTTACAAAGTTATAAGACATACCTTATAAAGTTGATTTTTATCTCTATTTACAGCAATTATTTTTGATTTTCGACTCAGTACTCTACCATAGTTCAAGCGGAAATCACAAACAGAACCTATAATTCAAATATAAAAACAATTCTTTACAATTACAACAGCCTAGAGGAAACATGTAGGCCCCTATATATATTTGAGCTGAGAGGAAATCAGTTATAATTTTAATCACACAAAGAGACATTGCCAATTGATTTCTAATATAAATAAACAAATTACATCATTACCTGCTAAAATAACCAGATCAGCTTCTCGTAAGGCATCTCTACGTTTCTGGCGACACTGTATATTACTCTTTCTACCTAATAAACCACGAGACATACCTCCTAGAAAACATGGTATACCCATAGCCTGAAATACAAGATAAAATATATCATAGTTTTACATAGTTTTATGTCAGACTCTTCTGGACCATTTTAAACAGAAAAAGATAGATATGACCATATTTTACAAGGATAACAACTTGTCTACCAGCTGGTCTTTGGCCCAAGCCAAAGCCATGCAGTGTGCAGTGAGGGCATTGTGCTAAACCTCAGACCTCTAAACAAGAGAGCAAGCATCTACCTTGCTGAGCCACATCAGCTTTCTTTTTTTTTCAAATGGAGATTATTTTTTCTAAACAGTACATGTTTTAATTTAGGAATTAATGTTTACCTCGAATGCTTGTCTCAAATGGTTGATATCTGTTGGGGGTAAAGTTGCCTGACTTCCAACTAATATCACTGGTCTCTTGGCTCTTGCTAACAGCTCTTTACATTGTCTTACTAAAACACAACATAAAAAAGAAATCATTAGCTGTGTGGACATGAGTTACATGAGTGGCATCAGATGACTTGGAAAGATTAGTATCCCTTGTGACACTGCCACAGTGTAGATCATATCCTTGAAATGTAATTAAAAGTTTAATTCTAAATTCTTACCAAAAATATCTAATTTAAACACAATTTTTTTTTCAATTACAGTGTAAGTTATTGTCCAAATACGTAATGTCAAGACAGAGTGGAATACAATCATCAAAGATGATATCAAATCTAACAAAAAACAATTACACCATACATTCAAAAGGCAGTCTAAAACAGATCACCTATGATTGGTTGTTTTTATAACAAACTCATCAGACTGACACCTTCTTAATTAGTTTTTACTAATTAATCAAAACATTTAATCAATGTGTGCTACCACTTTCTAATCAGACAAAGGCTCAATAAGACATTGACATCAAAATATGCTTTAACGTTAGATATCACACAAGTGACACTTTTTCCTTGGCATGACATGTGAAAATTCATTCAAATCTGTCAGTAATAGAAAATTGGTATATAAATCCTGGAAAAATGCTAAGGAATCATTCAAAATCATTCCTTCATTAGTAAACTAGCAAACTAAATTACAAAATGGATATGAAACAGCTAATTTTATTTTGTGTTGTTATGGTAACAGTTTCCAGTGTCAAGCCACCAACGTGGTTAAGAAAATCTTACAAATTGGTTAAAACTCGACATCATCATGGTTTGTCTAACAAGTTTTCAAGGCTCCTAATACAGACCTATGACAAAAATTCAACACACAATGGCAGTCTGAATACAGAAGATATTACAGAAATTGAGAAACCAAAAACCAATATAGGCTATGTTATAAATAATGGCAGAAATGTGGAAGAAAGACCAAGAAAAATCCACCATCATGCCCACCCCAAGCATGTTCATGGAAACAGTAAAGTAAATAAAAACAACAACAAGAACGCATGTGGTAAAGTAATGCATGGTGTATGGTTTAAAAATCAGTGTAATATTTGTCGATGTTTTAATGGTTTATTTCATTGTTTACCATCCGTATCTCAAGGCTGCAGTGAAAGAAGACACCCAACCAACTTTCAAGAATATTTTCTATACCCTACTAAGAAATCTACCAAGACAGTGATAACAGTAACATCAAGTGCTGGAAGTGTATCAGGAACTGTATTCAGTATTCTTATGATTCTATCTTTTCTCTTATTGTAAATAATGATTTGTTATTTGTTAGCATTTTTTGTTTATTGTTAAGTTTTAATACTTTGTAAATAAATTACTGTAATTCATTTTCCTTTTCCATTCTTTCTCTGAAAAATCATGCGTCGAATGACAATTTAAAGTGTAGTGCATTCTCATGAAAACTTGGCAGAATGGCAGACAAGGGGAGCAACTTTGGAAGTTTTGAAGTTGGAACATTGCACAAATTCTGATGAAAATCATTAAAAAATTTAACATCAAATTGTTCAGATAAATAATAATTGAGTATTCATACCTTGTGAGTGGCTAGCCATGGGTATATCTACTGGTAATGGACCAGTTGGTCGTTGTTCAAATGCCCCAGCATATAGATTTGATAAATGATTTCTTAAATACCTGCAAACAAGTTCAAACATTCTAAGTTTCAATCCATTTGAATTAAAAAGCTTTCCAACTAAATAGGGCATATAAAAAGCTCTTGTGAGCACCCCAACAACAAATGCAGAAACCAAATTCACATTTCTAGCACAAACACAGAGTCATACAAATAGGGTTCTTACCATTGTATAACTTTATCAACCAAACCTTTCCCAGAATCCTTGATTCCCATTTGATCCTTTACTAGTTGATAGCTATATAAAACATCTATAGGTAATTCAACAAATACTGGACCTGAAATTACCAACATTCATTAGTAAGAAGACATTAAGGCATTATTTCCCAAAGAGCAGGAACATCCTTTCCTATTAGCAAATACAATCCATTTTATGCTTGTTATATATCATTCATACTGAACTAACAGGGTATGAAGATTCCTACAATGATTCTGAGAGCGGAAAATGAGCTCTATCAGTACTTTATGTCAAAGTAAAGATGTGTCAATAAGTACAAACACTAACCTGGTGTATTAGACTGAGCTATCTGTAAAGCTTGACGTAATGTAGGTATTATATCTCTAACAGTTGTCACTGATTTACAGAATTTACATAATGGCTTAAATAATGACATTTGATCGATATCCTGTAGAGCTCCTCGACCCTTAAAATTAAAAACTATATCAATACATTAGGTCACAATAACTGCAATTGAGCAGCTTTTTATACTCCTGATATTCAAATAGAGACAAAGAAAGGAAAGAATCACCCATTTTTCTCAAAGATAATAATCTAGATTCATGAGGATTCTGAATAATGAAGAGAGATTCATGTGCACTAGTTATATTCTTTATGACACAACTAACAAGATGACAGAAAATACCTTTAATAAAGTAGCAGCAGCCCCACCAAGTAACAGTAATGGAGATTCAGCCATCTGAGCATTCTTTATAGCTGTTACAGTGTTAGTTAATCCTAAAAATAAATTACATGCCATTTGAATATAATGACAAAATCGATATGCAATAATTACTACCTGTCTTATAATCATGAGATGAAAAATTATTTCCCTGACAGGATCTTAAATTGCTATCCATTTGTTATCTCTTTGAATAAGAGTCAGTTATCCAGTCCTTTAATTTTAACCTCATGTCTAGAAATGTTAGCATCTATATTAGATAATGTCAAAATACCTGGACCAGCTGTGACAGCACAAACACCAACGCTACCAGACATTCTAGCTACAGCATCAGCTGCAAATGCTGCTGTTACCTAAATAAACACAGCACATTTGTTATCAAGGTTGATAATATCAAATCCATCAAAACAGACCAATAATACTGGTAAATGAAACACTGAAGCTTCAAACCTTAACTTCGAAATGGATGACTGCGTAAAAAATTATTCAGATATCTCCTGTTTGTGATCACAACTTTTTTTGGAGTCAATTTCATTCTTACAGATCAGGCTCAAGAGAATAAAAACTTTATATAGAATAAAACCGTTACCTCATGTCTAGTATCTATTACTCTAATACCAATCTTCTCACAAGCTACTAATATAGGTGATATATGTCCACCAACTAGGGTAAATACGTACTTCACATTATGGTCCTAAAATAATCATTTCATTAGTCCACAAACTGTTTACCATCTAAGCATTTATCTGACTTATATGATAAGATACAGCCTTTATTTGTATCTTCATCTGTACTTCTAGAGCACTTAATGCTACTATGCAACAATTAGCGCATATTCTCTTAAGGAGTGCTTATATATATATTGTTTATTTGGTAATCTTATTAGGCAGTGGGCCTACTTAATTGTAAATTATTGTTGATAATTTGAAAATAAATAAATTTGATCAGATACCTTCAGAACCTGAGCAACAAGTTCTCCTCCATGCCTTGTGGAATCTGCAACAGGCTAAAATCAAATACATATCAATCAATTATAGTAAGTAAAACTTCAATGACAAATAGAATTGATAGTCAACTTCAACTGAAAGACTCTTTTCATAAGTTCATACAAAGATAGGGCAAAAGTCCATTTCAAGCACATGACAGAGTAGAGTAAACTGAGTTTTGATAGATAGCCTATGACAAATTTCAACGAAAAATGCTTCAAAACTGACAAGAAATACCTTGTGAAGATAATTGTAAATGATGCCAAACTTTCTTAGGAAGAAGATTAATCCAACTGACACAGCCGACACGCCTACAGGCAGTGCATATTTGGAAATATACTTCTGAAGTTCTGGGCAGAATTTATTCCACGACTCCATGATGTTTACATCACGTGATACAAAAGATCAAAGTTCAACTAATCGGATTTTATGGTTCATTCGATACCTATGACAAACTCGTAAACTAACATTTTGGCACTGTTTTTCTGTTGAGTAGTCTGTTTTTTCGCGATGATTTTTTATCTTTTTTCGACGAAAATAATAGAATATCGTGGTATCGAACAGTTATAGTTTTATTCTGAGCTGTATCTAAGATTTTAGCTATTAGAGAATACGTACTTTGAGCGATATCGAATGCACAAGCCGGTAGTTTGATCACGTGATAGTCAAAATGGCGGCGGCAATACAAATTATCAATAAAATTTTGGCTTCTGGAGATCATCATGCTATCCTATCATTAATAAAGGGTTTACGCAATGGAATTGTGTAAGTATGAGTTGCAGTAATTTTAAACCAATCACTTGATTCGCAACGTTTTGGCTGGTAGTTAGTGAAGGTTATGGAAATTATGAAATTCTTCAAATTTTCTCCACCCAGAAGTGTGCCACTTCCAGGGCCAGTGCCAGTGGATTCAGTTTGGTAACAGGCCATAACGACATTTGTTACTTGTGCACTAAATTAGTTATTTCCCAATTGATTGACCATTATGGTTTTTGTTCATTCAATAACCAAGTCATTTTGGACCTTATATTTGTTTATTTCTGGACATGTAGTTTAATGTTTTCCAAAAGGACAAAGTCCTGAATGCATTTGAATTTGATGGCCATGCCCCTAATTTTCGTTGCATGGACCAGAATCAGCTTAATTTGCTTTTTAAACTTCACTGCAACTTTCTGTCTTATCTTGCTTTTGATAAGATCTGTCAATAGTTTTTAGTTTTAAAAGGCTAGATATAAAGTGCAAAAGTGTATTCAAAGTGTTTTGTTATAGAATTATCAAAAGGAAAATATAGGCCCTACTGTTAATATACTGGTATATGTATTGATGTTTTTAGGTATGGAGCTAAAGTACGATTTCCACATGCCTTGGTTATGACATTTCTCTTTAAAAGTGATAGGTAAGTCACAGGATAGTCATTTAATCATCACTTACTTTAAACATTGTGCTTCTTACTTCTATTATATGTCATTCTTACAAATGCCAAGAACTCCTTTGAGTCATTTTCAGTTCATTGTACTCTTGATCTGGAGTGAGTGGCCTTTTCATTCAGTCAGATTGACAGATTTTTTTTTACTGAATTCATTTTTTAATCATTCTCACTTGAAATTATCCTTTTTGAACTTTGATTCAATTTTTCAATGTTGTGAAAGTTTATAGGGACATCAAAAATAATTATCGTAAGCTTGTATTTTCTGTTACAGTTTAAGAAACAAGATAATTGGTATTTTACAAGCAACCTATACCCATTCCAAGAATCTAGGTTTATTTGTACTAGCATATAAGACTTTAACCCTCTTAATGCAGTTTGCTCAAAATGAGAAATATAAACCGCAATCATTTGTGGCAGCATTTATAGCAGGTTATGTGATATTTGGCAGATATAATAAAGTTAATGAACAAGTAAGTAGAACGTGTAGTGTTATTACCTTGCTTTAAATTTATCAACTTGAGAATTGCACTCTATGACTTTATGTTTAAATTTTTTATGTCAAGCTAATTTTAGCATCTTAAGGATACAGCCTATCCTGATTTTTATTTTAATTGTGTTTAATTTAAAGGGATAGTGAAGATGTTTTCTAAATATTTTATGTCTCTCGGGAACATTCATAGCATCAATTTGCACCATTCCGATTTTCAGTCAGATGTCTGTGGTTCCTGCAATTCCACCAAAACGTGTTTTTCGCAAAATATAGTTGTATCACATACGACCTTTGTGATTAGTGACGTCATCAAACTCTACAATTTTACAATCCTTAAACATGGTATACAAATCATGGGAGATAAATCTTAGTTTATTATCAGTTTAATAATAGTGTAATATCCAACTTTAGCCTCTTGCTTAATGTGAAGATAAATTATTGATTCCCTCAGATGTCTGCCTGTTATTTTGGAAGTTGATCTTTCTAATTTAATTTTGGTATAAGTATAGCATAAATCGTTTTTGTGTTATTGTGCTACACTTAAAAAGATTGAGATTTTTGCTTTGCATGCATATATGTTGCTTAATATAATTAAAATTGATTTGATTTATTAGTACATGTAATTTGATGATCAATTTTCATGCTTTGCCTATAAGAATTAAAAAATTCTGATTTTCGAATTCTAAAGTGTTTTATATCTTTCACATGGAGTTTTTCATTATTTATGTAATCATGTTTTTGTGATTTATTTCAATAGAATGTGAAATGATGTAAGTGATGAGTCTTACAACTGTATCATGATTATTTCTTCATCTTAGTCATCAACCAAAAAAACTTCCTTTTCAATTCATTTCACTTTCTACCTTGGGTGGCCAATCAGTAAGTGCCAAGAAATCTACCTGTTTTGAACTAAAGGAACTCTTTGTCGACTTTTTCTTAATTTACCCTTAAACAGAGTAGGGAGAAAGAAAAAGTTGGGTTAAATCAGACATATAAATCCACAGTTCTGAGCTGTTGGTTCCTTGCATAATTCTTGTGTAACAATGAAAAAAAGTAAGAAGGGGGAGATAAAAAAGTTGCAAAATGTCTTTTTGATCTAATTAAAAATTCAACCACGAACACTGTTTCTTGAGGCTTAAGGAGAAGCGTATACCACATTATACATTTTCAGGTTTCCACAGACTTGGTTTATAAAACTTTAAAAAAAATTAGTTTCAGACAGTAAATCATATTATGGTAAATAATAATATGCTCTTTGATTAAACCTTTCATTTTGATGTTCATTTCTAAGCATAGAATTTTTCTTTCTATTTTTCTTAAAAATTTGCAAATGTCCAACTTGAAAATTCAGACAAGCATATAAAATTTGTGACCATGGTCATATAATAGCTTACCAAGAAACAAAATATTTTTTTTATGTCAAATACAAGGTTTTATTTTTGTTATTTTTAAAAATACCTCAGTAATTTTATGAAATGTTTCATTATGAAAGATATCATTTAATACTCCTTTTTTTTTTTCTCACCTTGAAAATATTTCACATTTTCTTGAATATCATCATGAATGTCAGAGCGTTGATGTCACTATAACAGTTGTTTTAAGGTCATTGCTACTCTACATATTACTCGTTTGTGTGTAAACTCTGGTAGCATCAGAAGTGTAGACTTCTTGCTGAAATCTTTTATGAATAATTCAATTGAAATCAAATGTAACAGTTTTAACAAGGAATTTAATGTTTGATACCACAAAATCCATTTGAAATACTTCAGTTCTGCTTTCAATTCGACCATTTGTGGACAAAGCAGGTTGAGCACTTAATTGCCAATATCAAGTATGGAGTTCTTAGATTCTTTTTCAAGTTACAGTCTCTGAAATTTGAATCCCTTTATTCACCTTCATTACCATTTTAATTCAAAATTCAAAAATGTAACCAAGACATTTGACTTTATGTCTGATCTGTAGCACAGCCAAGAATTTTGATTATTTGATGATTCATTTTAAATAAAAATTGAAATTAAATTTGTTGGAATGATTGTAATAATATATGATATAAGTCAGGTAAGTAATAAATAAATAATAAAAATAATAACAGATCTAGACAAAGATGACATACACGGAATGTTTCTATCATTACTTCTTCTCTCTTATTTACTCACATTTCACTTGATAAATGTATTACTACATCATTTCCAGACAACACAATTTGTAAGAAAAGAGATTTATTTTCACCTCCTCTCATGAAATAACTCATTTTTCACCCAAAATCTAATGTATCTGCCAGGTATGTGGTTACCAAAACTCATTTCTTTCTCTGGCTTAGTGGAGATGATGAGCAAAGTAACTGATGGGACCAGACAAATAAATAGTATTTTTAACTTCATTTACTTACTATATTTAGAATCTTGTTATATTCAATGTCTGATTGCATTGTACTCATTGTACATTTGACAGGTCGGTTAGTGCCTGTATCTTTATGGTTGAATCAAATGAAGCTTTAAACATTTGAATTTAGCTTTCAAAGACATGCAATTTTCTTTCTGGCTGCACAACAGAGTTGGATCTTTGATAATCAAAAATGGAGTATCAAAATCTAAAAAAAACTTATCTGTAGTTGTGTTATTCATTATCAAAGTATTGTGATCCACTGTCTTAATATTGTTACTCACTCCTATATTAAAGTACTGTTATCCAATGTTAAACTACTGCTATCCACTGTTTAAATATTGTTATTCACTTCACTGTTAAGTTTTGTTATCTACTGAGAAATTGTATATTTCATTGAGTATTTTTATCCTTTGATCAAGTTATGTTATCCGATGTTAAAGTATTGTCATCCTTTGATCAATTATTGTTGTCCAGTGTCATAGTATTGTTTTCCTCTGATCAGGTATTGTTATCAAGTGTCAAAGTAATGTTATCCACAACTACAGTATTGTTATCATATTTTCAAGTATAGTAGTTTTGAAGTATTGTTTTCAATTGTTCAAGTATTGATATTCACCCATTGTTAAAGTATTGTTTTCCTAAGTGTTGTTCACAGTTGCAGTATTAATGCTTATGCTAAAGATATGTTTTCTATTGATAAAATGTTGTTAATCAGCATGAGTTTAGAACATTAGTAATTACTAAATTGAAATATTTTTTTATCTATTTTCAGATTAACTTATATCTTCTATCTAGAATTCTCTATGGTTTAGCTCAATTAGCTGTTAAAAGGGGTTATGTTCCCAAACCTAAAGGAGAAGTATTTCCAATGTTTGCCGCTATTGTGTGGGGTATAGTGTTGTGGCTGTTTGAACATGAAAAAGACACATTACAACCATCTCTTGCTTCGTCTATGACTTATCTCTATCATGATAGCAATACGTGGCATAATTTAAAGGACTTTCTCCTTTATAATAAACCTTCAAAGAAATAAAATAAAATAATAAGATATTGGAAAAACTGTTACTGTGAATGCTTAAAAAATAGAACTTAGAGCCATCTTGATGGTGCTGTATGAGAGCTTGATTTAGAGGTCATTGTGATCCATCATAGCTGTATGAGAGCTAAATGTAAAGTCCATTTTGATTCACCAAGTTTGAATGAGTTAGCCTTTTTTACAGCTAAAAATATGTTATGTTACCAATTTTGATTGGTCAGTTCATGAAAATGTATCAGCCTTGATGGGTCACAAGCAGTGGCTGATGAGAATATATCACAGACCTTACTCTGTTACTTTTACTCTGGTTTGTAACATTTATATCTTATCTTAAAATGAATTATGTTTTATGATGGTCAGGCAATTTTTTTTAGTATATAAGTCCAATGAGCTATGTTTAAAAACCATTTTATATGCCTCTAAATATTTTATACTATTTTAAATTATGTGTAGACATTTAATTGTACCGATTTCAATTTTAATATGTCCAATTATAACTGTGGTTTTATATTGCTGTGACCCTATCTTCTTCAGCTCTGTCAATAGTGCTAACACACATGGACCATAATTTGTGGCTTTCTCTCTATCAGAGTCTATCTATAAGTAAGAGGAGACAAGGTCAGAGAATGACATTCGGACGGGTGGTTAGGAGGTTGGACTGGAAAAGGTACTGGGATACAGTGGGGAGAATAGATTACAAAAGGGGAAGCAGGGAGATTAGACTGGATGGGGTAGTAGGGTGGACGGTAGGTGAGACTGGTTAAGTAGGGTGGACGGTAGGTGAGAACAGATTGGGGAAGTAGGCTAGACGGTAGATGAGAAAAGACTGACTGGTGAGAGTAGAGTGGGAATGTCGAAGTGACAAAAGGGGTAAGAGGAGGAGATGGGCGCGAGAGGCGGAGTGAAGTAAAAGGGCACTTCGCAGGAGTAGCAGAGACAGTGGTGGTATAATGCTATCATATGGGGTTTTCTTTTATATTGAGAGCCACTTATTGTACCTCCGTGTAATGCTTCGAATTACAGTACTCTGAAGACTTATTAATTGTGCCCGACTTCCATCGTTCTTGTGATTTGATGTTGTCACTGAAACCGGACTAAAATTTGATTTAAAACACTTTCATAATTAGTCACAATGGTCGAATATAAATTGCAAAGAATAGCTTTCCTTGAAGTAAAACGTATACATCGAGTAACCTAATTTCGTGGAAACCTATTATCCGTGGATTTCCGGAAATGTTTAATAATTTACATGAGCGACCTTGCGCGACCTCCGCATTATTTGGTTTTTAATAAACATGGGTGTTCTCTACAATATCAGCTAGTAGAATGAATCCAGTAGTTGCAAGCAAGGTAAAATGTATTAATGTATACTTTGACAAATACAAAATGGCGGATTTCAGTTATTACCAAACGTCACCATTTTTTATCGGCCGAATTTCCTTATAATCCCTAGCCCTAATCGGAATTCCAAGTGTCGTCTGCTAGAATGTAGTCCAACGAATGAAGTCACGTGATTAAGTAGCGGATTCCGTGTAAGCAAAAAATTTCTATGGAACACAAAGTGGACCATATTCTTATGTTGTTTCAGTGACTTTTAGCAATAAATCACACTACGTATCTTATTTTGTCACTCACTATTTTTTTTTTTAAATCGTGGTTCTTTTTAAGGAATTGTCACTAGTTATAATGAATTGATATTAAAGATAAATACTAAGAGAAGTTAATTATACCACCCGGTATCCATACAACGTGTTTTTCTAGACTTATCTATATTTCAAACATTGTACACGAAAATAGGTGACGCATTCTGCCGCCGTTGCCAGTTGGTTGCGCATGAAATATCGGTCAAAGTGAAGAATTCATAAAGAAAATTGAAACAAACAAAATTTAAATATTTTGTAGAATTTCTGAGGAAACATCCAAGACATAAAAAAAAATTTCGTGTTGAATCCTTATATCCACGAAAATAGGTTACACCACTGTATAAAACGTTACTTTAGAAAAAAATGGATTCGTATTTAATAAAAATTCGTTATCAATTCAAAATCTTCTGAAGTTAGACTACTAATGCACATCGCCAATGCCGTCTAAAATGATATTATGATTATGATAACTAATCATATTATAATAAGATACAATGGATCTAGCTATTTCGTACTATGTTTGCAAGTGGGGAATACGCGCGTTGCCTTGTATTAACATATTTGCAAAAATTCTCATGAAAAATATTTGATCGAGTCTCTTAACTGTCTTTTGTCGTATTTTGGAAACATGGAAAAAAATTGGTTGCTGCTTCCAACAGAAGCAGCATCTTTTCTTCTGAAAAGTGAGACTGTTTACTGAAATTTAGCTGAACCGTGACAGTTTCAATTTAAAACTATTACCGCATGTTATGTACAGTTTATGTTTATGTTCTCGGACTATAGTTATGATTTGAATGATATAATGGCAAATTGCATGTTAAATGTTACATAATGTTTCACCAACACTTGAGATAATTAATAATATTGACATTCCAACTGGAGTATTTTACATGATAATATGCTAGCCTCTTCACAATGTTTCTGAAATGTTTATATTGGATGGACAGAAAACACTACAACACCATGCAAATGTTGTGAGAAAAAACTATGAATGAAGTACTTTGGTTATAAGCTAAACTTTAAACTGACAAAATGATGTCATTATTTGAATATCTTCTCATAGTTCTTATACTAATCTACTTGACCTACATGGATTATCTTTCCCTTAAAACAGTTTAATTTCTGTGAGAACCCCATGTGCAGGGTTTCTAAATTTGCACAAAGTTTGGGTATATTCTTGTGTTCAAACACCAGCAGATTTTGAATATTGTATTTATATAATAAAGTAATATATGCTTTGAACCATCGGCCTCTTTTCTCGGCTGTGGAACAATAGCCTAAGAAAGCAATTCACAACATTCGGTAGTAATCTGAAGAGCAGAATTTTCTAGGTGGACCGTTCGAAATGGAAAGGCTACAAATCAAGTTTAAACCAAAGACAAAAGACGGAACAGATCCTTCAGATGGACCCACATCGAGGTTGCGACTGTCAGACTGTAATGACTAAGAATTATACTTTAAGTACACAATCTGAAGAAATCTGTAGATGGGTTATGTATAATCTGAGGATTATTCAATTTCATGAATATTCTAAGAAAAGTTTTAAACTTACTATCTCCACTCTAGTATAGCCAGAAGACACCTCTTATCATTAACAGTAATTTAAACATTGTGAAACCGGAATATTCTTCAACAAATTGGAATAAAATTGGTACAATCTTATCACTGCCACAGGCCTTTCCGATAGAAGTAACGGTTGTTACCAACTAAGCAATTTGTTCCATTCTTCTATTCCAATCGACTTCTTAATCTAAATTGTTTCTACAATCTATAACATTCTTTTCTATACGTCTATATATATTGCTCTTAATTCTAAATTGTTTTCTACAATCTATATCATACTTCTGTGATCTATAAATCTATCTATATTGTTTACAGTTACACAATCTATGTTGTTTCTACAGCCTTTTGTTTCTATTGTTTCTACAATCTATATTGTTTTTACAGTCTAAATTGTTTCTACGGTCTAAATTCTTTCTACTTTTTCTATTGTTTTTTTAATATATACTGTTTCTACAATCCATATTGTTTCCACAATCTATAGGCCTATTGTTTTCACCACGAATATTGTTTCTACAATCTATAGGCCTCTTGTTTCTACAATCTATATTGCTTCCACCATGAATATAGTTTCTACATGTACAATCTTTATTGTTTCTACATTCTTTTTTGGTTCTACAATCTATATTGTTTTTTTTTTACTAATATTGTGTCTATAATCTATATTGTTTCCATAATCTATATTGTTTCTTCAATCTACCCGGTATCTATAATCTATATTGTTTCTTCAACCAACAATGTTTCTTCAATCTACATTGTTTCTATAATCTATATTATTTCTACAATCTATATCATTTCTACAATCTATATCATTTCTACAATCTATACTGTCTCTATTTTGTTCCGCAATCTATGTTGTCTATGTATTGTTTCCCGAATCTATTTCGGTATTTCTTTTTCTTTTTAATTGTTGCTGAAAGATTTGAAATGTACCACACAATTTCGAATTCCATGATTGAAATCGTTATAGATCTTCAAGCGGAGGATTTAGTACTATGTATTCTAGACCATATGTATAGTGGACGCCTATGTCAAATAGAAATTAGATTTAATTCATTAATTTGTCAAACATTGTGACACCTGATTATTCTGATGTCAGAAAAAACAATATAACTTAGTAATTGCTTGTTTTACCATGCTGTAGCTTGATCCACGTGCTACCTTGACATTGATTGACACATGTCATCGACAAGAAAAAGTCCACGACAGTCTGCCCTCTACATTTGTTCCTCATTTCATAGCTCATTTGTAGCGAAGGTTGAATATTTACATATATAACAATTATATCAATTTAGTGGCTTGAGTAGTGGTAGGTAATATATTCAACATGCTTGTTCAGCTGCCAACTGGCAACTTCAACATTTCTTATCGCCTTATTTCGTTCATCAGACTCTCCTATAAATTCTTCTTGTTAAAAACGACCATAAAATAAATATTATCATTTAGTTGATAAAACATAATGGAAATTGACATTTATTGCACTTTACGATTTGGTTAGTGTCAAATTATCATGTAGAATCTCATCGCTATAAATTGTGAGAAGATAAAAATGAATTCAAGCCATATGACAATAGTTTCTTTGTGTAGTTTTAAAAATTGTAAAATTGTTGCATAAATTTTAATGCCTTGTTACCGTCTTGTTACTTAAGTATTTGTCTAATGCAAAACAAAAATGTATATGAATGAAGTATATGCTAATTCATGTGTCGGATACTCGATTTAATCATGTGATGGATATCATCATTGGCCAGTGGCACATGCACTTGAGATTTAATCATGTGATGGATATCATCATGAGACAGTTGGACAGGCATTCGAGATTTAATCATGTGATGGATATTATCATGTGACAGTTGGATAGGCACTCGAGATTTAATCATGTGATGGATATCATGATGAGACAGTGGCACATGCACTCGATTTAATCATGTAATGGATATCATCATTGGCCAGTGGCACATGCACTCGAGATTGGGTCATGTGATGGATAGCATCATGAGACAGTGGCACATGCACTCGATTTAATCATGTGATGGATATCATCATGAGACAATGGCACATGCAGTCGATTTTATCATGTGGTGGATATCATCATGAAACGGTGGTACAGACTCGAGATTTAATCATGTGATGGATATCATCATGGGCCAGTGGCTGAGGCACTCGAGGTTGAGTCATGTGATGTATATATCATCATGGGCCAGTGGCTAATGCACTTGAGAATTAATCATGTGATGGATATCATCATGGGCCAGTGGCTGAGGCACTCGAGGTTGAGTCATGTGATGTATATATATCATCATGGGCCAATGGCTAAGGCACTCGAGAATTAATCATGTGATGGATTTCATCATGGGCCAGTGGCTGAGGCACTCGAGATTTAGTCATGTGATGGATATCATCATGGGCAAGTGGCTGAGGCACTCGAGATTTAGTCATGTGATGGATATCATCATGGGCCAGTGGCTAAGGCACTCGAGATTGAGTCATGTGATGGATATTGTCATGGGCCAGTGGTTAAGGCACTCGTGATTTAGTCATGTGATGGATATCATCATGGGCCTGTGGATAAGGCAAGCACCCGATTTAGTAATGAGATTGATATCAAAATGCTTTAAGCACTCGATTTATTCGTGGTCATGTGATGGAAATCATCATGTGTCTTACACTCGAGTTCAGCTTTACTATAGCATGTCGTACATGTTTTTCGAATGTTTTTCATTCTCTGATATAATCTTCTATCTCGCATTTAACTTTTTCATCTTTTTATAAAATGAAATAATACTATGCTATCTATCTAATAACCACACATTGCAAAATCACCATGTAAAGATTAATATACCGTCCTTTGAAGCAACGCAGCAGAAAAACTAAAAGCCATTGTTTGAATACTTAAGAGATAACATCTAAATACTTATACAACAGATCAAATGTAGTATCGTAGGCTTCAAAGGCTGCACCTGTATAGGTATTTATCGTTCTAAACTGTTTAATGTTATAGACCTGTAGAGTTTTTTGTTATAGACTGGTAGAGTTTCTTGTTATAGACTGGTATAGTTTATTGCTATAGACTGGTAGAGTTTATTGTTATAGACTGGTAGAGTTTATTGTTATAGACTGGTAGAGTTTATTGTTATAGACTGGTAGAGTTTATTATTATAGACTGGTAGAGTTCATTCTTATAGACTGATAAGAGTTTATTGTTATACACTGGTAGAGTTTATTGTAATAGACTGGTAGAGTTTATAGTTATAGACTGGTAGAGTGTATTGTTATAGACTGGTAGAGTTTATTATTATAGACTGGTAGAGTTTATCGTTATAGACTGGTAGAGTTCATTATTCTAGATTAGTGGAGTTTATTGTTATACACTGGTAGATTTTATTGTTATACACTGGTAGAGTTTATAGTTATAGACTCCTAGAGTGTATTGTTATAGACTGGTAGAGTTTATTATTGTAGACTGGTAGAGTTTATCGTTATAGACTGGTAGAGTTTGTCGTTATAGACTGGTGGAGTTTATCGTTATAGTCTGGTAGAGTTTATTGTTATAGACTGGTATAGTTTATTGTTATAAACTGCTAGAGTGTATTGTTATAGACTGGTAGAGTGTATCGTTATAGACTGGTAGAGTTTATTGTAATAGACTGGTGGAGTTTATCGTTATAGTCTGGTAGAGTTTATTGTTATAGACTGGTATAGTTTATTGTTAAAGACTAATAAGAGTTAATTGTTACAGACTGATATAGTTTATTATTATAGACTGGTAAAGCGAATTGTTATAGACTTGTAGAGTTTATTGTTATAGACTGCTAGAGTTTATTGTTATACGCTGGTAGAGTTTATTGTAATAGACTGGTAGAGTTTATTGTTATACACTGGTAGAGTTTATTGTTATAGACCGCTAGAGTTTATTGTTATACACTGGTAGAGTTTATTGTCATAGACTGCTAGAGTTTATTGTTATACGCTGGTAGAGTTAATTGTTATAGACTGCTAGAGTTTATTGTTATAGACTGCTAGAGTTTATTGTTATAGACTGGTAGAGTGTAGTGTTACATACGAAATTGATGTGGACTTCTAAAGTCTATAGTTGTGGACTTTGGGAATACATAAGAAACATTGGTTGGAAATAGAAGCTGTTGTTTTAGGTCGACAGTGGTTCCTGGAATTATTGATAAAAGACACTGTGAAAACGCTGAGCACTACGGGTTTGGGTATTAACAAACAATGGTAGACTTTAATTGGCTTTAATCTGACAGACTTACTACATATTTCTACTTTAACAATTTATCATTACTAACAAAACGTTCACATATTTTTTAATCTATGATAAAGGGAAATGAATAAATGTCAAATAGCAAATTCTAAACTTTTTATGAGTTTCAAAAATGATATTTATCTGCACTATATGAAATCTGAAAACCATTTACACAGCAAGTAAGTCTATGGGTGCTAATTTTCATCCAAAAAAATGAATAACAATAAGTTCCATAAACAAACAAACACAACATTCTCTCATAACAAAAACAGTAATATATAATATGTACACAAACATCTTAATGTTTCTATAGCACAAAAGAGTACACATATGTAGGCATAGGCTAAGTTTGAAGCTCTGTGTGATTATTTGGGAAAAGGGTATTGCCTGATTGAACTCGATTTATTTAAACCTATTCATTTCAGTCAAAATTAACCACGTGGTGGCCTGGTAGCATCATAAATCTATCCATTCTTCTGGAAATGTCCAAAGTTTGGTTTTTAGATCTACCTATGGATGGTAGATGGAGTTTGTGGATTGAAATGAGCTAGGACCACACAGACTTGTATCTGTAACGAACAAGTCACTTTAAAATTCCACAACAATACGATATCGAACACCGCATTTATATTTCCTTCGAAATGCATTTAAAATTTAAATTGTCACACTGGCGTCACACTATTGTCACGCTGGCGTCACACTAATAACAACAGTAATAAGTTACATGTGCTTATTTCTGATCATGTCACCGCTACTTTGAATATAATTCCCAGTCCATTTTCTGGATACTATTCAGGCAAACGAAGCATGACCAGGTTCCATAATATATTATTTTCTAAATTCTAACTTCTGGCCATGAAGTACATTGCCATAGTCGAGTTGAGTGACATGATAAATTTCAAGGGAAGGTTACCTAGAACATGAAAAGTAGTTTCTACGCCACAGTTTCTCAGTTAGGAGCTGTAGCTTCATTACTTTGATTTTTGTTTGTTTTCCTTGAACCAGAACTTCCTTTACGATTTTTGTTTTTCCTTTTCCCCTTTCGCTTTTTGTTTTTCTTCTTTTTCTTCCCCTTTCCCTTGCTTCCCTTGCCCTTCCCTTTTTTACGAGATCCCTTCTTTTTGCCTTTGTCCATTTCTCCGGCAGTGATTTCACGTATGATGCCCTCACAAATCTCCCCTTTCCTAATGGCGCGAATAGCACGTCTGAAGTCTTTGTTTTTTCGTTGCCAAAGAGTAACAAATGATACGTAAAATTCATCATTCACTTTATTTCCCATTATGAGATATTTTTCTTCTGTAGAATTCACAATATCACAAGAACACCCTTTTCCATTTTTGATCATTGGAAGCATCTTTTTACGTTCTTTTCTAGAAATATTATTTTTCTTGAAGAATTTCTTCTTCTTTTTCAAAAGAAATCCTTTATGTCCATTCAGAAGGTCTCTCATTTCATTAACCTTAGCTCTTATCACTGAAAATATAAATATGAACAAGGTTTAGTATTTTAAAACATTCTTAACCCAAATCGACATCACAGATTCTCAGGGGTAGGGGATACATTCATATGATAACAGGATACATTTTCTATTGTACTTACAGAAGGATATGATGTAATGCTGTTTTATTTCATTTGAATGAAATTGAAATCAACTGGCCCAATATTTACAGTATTAAAATATTTTTTTTTTTAGTTTCTTTGGTTGTAAATTAGTGAAGACTTCACAGATTTTAAATGGTAGAGGATACATTTCATAGTTCATTAAGATAACAGGATACATTTTTGCACCAAAGGAACAATATGACGTAATGCTTTGTTTCATTCCATTTAAAGGAAGTTGAAATAAACCAGCTATATATATAAGTATAGTATTTGATTATAAGAGAAAGTAGCTTCATTTCATTTAATTGAAACCAGATAAAATACACAACGACTTTGTGATGGGATACACATTTTATTTCATTCTTTAAATGGCAAAAGTAATACGATATATAAACATAGCATAGACAATCCCCTGTTTAAGTTTTTCCCCTGTTTTATACATACAGTAGGCCTAATTATGGTTACGGTGATACATATTTTACTTCATTAAAATATCAACTGCTCATATGGCACCTAGGTTTCTGTACTCTTCGGCTATCAGTTTTTAAAGAGGCAGGTTCGCCATCCGTTTGACCAATCGATTCTTTGTCTCAGAAACGGATATATTTTGGGTGAATTTTTTGGACATGGGCTAAGTTTTTATTGAAGTTTCATATCAAGTGTGGCTTTAAACGAGATTGATGTATAACTTCTGTCACTTTATGATTTATAGGTTGTTATCTGAGCAAAATTATTTTCTCTTACAATAAACGGTTAAATATAAGCGTAGATAATCATTTCGAATATCATATCGCAATAACAAAGATCTGAATCGTCTCACAATAACTCGCTATTTCTGAACCTTATTTTACTCCAAATGTCAAAGTATCCGATTAACTTTTCAGATATTTTCTAAATATTAATGTTACTTGTATCCAGATACTTGACACCTCCTTATAAAATGACCCTTTTTGTTGAATGTGGAGCAGTATGTAAATCTGCCAGGGTGGTTAAGCCGTGATGCAGAGATAAGTATAATGGGTTTATCCGCAGCTATTTTGATGTAATCTTTGACACTTTAATTCGCGTCAATTTACCCATTGAGAAACAAGCTGTTCACAGAGAGTAATGTCCTAAATGAAACATTCTCTGTCACTTGGACACAGTGAACGATCTTAATGAAAATATAGAGAAGGAACGCGTGTATTGAAAACACAGATAGGGCCTATATCCAATGTTTTATGCAAAGCAAAAATAAAAGTACGTATATCACAGAAATACATTCTCTATTCATGATTTTGTCTCAGAATTGAACTAATAAATGTATCCCAAATAGGCCTACTATTACTGAAAAAAGCCTGTATCCACGGCCTTGTATTATCAAATTCAACTATGTATTCCCAGTGCTATAACTGAAAATAGAGCTTATATCTACGATTTGGTGCAATGCAGTTAAATATGTATTCCCTATTTCTATTACTGAAAATATCCAGGATTATGTGTTATACCGTTTTGGTTTGTGAAATAAACCCATACCCCTACTATTATTAAAAATGTAGTTTGCACTATGAAATTGAAATATGTATCCCCTTTAGTAAAATTGGTTTTGTGTAATGAAATTAAAGGAACAGATGCGGCACTTTTTTTACCAATCGCACCTTTGTATCAGAAACGGGAATTTTTTTTTTTAGCATAGCCAGTCGTCGTCAAAGTTGAACCTTTAGTACATGTACCCACGTTTTTGTTGTGTACAACGTTGTATACCTGGTATCTCTAACGAAAGTATAACAATTCTTGGTATAAAAGTTCACAATACAATATTTTTCATGAAAGGAAATCATAAATAAAAAATTATAGTATTAGAAAGACTTACCAAAATCGGCACCACAGTAGTTATCCACAATAGCTTCAAATGTTAGGGGATGTTTGCAGGAAGTACAATTATTATCTGCTGTAACAGTAAAACGTTAGATTTATCTATTTTATTAACATACAGTATATTTTGTTCAACTATATCAGTCTAAATATTTTTATTTTTATTACATTGTAGTCAATTGAGAGTATAAAACCAAACACCATCGTATGTTGAACATCATCAAACACTTAGTTTTAGTGGAATAGCAGGAACTACAGACGTCTGATTGAAAATTGGAATGGTGTGAATTAATGCTACAAGTGTCTCCGATACACATATTTTTTTTGTTTTAGAAAACCTATTTACAATCCTTTAAAACATCCTTCAATGGCCCATCAAACCGCCCACGTGTTTGTCAAGACCGAAGCTGCTAATGGAATGCATGCAGGTCCCACGATGACGTTCCAATCACTTTAATGTCTAATGTGATTGATTCTAAACTTCCCAAGAGCTCAATTGGCTTTAACTAATCTATAATTCTAAAATAACTGTTAAAATAAAATATTAGCATGCATTGTAAAAAAGTTAATATAACTTTAAAAGACGGAAAGATGAAATGGAAAGTTTTTCCCTTCCGCTAAAGAAATTCAGTGTCCCCTGCGTATGTCACTATCAATTCAGAGCAGTCTATAGAGAAAATTTACAATTCCTTAATCTGGATTTGTTGTAAGCTACAATATCAATTTGGTTTTTGTTCCACACTTTTCAAAAGATACTTGATAGATGCTTAGTATATACCTATTACAAAGTTTCTTATAATTATTAGCTAAATCTGTAAGTGGCACATAAGGAGTCTTGCTAAACGCCAAATTGCTAAATTCTCACATTTTTTTTTAAAAGAATACACAATATACTATAATGTTGCAAAATGGCTGTACGAATTTACTGAATTATATATCATTTAGGAAGGGCAAAAACCACAAATTATTATTTACATTTAATGTCTCGAAACGAAAGTCGTTTTAAAAAGTCGACCCTTTATTTATTTAATTATTCAACCCTTGAAAAGTTGGCATGTATTGTTCAGATTTCAATCAAACAATTACTTTGTGATATGTCAAAGCTGAACTGGGTGGGTGCGTACTTAATAGTTTGTTTTACACAAAACCACCCCACTGAGAAAAATACTACCCGTCTGAACTGGATAAACGAGCAAAAATACAAAGCAACAATTAGTTATCAGACGGAAAAAATTGTCAAACTCAAAAGGATGTCGGATGGAAATGTCATTCATAGATATGCACTCATGTTTGTAAAGCTCAGGTGCAGTGCTCTTAGTATTTTCTTAAGTTTAAGAATGATAAGAAATATGTGAAAACTGATATGGGATGCTTGTTCTTATCAATTTGAATTACACCCACTCTAACCGACATGAAGTGCCAATTAAAGATATGAATGATATTGAATATACAATGTCAATATGACATGCTATTTATCACAATAAATCTATTGCCATTAAAGGGGGTGTCCCGTAGAAAAACAACTCATTCTGAGACTCAACGTTCAGAAAACCTTGAAATTCTTAATGTGTTGAATTTTTTTTACTTAAACGCAATTTAAATTTTTAATATTTTGAAAAATATAAAATCTGGATAGCAAGACTACAATGAATTGTTGTGTTGCTTGTAGGCAAATAAAAAGGCTGGATAATCCAGCTCTCACAATAGCCCACGATTTGATGGTGATCTGTAAATTACCTTTGATGACCTTATATGAAAAGTACCAACATCAGATCTACCGGGAATTGCTACACTATGGTCGAAACCAGTAATTTCCAAACAATATTAAAAATGAAACAGACTGATGAGAAGAAAGAGCAATTAAACCAATTCACACGTTTTTCAAATTCTATATATTCTAGTGTCGTTTGCAACCTAAAACAATAAAATTACAACTTTCTGCTCTGAACTGGTCTACTGGAAGTGAAAACCACATTGAAATCTCGATAATGAGACCGACTATTCCTTAAAACTGGTAAATACACCCAAATCAACAGCCCTGATTGAAACTATATCAGTATCTGAAAAACTTTTCACACATTTTTTTACCTTTCATGTTGGCAAGGGTTCTCGAAAAATGTGAATGATTGAAAGCACACGTGTTCAAGTATGTTTCTTTTTCATGCCATATTTATAAAGACATTAATCAATTCTAAGTGATTTTCCTTATCTCTTATTTTCAATTATAGAAAGGGTATTACAGAAACCGGCTTCAAAATTGACTGTGAGAGAAATTTGCCTCGTGTTTTCTTGCAATACGAAATATTTCTAGCCGATGTATGGTGAACTCAATCGAATACAAACTTTTAAAATTGTTTTGGCACAATAATTAAATATTATCACCAAAATATAAAACAAATAATTATAACAGCCAACAAATATGCACTTTGTGACTGTTTGGGAAACATAGGATATCATCTTAAAGAGAATATTTAGTATAATTTGCTTCATTTACTCTACAGGTGGAAAAGATTAAAGGCAAAAAGAATAGTCAATATTGAACCTGAATATTCTCTTTCGATTTCTGAATGCTTTTGTTCATACGACACCATTAAATTTTCCCATTTCAGCACATATTACATTTTTTAAAAATGTCCAGAATCGTCAACTTGATTTACTTCAAGGTGCACACTGAGGAAGTATATTTCCTATTGAAGATGATTATTATTTTGATAACAAAATTTGTTAATACCACCAAACTGTGTTAATATCCACGTTCAAGTTCTACACCATTACATTGGCAATTCAAGATATATTGCGTTTTAAGAAAAAGTGTCCAGTATCGTCAAGGTAATGTAATTTTACTTGAAGGTGCACACAGAGGAAGGATACTTCCGAATGTAGACGATTTTCCTTTTGATAATGATAATGTTTGTTATCCTAACCTACTGTGATACACCGCTGTGCAATTTATTTAGGTTAGAGAAACCATATTAATTTTAGTCTGTCGCAGTTTTATATTCAATAAAGCCGTGTAAAATCTTAGATAAATAATATCTCTAATACTTTTGACCTAATCCTACCGATTGAAATGTCAGACAGTGAAATTTAATTCTAGAGATTAAAGCACACTTGAATATCTTCTTCTCAACAATAACTCTATACTTATACCCCAATCTAGACACTTTTCTACAGTAAATAGTCGCGAATATTATAGCTTGTGTAAATATACAGAATTAGCAAAAATTCTAATGTTAAATTGTTCACAGCCAATGTGTTTCCAACTAGATTTTACTAGAAATGTACATGTGAACTCTTTGACAACCTTACTCATATAAAGCTTGACAATACAGTTGACATACGCTTGACAACAACTAAACCTAAGCAAACGCTTCCTTAAATGCTTGAAAATCAAAATCAATCAGAACATTTGACAATAAAGAAGATTATGGCTTAAAACAGCAAATTCAAGATAAGTTTGACAATCAAATTCCAATGAAGTTTGACAAAGCAACGTTATCTAAAACCTTGAAAACCAATTTAAATAATTAAAAGTCTAGCTTTAGCATAAAAACGAAGAAAACTAAATTCAACTGAAAGAAGACAATTAAACGATTAACAATAAGTTTCCAGTAAGCTTGACAAACAAATATCCAAGAAAAGTTTGACTTTCAAAGTCGATTTAATTAAGCTTGACATTCAAAGTATAGCTTGACAACCAAAGTAAAGTCTGATAATCAAGTCCAGTGAATATTGACAATCAAAGTTTAACTTGACAATCAAATCAAAGCAAAGCTTGAAAATGAAATCAAATTAAGCTTGACAATCGATGTCAAGTAAAGCTTGACAAACAAAGTCTTGACAATCAAGTAATCTGAGTAAAAATTGACGATAAAAATTCTAAAGTAAAGCTTAACAATCACATCCATTAAATGCTTCACTATCAGTGACCTACAAAGATTGACAAAGTTTGACAGCTGAAACCTGGAAAAGTTGGGTATCTGATTCTAATCCTCAGACATGGTAAATAGTAGTCCGAAAACGTCGTAGATATATATGTATCACCTGTTAATTTGCAGGAGGGCACTGTGCAAGAATGCATTTATCAATCTCAACCGTAAACTCCAACGACATCCATAAAGATATATGTCTGATTATTGTATCGTTTGCACGTTAGGATTATTTGATTTAGAATGGAATAAATGGGCATCAGTGGTCCTGCAAAGGGCATTGTTACTGTTTGAGTCATGAAGCTACTGCACGAATCCATCCAACCGGAAGTAAACACTTTGTGCAAAAATTGGAATGTTAATGAAGACTTTCATACACCGTTCCGAAATTATTTCATTTGGCGGAATAGACGTCAACACTATTTTATCGAAATCATGATTCATAATTGATTCCACAATTTGAATCCATCGCCTATTATTGATATTTTTTTTTATTATTCCTCCATATTCAATCATTTCGATATGTTGATTTGAAATCCATGATATTGGCAGCACCAAATTTGGCGCAATTCCTCACTTCCGGTTGAGTACCAACGGAGATGGTATTGATAAAATCCTCAAGAATCTAACTTATAGTCTTTTTAGATTTGAATGTTCTGAGACCTCTATTTGGGGTTTTCTCTCTTTAATTTAAATGCCTGAGGCCTTTATGGAGACAGAAATATTCGGACTAAAAACAAGTGTTAAGAAGATATAGTGTTAGGAAAGTTTGTCAACATGTCTAGTCTAATAGTTCACATTTTACATGTTAGATTAGTGTCACATTCAAATTCTATGTTAAAATGTTACACAAATATACATAAAAAACGTCAGTTCACACGACAAAAACCCGGTATCATTTCAGAAAATAACTGTATGTTATATTCATTTAGAGAATAAAAACTATTCTATTGTTAATTCAAATATGACATATAAAATTATTAATATTCTAAATTCCTTCATCCCATTTATGTGTTAGATGACATATAGAAACTATTTCTTTACAAACTTCAAATAATGGAAATCATGACGTTTGAAATTGCTTTTTGGAATGTATATAGGTTTGAAGTAATTATTTTTGTAAAATAATTTTGATATCAGACGCTGTATGCCGTCACTAACAAATATTTGAGTTTGAGTGACGTAATAATCCACATTTAAAAAATTTGCAACGATTTAAGCTTTTGATTTCTTACTTTAAAGATTACTGTATTCAAATACTAAAGTCAAAGGCATCTTGGAAATAATGAAATAAAATAATCTTAAGCTAATTTTGTCACCCTGACAATGATCATTACCATCCATTAAACTGAAGTTTGTAAGAGAAAAAGGGTGCAGAATGAAAACTATACATTGTACCTGTAATTCTATCATCTAGAAATGAAGAAGAAAAATGCTTGTTATTAGTAAATCATGATGGTAATAATATAATATATTGTTGCAATGAATATTGTTAGAATGTGATATCTGCCTAATATCTCTAATTCAAAAAGTGACATGACGTGCCTCAGATAAGCAGTGAATTTATAAATTTGCTGGATAAATATATGCGTGTAATGAATGGCTATTTAATTGACTCAAGCTGAATGGCGTCTTTAATAGTAAAGATATAGAAAAATGTGGCTTACGTTTAACATGATTTTGTTGTTCAATACATAAATCATTATCTACTGGAAATTTATCACATCTCACCATATCTGGCCAGGGAAATCCATACCGTTGCATTCTACCCATACAAGCTTGCTTAACACTCTCACATAGAGATCGACATGGGAAAATAGGTCTGTCCAAACAAACTGGAGAAAATAAGGAACACAGGAACAATTTAGTGTCTGGATGACAATGGATACCCAATAAGGGTACCCATGATCCTGCTTGGTTGGTAACTTCCTGTAGGGTATCATGATCCAATAAATTGGGCAGTCTCATTCTTGTGTAGCCGATATTTTGACACAATGATAAATTGGATGGAATGTCGATACATTTCGGTCTCTGTATTCGACCACCGCTCATGGTAGCCCAATCTTGATTCCAGTCACTAAGGTAATCACCTTGTCCATAATTATCACTATAATAACGGTAATCGTAATCCCCATACACTGGGTATATTAAACAGCACAACACATATATTATAAAACAACACATTTTCTCCATTTTGTCTGTTCCACTAGAAACTCTTATTCACTAGATTGTGAATAATGCAGGGCAATGACTCTAAAAGACCGTCTTGGGTCTAGTCTATATTCAAATGACATACGATGCACCTAAAGGTTTGAAGTAAATCCATGAAAATGAAAGTAAACTGTAGCACTAAAACCACCACGAACCGATTACACGTCTTTGACCATCAGCTATCCATATTTGAAATAATTTAAATGTTGGTAGACTACAAACGTCTCGAATGCTAAATTCACATGTTATCAGTAGAAGAATGGTGCATGTAAAACAGGTTATCCTCTATGAGAAAATTGTTGAACACTTCTGTTTTGTCGAGTTATTCACTTAATTCATTTAACACATCTTTCTTTGTCTACAGTTTCTTTTCAAAATACATGTCTTCACCTTGTATTCCGCTCCCCTCTTTCAATATGTATTAATGCCTCGAGGGCCGTTATTTCAATCGTCTGGCCAATATTTTGATTAAATTGTTCCTCTCTGGTATGCTACAATACAATATACGACAATTTAAGTAAGATGAATTATGTGAATAAGATTGTGTTTGAATTGAAAATCGGGTTTCTGATGGCTAACCCCCGTCGTTATCTTCACAATTGTAAGCACATGCTCGTTTAAAAGTATTTAATATAGAGTAAAGCGTTTAGTTTACAAGATTGGGTATCCTTCTGACAGCTTGACAGATTTGAAGTAGTAAAGCTACGCCCCATTGGGGGCAGACATAATAAAGTTGATGACATGGGTAAACTTTCGACGTGTCGCTACTAATTCAACTTGTGATAAAATATCTACACTGCTCCGCCTCCTGTCTGATTTCTCGTGTACTTTATTTCTCCACTGTATTTCTCTCTCTCATACCATACGCAAAATATCATTCAAACTGGTTAAGTTTTGATTCTTGAGTCCGTTGTATTCTCCGCAGTCTGTGAGTCAATTCTACTGACTCCAAAGTATGAGAGTAGAACTATTTAAAGTTTTGTACATAGAGTTTAATACCGTCTACAAAATCATACACAGTGTCTACAAAGTCTTAGTGTTATTTATACTGTCTACGACTCAATTATACTATCTACAAAGTCTACGAGTTATTGATACTGTCTACAAAGTATACGAGTCATTTACACTATCTACAAGTCATTTACACTGTCTACAAAGTCTACAAGTCATTTACACTGTCTACCAAGTCTACGGGTCATTTACACTATCTACAAAGTCTACAAGTCGTTAACACGGTCTACAAAGTCTACGGGTCATTTACACTATCTACAAAGTCTACAAGTCGTTAACACGGTCTACAAAGTCTACAAGTCGTTAACACGGTCTACAAAGTCTACGAGTCATTTACACTGTCTACAAAGTATACGAGTCATCTATACTGTCTACAAATTCTGCGAGTCATTTACACTGTCTACGAAGTCTACGGGTCATTTACACTATCTACAAAGTCTACGAGTCATTTACATGTTTACAAAGTCTACGAGTCATTTACACTACCTACAAAGTTTACGGGTCATTTATATTATCTACAAAACCTAAGAGTCGTTTATACTGTCTACAAAGCCAAGGAATCATAAAAGTATGAGAGTTACTTAAATATTGTGCAAAATGTTCATATCATATAATATACCGTCTGCATATTCTGCGAGTCATTTACACTATCCTCGATACTGTCTACAAACTATAAATATAATTCAGATCATTGATACTGTCTTCAAAGTCTACAAGTCATTGATATTGTCTAGCAGTAAAGTCTACTAGTCAATTCTACTGTCTGCAACGTCAACGGGTCATTTATAATGTATACAAAGTCTAATATAAGAGTCATTTATATTGTCTACAAAGTCAACGAGTCATTTATGCTGTCAACAAAGTCTACGAGTCATTTATGCTGTCAACAAAGTCTACGAGTCATTAATAATGTCTGCAAGTCAACGAGTCATTTATGCTGACTACATAGTCTTAGTGTCATGTACTGCTATATACAAAGTCTAAGAGTCATTTATGTATTGTCTGTAAAGTCTTGGAATTCTTTTTACAAAGAAAATGCGTCATTAATATTGTCTAAAAAAATTACCGAGTCATTTATGCTGTCTACATAGTCCGTGTAAGTCATTAAACTTGGAATTCTTTACACTATTTGTCTTTTTGTACACCTATTTAATGAAGATGTATTTACCCGTAGTTCTTTAAGTACACGAAGTTGCATACAGTGTGGGTCTTAATCATGACATCCTGTGAACCCGATATAGTGACAGGTCTTATTAGTTTTTAATTCCCCGTAGACTGGCATAGTTTATTATTATTACTCTAAATACCATTAACATAGTTATAAATATACACTTTATGCATGTTGAACTCATAAATACTGACATAAAATTAACATAAACTACCTTTTATTCCTCATAATAATCCAGTTTAAATTTAATATTTCATTTGATCGAACTCGAAGTTTGTATGTTATCAAATAGAAACAAAAAAAGGTTCAAATAAAGCAATATGGGTTTGCTTTATCCGTCCGACTGATCTTCAAAATCTTCAAAAAACATTATCACCTGTTGGATTTGAATAGCCATCGCTTCTAAACTTGAAATTCTTTAATACAAATAATGAGTAAGCAGGGCCCAAGAGTTGAACCTTGGCTTAACCCGCTGTAACAAATTAGCAAACGGAACTTACCTTACTCTATGTCTGTTATCCTGTTACCACTTCTGAAAGGAATGAGGGAGGAAGTAGGTAATTCGAAAGCGATATAAAAGGCACGTTTGATCTGAATATTTCGCTTTTCTCCTTGTGATCAATTACGAAGTGTGTAAGTTAATCGTCGCCTTGTTACGAGTAAAATGTTAATGAGATGTGAGTTGTTGACATTTTCTATTAGCTTTCTGAAGTCTTTAATGACAGCGCTAATAAAATAACGAGACTATTACTTATTAAGCGGATAATTGAAACACGGTAATTAAACAATGAACAGGTTGAGCCACAAAGTAAACGAAATGAAGTGTCTATTTTGTCACCAGGCTTGTTGTAATAGGGCGTAATGACAATTATCTGCAATGATCGTCCTCTTTATCTACCTTTCACGTTTAGATTTAAACTGTTGTCATTTCCATCTCTTAATAAAGTTAAGGTAATCCATTTTAAAAATATAATTGTTTTATAAGTTATCTTTGAAGATTGCCGCAACTAAAACAACATGTTCATTAAATTTAAGATCTATTATGCCCAGTAGAAATATTTTTCTAGGGAGTTAGTGACAATCTGAATTTATTTTCCTTTCGATTTAAGACCAATCACTTATTATATCTTTTCTATGATGATGTTAAGCCAATTACTTCAAATGATTATTGCTAAAATTAAAAGCAAGATACTTTTAGTTTAAAATTTCAGATAAGGTAAGGGTCACATTAGATTGTGGTCAATATTAGTTTTCATCGAATTGAGCACCTTCTTCCTCCGGCCTTACTAAAAATGCAGACTGTCCCTTTAAACTTTTAATATTTTTTCTGGATTGGGTTTGTTTGAAGTCTGATTCCACAGTTGGTTTGTAAGAAACGAGGAGTGGAAGATAATTTGTTATCAAAAAATCTATTAAACCATTCCCAGAAATGTGTTAAATATTTCAGAGACACATACAATGACATTATTTAGAAAATGTATTCGGTGGTAGTGATTCATAGAATCTTTTCGGATTCCTACAAGTCTATATGATCGAAATTAAATGTGCAATTTTCTTCCTGCAACCTTACAATCTTGCTGTGTCTACAGTTGGTGCACAAAAAACAGAATGACGATCCTCAACATTTGATCTGTATTTAGATTTAGACAAAAATCTTAATGGGAAAATGTTCTAACGCCTGCCACGAAACTGTCAAAGATATAAATAATGAGAGAAAAAGATGAAGCAACAACGTAGTTAAATGTTAATTAACACATACTTGCAATTTCTTTCTCATTCAAATTCCGAGCAAAAAATGTTTACACAGAACTGCAAATCAAACGTTAATAATAATAGATGTATATTGAATTACAATGCTTGTAAAGTGTTGAAATGATATATGCATATATTTCTAAAGTGGCTGTTTTGAATTTCATCTACGTAACGTAACAAAATCTTGATATCATTTAAGACAGTGGTAATAGTGTTTGGTGGGAGGAGAACGGTCAAATTTAGTTCATCTTAGCTCGAAACTTTCCCAATCATGAACATATTTTGAATATAAAGTAACATTTTCTTCCTTCCTACGGATAGCTTATAAATTAATAATTGTGAGACAGGAACACATGACGCCCTACCAGTCCGAGTTTGTCCGTATATAGTCTCAGTTACGATCAGTATCCATTTTCGTAGGGACTGAAAAATCATTTTCAAAAACTTGAACCTCAATGAAATTTGCCTCACCACTAAAAGACCACTACCATCGCTTGAGCAGAACATGACATTGACAACATTTGTTGCTGTCAATAAAATAGCTGTAGGCCAACATATAAATTACAAACTTTACAACTAATATAATTATGATGTTCAACAATTATCAGCAGGGCACACGACGCAAAACGCCATTTACATCAACTTCAGTAACACCTCCCCCCCTTCGTAGCCCCGAAGACATGTTTTGTCGGGCAAAAGTCTCATAACCAGGTTAGAAATTCGGGCAAAGTCAGATATTTCGCCCCCCCTTTCCCTTTGTAGTAGCGAGATAACATGAGCATATTGACCGTAATGTATACTAGCGACCAAGGTTAACAAGATCCAATTTTGGTTGAAAGCAGAAATGGGCCAATGGCGACAACCGATTACAACATCAATTTTCAGTCTTTGTGCGCTCATGTGTACAATTGATCAGATTCTCCCAATTACAGCTAGTTACTATTGTCTGAGCAAAGTAAAAAAAAATTATCAATTGTTTTTATGAGAATTGGAATAGCAGCCTAAATAATAGTACTGTTAGTCTTAGAATGTCTTTGGTTGATAAAATCATATTTTTTTGTAAGTTTTTATGGGAAAGAAACACGTTTCCCAGAAAAGTCGAAATTTTTGGCTGAAAATGGGCCTCTGTAAAAACAAATTTTGAAGACATAATGTGTGCTTATGTTTATAGGCCTATTTTTATCAGACTAAAAGTACTATTTTGAGACTGATATTTCAATTTTCATAGAAATAATATCTGATCGCTCAGATAACAGCAGTCTTTATCTGAGTTTCTGCAAGTCGCAAGGTCGACTTGAACCTTCATTTGAAATATTAATTTTCTCTTTTGTACTTGACCGATTGTCTAAATATTTCACATGAGTAGAATACATCTGGATTAAAAATAAAATAATCTAAATAAGATTCGTGTCCACCCAGAATGTAATGCATGACATCATCATACTTGTTATAGTGGATAAAATAAATATGGTGATGTCACCAAGGTATGACACACAACAGGGCACTTCTGGTCACAACACACAGTAAGAAAGTTTATAGATACACGATAATCTGTTTAGTGTTTACATGTCAAGCTACGTTGACAAAATAAAGTCAACATTGGCACACTTGTCGCCATTTGTTAGTGACTTTTTATGAACAATTAAAGCTTCAAACATCTAAATAGCCACAGTTATAAATCACACGGAGAAGAGAGAGTATAGTCCGATATTCAATTATAGCGGTATAAGGTTAGTTCCCGTAGGCTGTGGCAATCTCCAAAGTTTTATTAAGTACATAATGTGTAATTGTATAGGAAAACAATATGATATTTTAAATACCACCATCCTCATAGATTTCCCGAAAGAAAGGGTTTTTAATATAAAACCCCCAAGAAAAAGTGTTTTATCTGATTTATAAATCGACAAGGACTCATTCCGTAAACAATAAATAGTAATGAAATAAGGGGCGCAACTCGAGCCATCAACCACTGAGCTCAACCACTGAGTTAGACTTACTATTTGAAACACTTTGAAACTTGGCAACTTACGGTGTAGAATGTTCAGGACATACAGGAAATATGACAATGATGCAATAATTTTCTAAAAGGGGTGTAACTTGAATCAACAAACTAATTCAGTCAGCGTGCTAGATTTTTAAATTTTATTAGATAATGCCTTCTGAATTAAAAGTACCATAGATATTTCTATGTCCAAACAAATATGTCACTTTTCTAACTTTATTTCGAATGTACAAATATATACAAATGATTGATTTATGAAAAGGTCCATATCTGTCTGAATGATGATGATGTATAGTGGTTCCAATGGAAGATCAGCTTTCCTTAGGAAATGGAATGGAGTTTTACGTCCTACTTAGCTTTCCTTAGGAGAAAACAACTTTCAACCAAGACTAGGCAAAGTTAGTTTTTATCAAGACTCAATGACATGTATTCCAAAAAGCTATACAAGTTCCATGATCACTTAGACTTTTTAGAAATGACACCTATAGCTGAGATAACAGTTGATTTGGTTCCAGTGATTGAGGTAGTTAATGATGAGGCATGAGGCGCTGAATCCCATTTTGATTTACGTTTCTTGTCATCTGAAATATAAACAATTTGATTTAAGAGAAAGAAAAAAAAAAAAATTTTGCAAGTTCATATTTGAAGATCTTGTCTTCTAGCTTGGCAGATTATGCATAACTATTTACAACTGATGTAATTGAAACAATTAGGAACAACCAACTTATTCAAAGTCATCAGATTTTGGCACTTTGGCCAAGGTAAGAACCAATGACCAAGACTTGTTTGACTCAATCAAACACCACCAAGATTCAAACTCTCAACCTGATATTACCTGCAGATTCTGTAGAATGAGATTTCTTTGTACCAACTACAAATTCAACCTATAAATATAAATATGAAGACCTTTAGCAGAAAGATAACACAGCTCTTGAAGTTCTTTGCAGTGTTCTAGAATATCATAAATTACAATTGAACCAGAGTACAATATTATTTGTGGTTTTGAGCTGCAATATAAATAAATAACGATACTTACTTTGGTTTTATCTTTTCTATCCTTTTCTCTTTTTTCCATTTCTTTCTTTTGAACTTTATCTATAATAAAAGAAGTTTGCGATTTCTTCAAAGAACAAAAAAGTAGAAAGAGCTCTGATTGGTTCAAAATATTGTAATTAGAACCTTGGAAAAAATCTTGTTAGAGGCAAAAAATATCATGTTAAAATGGAAACGAAATTAACATCTGGTTTTAATTAGATAAGACAAAATCCAATTATGAAATCTAACATATCTGAACTGACAAATAATAAACTAAAAACTTTACATTTAACTTACCTAATTCATCATAGTAAGACTCTTTAGACCATAAATAAGGATTGTAAATTTCCTAAAAAAAACATCATTGAACATGTGCGAAAGGATAGATCAGTAAGTAGGGAGTTAGATTGTAGTCTGCTGGGGTCTGGCACCCTCAAATCTTTCTCAGAGCAAGAAATCACATCTGATGCAACTTCCAGTGATTTGAAGAATGCTCAGGGAAATTCTGATACAAAGTGTGGATAATACAATAATTTGATACAATATAAAAAATTTATGGACATATCCTCAGTCTTGTCTTGAAAACAGCTTACAAAAATCAGAAGATTCTAAATTTTGATAATTTGCAATGACAACTCAGTTACAAAAAAAAAAATCATATACTTACAGTGGGAAAATTTGAGCCATGTGAATCTATACTACAAAAGTCTATTAATTTCTCATATATACTGAAAAGAAATATTAAAAATAATAGAGTCAAATATTATCTCTCTTTGGCAGACTAACCATAAATAGCCATATTGATAAGAATGCTTGATGTCTTTAAAATGTTACACATGTACCTTGTAGAGTATGATTAGATGAGGTCAGGGACACTCAATATCTCAGAAAGCATCAACATTATTTTAAACTTCATGCCTTTTTTGTTAATAAGACAGTTAATGAAAATTTACCTTGGGTTTCTAAAATCTTTTCTATTCTGTATAGTTCTGTTTAAATTCAAACCTTCTCTTCTCATTTTCTCATATAAACTAGATATTTTATCCTGTAAAATTATTCATAATCATAGAATTATAATTCAGGATGATGAGGATATCTATCTTTTTCACATCTTTTTTCAGAGCAATTGATGAACGCAAATTGCTGTTTCATTGACATTGGATTACAAGCATATCTAATGGCACATTTCAAAGCTGTAAGTGTTCCTAATGTACATAAAAAGTTTGAAAAACATCCTTACGACTATTAAAATAATAATTCTGCTAATCAAGTCACTTACTTGTAAAGCTTTGGAACATTTACCAGATGGCTCTGGTGGTAATTTTATATCTTCTGCTGGCATATATAATACACTTCTTGATAATGAGGCTGAAATCAGTACAGAAAATAAGGAAATAAGCAATTTCTGGAACGTTACTTATTATGATAGAAGTGAATATAAAAAGCAACACCAGACCAAACATGGTTTTTACAACATTTTCTGTCAAGCATTTTCAATACCTTCATAAATTCAGCGTAATTTCTTATATGATTTATATTCAAATTACTTACAAGCTACTTCTGTTTCTAAACAGCTACCACCCTGGAAAAATAATAAAACATTTCAACAAAAGGTATTAAGACATAGGGTAAACTAGTTATAAAATACAAATCCTATCACTATGACTAATCAAAGTGTTAATGGTTACACATTGAAATTAATAAATTTTCAAGTAAAGCTGTCTCTCTCGAAGGCAATATTTCAGAAGTTTCAAGTTACGACTGCGGAAGGGGAACCTACCTTTGATGTGTTAAATTGATAATCATCTATATCTTCTACTGTGCGTTCACTCTCTGATGAACTTTTATCTTCTTCATGATCATCACCAACATATGATACCAGGGCAGCTGAAATAAACAGATTTATCATTAGACTATTGATAACCAAATATACCCAATGATCAGGACTTTCAATTCAGCTTTCAGTTGGTATTCAAGTCTAAGGTCATACTTTGAAAGCCCAACTTGGATAACCTAACATCAAAATATACTGTCGTCTGTGGTCTCACATTAACAAACCAATGATTAATTTTTTCAACTCTGAAAATACCAGAGAGTTGAGAAAAATGTTATGTAAATTTCAAATGATATAATACATACAGTCATAAAATGAAATAATATATAAGTTTACTTTTCTTAGCTTTCTTTTTGACTGGTGTATCTGTGCCTGGATCCTTGATGCTACTAGAGGAGTTTTCATCTTCAACAACATCAACTTTGGCATGTAATTTATGTTTTAAATGATCTACTTCTTCATCTGATATATTGTCTACAGCACTTGATCCATCATTAGGCATTTCTTCATCAGAAACATCACCATATTGAGATAATAATGATGAAATTGCTGTTGAACTTTCTTTTTTTTCTAACGTCATGGTTTACATAGGCTACTGAAAAATAAATGGTAACTCGCTATGTGTAAAACACATAAATTTCAATCCAATGACAATATTATTACTTTAGTTTAGGCTTGTCTTCAAGTTTAAATTGGTTTAAGTGAAGTGTTTTCGTATTTTCATTTACATGAAGTTCATACAGGAAACATTCTTAAATAATCAACATCAACCCATAGTCATTCTAAATTCTAAGAATATAAATTCTGTTTATTTTGTAAAAATTTGTTACACGAAAAGGAAGATAAGTCATTAGACTCAGTCTCAGACTGTTAACAGCAAAACTGGTTAGGGCCATACACAGAGTGTGAGACTGAGAGTGAGACTTGATGAGAGATTGTCACAATTGTAGTAGTGTAACCACCAATGCAGGATCTTAAAGGGCAATGGTGTAGTCTGTACAAGTATTATAGGTATTTCTATTTAGAAACTAACATTATTTGGGACATAATTACAGTTATGAATCGCTATATTTACTCACATTAAATAAATGTTAAGAGAAGTAACAAAAAGTAAACGACGAAGATTAGCTTGGCTTCCGGTTATAAAGGACCAGTCATTACACTAGACGGGTTGATTAGTTAGTTTAGCTAAAAAATTCCAAACCATTTATTTTTAATTTCAATTGTCCAAAATTGAAACAGGTCAAATTAATGCCAATTGACTTAGATTATGGAAAATATAAGTTTTTGTTATTACTATTCCAAACAAACGAGTTCTCACCGGAAAACTTAGTCAACCTGTCCATATACTGACAGGCAAAGTAAAACAATTTGGACAAAACGCCCCAAATGACTAAAAATTTTAGCTTGGCTTCCGGTTATAAAGGACCAGTCATTTATTACTTTTTATTTATTACATTTATGTCAGAACTTTAGACACGAACCCGTTTCTGATTTAACCAAGGTATCAAAGGCAATACAAGAGTCAACAAGTTTCGTTAGATTTGTCCATTAAGTACGATTTGACTTAAACAGATCTTGTTCTTTTCTGGAAAAACAAGACTACTCGCATTCTTTCAAGATGGCGTCGGAAACAAATCGATAAAAATTGTTTACATCGTTACTGAGGAAGAAATAGCTATCAAATACCCTATAAATTAAATCTTTACAGGTAATTTTCAGAAATTTGAGTTATGCAAACTTTCAAAAATGGCTTGTTTTAAGATATTTTGTTTATTAAAAATGTTGAAAATCTTTTCATGATTTTAGTTAGAAATTTAGAATTTTCTTTCCCTCAACCTCTAGTCTCAAGTCCAACCAAGACTCATATGCAAAAGTAATTTGAACAAAGTCACAATGAATTAGAATGGATTTCAGAACCCGATCGGCAATGCCTTAAATAAGAATATTGTTATATGATTCATGCCCCACTGGATCCTACTTAAAAAAGAAATGCATTATAATTATCATACCGTACATTACATTTAAGTTATTTTTCATGTCTTTAAAAAAGAATAACTGCAAAATTTTGAAAGTAGCCTTATTCCATTTTTGATTTTATTATAGGATAATGTAAACAGATTACAAAGATGTCGGATGATAATGTTCAAGTGGCAGTAAGGGTAAGATATTTTGTGTTGATTGATTTGTATCAAAGTTTTCATCCAGTTGTAATGTAGGTCTATGTACCATATAAATTAGTTAAAATGTTGAAAATATGGAATTAATCTTTATTTATTGAAAGTATCCAATATGTAAATTGTAAAACATATAAAATAATATAACATAATACATTGTCTTGAAGTCAGCTTGACGTGACTGTATAGATTGAATAAAGAATCCTTACTTACCCTGAAAAGTCCAAGAATAAGTACAGATACCAGTATTATTATTTTGATGTCTATTCCTCGTTTCAGGTTCGCCCTTTACTGCCAAAAGAACAAGTAGCTTCTGAACAGAAATGTGTCCGTATTATACCTACATCTAAACAAATTGTCATAGGAAAAGATAAAGCTTTTACCTATGATTATGTACTGTCTCATAAAGTCTCACAGGTTGGTTGACTCCCAATATTGCAGCATTTATTGTGTTAGACCTTGAAAAAAGTAGATAAACTGACCCACTTTCCTAGCAAAATACCCCATTGAAAGTGTTTTTAGCAACCTTAGCTTGAAAATGTATTTCTTTTGTTGTCTTTTCAACATTAATCAAAATTTTCAAGTTATTTTCTCTGTTATTTTAATTAAGTTTTCAACTTATATCATTATGCATCATGTTAAAATTAGATTGATAACTGTACTTTGTACTTGTAGGCTGAAGTTTTTGAAACCTGTGTCTCCCCATTAGTCAACAGTTTATTTGAAGGTTATAATTCAACTGTGTTTGCATATGGGCAAACTGTAAGTATGATAACTTGTATACATGAATATATTAACTGTATGCTTTTTTGATGAAAAATAGTGATGCAGCCTTTCTTTCAAGAGAGTACCTTTCACAACACAGTGCAATCAAATTTGATCTATTTTTTTTAAATTAGATGTTATATTGATATGATAGGGAAAAAGCTTTAGTTAAGATTGTATTTGTGTATGTAACATTAGATATAAATGGATATTTAACTGTAAGGAGTTGGACAAGAATCAACTGGAAGACATTCTCCATGGTCGCTGTCTATCTAAATTCTATTTAAATTGATATCACTTGGTTCCATTTTATCAAGTAATGATATATATTTTAGGGCTCTGGTAAAACATATACTATAGGAGGAGGTAATATTACATCTCTAACTGAAGAGGAATATGGTATTTTACCTAGAGCTATTAAACATATGTTTCAAATAATGCAGGTAAGTTAAACTACTCTTTATTCATGTGCTCTGTTTACAACAAGTCAGAGATCATAGTATGCAGCAGTCAAGGCCTCTTTTTCTCATCCAATCATGTCAGCCACTCTTACATGCATACATAGACAAACATTGATCCAAGTCTTCCAGGCTGGTGAGCATGCACATAATCTAAAATGTGCATGTTTAAACTGATAGATTTAATCAATGTTGTGGTAAATTGTACTGTTTATCTATAATAACCTGAGTTAGATACTTTTTTTGTCTGCAAAATTGATGCTCCAGCTAACAAAAAATTGCCTTATCAGTGAAATGTAGTTTTGCATAATATTAATGATGAGTTATGATTACAGGAAAATAGTCACGTGGAATACAGTATAAAAGTATCGTATATTGAACTATATAAAGAAGAATTAAAAGATTTATTAGACACTGATAGTACCAATAAAGATTTACATGTTAGAGAAGATGAAAATGGAAACACAGGTATGAAATTTTCTTGAGATTCTACTAGTAAGAATCAGTAATTGTTATTTCATTAATTGTATCATCATGATGAAGAACTTATCTTGGTTATCGTTCCACATTAAACTGGCTAACCAGCATCATATTTTTATTTCCTTTATTTCTATTTTTATTCAAACCCACTACACCTTTGCTGACAACAATTAAAATTGCTACTGGCAAGTTATTTCACTGTCAATATTTACCGTTAGAGATTCCAATTGTAGAATATGTAGAAATCATTCAAGGATACAATGTAATTTTTTTGGTTATTTTAGCGTTGAGCTTTGTTGATTGTCCTGTTAATTTTGTTGTCATTATAGTTGTGACTGGTACAAGAGATGTTATATGTGAATCATTAGATGAAGTTATGGATTTATTAGAAGCAGGATCAGCTGCTAGACATACTGGTTCTACTCAGATGAATGAACATTCCAGTCGTTCACATTCAGTCTTTACTATTGTTATTGGTAAGTATTATACGGTTGATCTTATTTTATCATCTGATTCATTGCGTATGAAAATCAACATAATTTTGATTCTTTGGACTTCATTCCCTTCAAAATAGGCATAAAATGGAAGTAAATCTCCATTTTTAGCTGGTCATATTGGTTTAGAACTGCACTTTGATGTAATTGTCAGATTGACTTGAATCAAGATTCTATTGTAAATATGCTGTTTGTCTCATGCACATATTGCTTTTATTCAGTGATGTCAATTACCTCATTTCCAAACCAACTGTCCTGATGAGAATTTCATGTCCAAAGCATGTGTCAGAAGCATGAAATGAGCTTTTGTCAATTATTTCTGAGATTTTTACCCAGTATGTCTTTATGCTAATTGTTGTCCTGCTGTGATATTGGTGATTAATGTTCTATATTAATTAGATTTCTGGATAAACATGCATGTATCTCACACTGTGTAACTATATAAGATATAGACAGGTTATAGTGATTATATTGATTGTTACTGACCTGATTCCTGCAAAATAAGAGTGTAATCTGTATAAATTAGTTTTCTCACACCAAATAATGGCATCTAAAGCCTTTCTGCTTTCCAATTTCTTAAAAAAAAACTTATGCTTGTCCAATATTATTCACATTATCAAGATAGAATTCTATCTATTGGACACTTCTCAGCCATTTTTTTTTCGTCATTTTAAAAATATACTAATAATACTTTTCATTATATAATACTGAATCTCTTAAATCTCGTAAAGAAGGAAGATTTAGAAAAGTTTTCAAACATAACTAAAACACAAAACCATTCTTTGATAAATTAATGTTTTTTCTTGTGTAGGTCAAACATGGCAGGAGTCTGATTTTGAAAATAGTAGAAATAGTAGTTGTAAATCAAGAAGAGTAAGTTCTGATAGTTCTGACTCTTTACCAGGTTAGTATCTTTATACTCTATTTATTTATTTATAATTTTGTTTCATGTCCCTTCTTAGTAATTTTTGACTGATGCTTATACTCTAGATTTGTCAATGGATTGATCTTTTGCGTTCTTTTTTCCTATAAATTTCATGGGCTAAGGTCACAAAGCTAGAACTTGATATTTCTTTGCTTAAAATACAGTTCTAAATAAAGATTGATAATATTCTGAAAGGAAAAGTACGGGCAATTTAACAGATTTAACTTCCCTTACAACATGCTGTGTGATTTCTTTCAGATCTGTCTCATTTTATGTGTGGT